AAATGCAATATAGAGCGCTCCAGAGCATTCCAGGCTAAGTCTAGAATGCTCTAGCCAGGTCTAGATCTGCTTTTGATTAAAAATTTGCACGAGGTAAAATGTCCAAACCTCCGAGAAAGGTGATAGAGATTCTCGATAGACTGACCAAAACTCTCAGGATTCACCACCAAACGAAAAATGTTAATGGGACCAGAGGCCAGAAGAATGCACGCGAGCTAAAGGCGGAGTGAGCCTGACAGTGTACCATGGCGCAGGTCTGCCAGGGTCCTGGTGCAGTGACAGGAGTCCTGGCTGGTAGTCGGTAGCCGTAGTCTGTCCTCGATAGATAGAGCCGTGACCTATAGAGGTTTGGCCTTGGGTTTCCCTCGCAGTCCATACCTGGTCCAACATTCAGGAAAATGATGTAACCTCCCCAACCTTTAGCTTTCAAGCCATCCTCGGTCGCATTAGAAGAGCCAACAACTGAAGGAGTGCCCATCAATGAGGCTTCAGCGAGGCTGGAAGAACTGAAAGTGGACCGAGCCATATCGTTCTGATGTGTGTAGTTTGCATGCGCTCCTGTTTTACGTCGATGCCAAGGCGGAACAAAAAACAATTACTTTCGATTGTAAGACCCGAGCACTGGACAGAGATATTCGGAGGTCAACGCAAAGCTCTAGAACATCCCATAACGGAAAGCTCAAAACACTACGCAGGAGTGGCCCACCGAGACATGCACAACGAAAAAAGGGCTCAGCGAGAACTGAATGAGACGCAAAGACAACTTTGCCTCTTGCAAATAAGGTGTCAAAATGTTTGTAACCGAAAAGGCCCGAACACGGCCCGGGTGTAGCCGGCAGAGGTTTGGGGAGATGATCGTATTCCACTAACGTTGGGAGTCGGGGATACTACGCGTCTGACACCGCCGAACATTGTTGGGAATCTCAAGCTCTCATATGTACTGTTTGGGCAGACAGATAGACTCACTGAAGAGGCTGAGCATGTCCTTCGGTAAGTTCCGCTAGTGCTTTATGTGGGCATTCCGCTAGTCATATTCTCCACTAGTCACTGCACGGCCATGTCTGCTGATTGGACTGATTGGACATATGCCTGGAATCTCAAAAAACATGGTTCAGGCTTAGAGCATTACCCACTTCTATTCCGAGTCACGGGAGTCCGTAAGATGGTAGAAATGTGAAAAGCACCAATAAATACCTCAGGGCATATTTTTATTCTACTAGGCCAAGCGAACTGACACCCCTCTTCTTGTCCGTGGATACTAGTTACACACCATTTACACCAATAAACTAGGAAAATAGAAGACGTCACCGGTCTGCATTAATATTGAAGTCACATTGCTTCATGCCTATGCCTGTCGTTATGGTTATGTCTGTGCTATGCACAGGGTACAGTACTTGGTCGTACGTGGTTGAGACGTGCGCCATCATACACATCGATCATGCACTGGAAATCGGTCATGAATTCACGACTATTTTCATACTCAGAACTTCTATTTGCTGCCGGAGAGTGAGCTGAGGCGGCATTTCCATACCGTACCGGTCACCTTGAGAGTATTCTGCAACGTCCACGGCTCAACGGGGTACAATACCAGGGCTGGGAAGCGTCCTAAAATCTGCATGCAATATTAGAGTTGAGCACAATCATCAGAAATATCGCCACCTCATGGGGAACATACATGCCCGAAGGCCCAACTCGTTCCGTTAGTCTGCCGCGGCCAAGAGATTCAAGTTGGCAGAATCAGGCGGCGTGGGATTGGCGCCGACAGGATGCGCCACTGGCGTTTTGACAGATGTGTGACCGAAGATGTCTCTCAAGGGCGGGTCACCGTTCGTTTCCAGTTCCACAATTGCACAAGCAAATAGAGGCGCGCTGAGTGGAGTAATACTAATCCCAGTCTACAGAAATGGAAATAGGTTTTCATGCTGCATGTCAATGCGATGCGGAAGTGACAAAACGTGCTTATCTGACATCTTTCAGAACAGGCACGACAGGAGTGCGCCGCGAGCTGCTGATGGATACTGACAGAAATAAATGGTCACACCACAAAATGGCAGCGCGATCCCTGTTCAGGACCGATAGATGAAATCGAGGACATCCGTGCTTGCCGTATTCAAGATTGCTCTGTAGATCGTTCATTTGCACCAGGCTTCTTGATTGTTGCAAGAGCCGATGCACTAATTTCCCAAACGACCAGGTAAGCCTAATAAAGGGAATCCTCAAATGCCCCACATTAGCCAGATGGTGAACACGGCTACAGTGCCCACCTAATGCCACCAGATATGAGCGCTGCAAACGATATAGATCAGAAAATAGTGATCATCTTTTGATGTCACAAGAATAATACGCTAGTTTCCGAGAGCTAAGCAGACGTGGAGATCCCCTATGGCCCATATCGACCAGATGGTGAACAAGGCCGCCCAACGCCGGATATGTCCAATGAACACGGCCACGAATCGCCACTAGATACGAGCGTTGCAACTGATGTAGATCTGAAGATATTGTGAGAGAATGCAATGGCGAAAATACCACCTATTAGCCTGACATCAATTTGTGAATTACAAAAAATCAAACAAATTCACAAACCCCGTCATTAACGAGTGGGGTACACTTCTAATAGTTCCATTCTGAATGTTGACTGTGTCTTTCGAGCCACGAATACAACCCAATCAAAATCCGCACCACATGGCGAATAACGGCAGTTTTGAGTAAACCTCGCGCAGTAATTACGGTTCTGTTCGGCCAGGACCGAAACTATCGACGATCCGGTGGCGAATAGAGTAGATAAGGACGTGGCAATTGTCGTGACTGCCAAGTGAGCTTTCCTGGATCTACGCAGGGAACATCAAAGAAGCTGCAAGCATTACGGTCGACTGACTTAGCGCGTACCCCAAAAACGTGAAAAGCACCCAGATAGTTGAAACCACTCAATATTTAAATATTCAGCTCATCACACACAAATCCTTCCGTCTCACTGTAGCGGTGGGTTCCAGGCTCAGCCTCAGAGAGGGTTATGGCTTGAGGAGTCGACAGGTTGGGAAGTGCCAGGGGTCAGTGTTCAGAGTCATAGCGTCGAGATAGACAGTAGCAAGCTCCGAGACTCTTCTCATTCTTCTTCAGAATGTGGTGTATCAGGAAATCCGCGGTCTCATTGAACCAAACTTGTGTGGGCAGTCGTGTGCGCTGCTGGCGGGCCGAAAAGGACAGTGCATACAGAACGGATCCGATGGGACTCAGAAGGCATTGCCTTCATAAATGACCTGATCCGCATTAGGGGCTCACCCTGTTGGCGCAAAAAGTTGAAGAATTTAACTTTCATTGACCAATGTAAATAATTGCAGATCATGGCATGGGAAAAGGAAAGGAACTGAATTGTTGTTATGAAGTTCCTGGATTTACGCCAGAAACAGCGAGGAAGCTGGTGTCCATTACGAACACGACCATTTAACTGAATACAAAGATCAATGCATACTCTGAACAGATAAAAACCACCCAATTTTCTTAGGCTAGCCATGTGCACTGCTGGCAGGCCGAAACAGAATGGCTCACGGAACGGATCCGACAGGGTTCAGAAACCTCGTTCTCGTGAATAGACTAGGCGCTCACCTCGTCGGCGACCAATGTTGAACGATGTCACTTTCACTGACCAATTTGAGCAAACGGACATCGTCACAGGGATCTGAGAGATTTAAATAGTCGCTCAAGTCTCTCTGGAAAAGTGACTGCATTGTGATTTTCCTGGAACAGCGAGAAAGTCGAGATCCACTGCGAGTACCACGGCCAACTGAATACGAAAATTAACACATATTTCAAACAGTTCAAAACAACCCACATGACTTAAGAAATCCGTCCGCTCAGTATGCAATGTACTCAAAAAACTGGGAGTCCACCGTGGGGTTAATTGACCTAGGCCCTCGTAGATCACCCATGTGCAATGCTGGCGGACCGAAAAAGACAGGACCCACGCCTTGGACCCGAGGGGGCTTAGAAGCATCGTTCTGAAAAACGGAGGCAACAGTTGAACAATTTCACGTTCACTAACTGATGTGAGCGCTTGCATATTGTCACATGGGTTAGACCGAACAGTCGCATAATTCTCTCTGGAAAGAATCGTCGGCAGTGACCGCATTATGAATTTCCTGTATCCGTGCCCAGAAAAGCGAGAAGGCTGGCATTTACTACAAGGAAGTCGGTCGACTGAATGCAAAAATTAACACATATTCTGAAGGGATGAAAACCACTTACATGAATTGTGAAACCTGTCTAATAAGTATGCAACTAGTCGCCAAACAAAATGAAAAGTCCACGGTTTAATCGACCCAGGCCCCTATAGGCCAGCCATGTGCATCGCTGGCGAACTGAAAAAGATAGGACTCATAACGTGGGTCCGAGGTACTCAGAAGCATCGTTCTCATAAATGGACTGGTCCGCATTAGTCGCTCGCCTCGTTGGCGCAAAAAATCGAGGAATTTCACTTTCACTGACAGATGTGAGCAAGCGCAGATCGTGGCATGGGAAAGAAATAGACTATCGAATGAGGTCCGCTGGGGCATCAGTGGGTATCCAAGGTACCTGTTCCGCATAATGTTCTTACCAAGGACGCACGTAGAATGGGGGTAGCGTTAGAAGTGTGTCCTAGATATCAAAAATGAGTGAACTGCGCCCTACAAGACAGTCAAATTACCTTTAATCATATTGAGCATTCCGTCATTTCTTCGCTTACGAACGGTGTTAAAGGGAGATCGGAAGTGATATTCCTGGTCATTTGAATTACACGAGGTTGTCTGCGCTAGCATGTAGAGTTATCTTTTAATCAGCCTGTTTTAACTTAGTGGGTATCGTAAGACGTGTTCATGAGCACGAGTCTGTTATCTTGGTAAACTTGAAAATTAGATGAAAACGTGGACATACCTAACCGAAATGTGCACACAAGAATTGCAACCGAGTTAATATCCTGTTATCGTTCAGTCGTAGTAAGAGGCTAAGGCGAGGGACAGACAAATATGACTTGGTTCTATGAACTCTTCACATTCATAATAGTCTGCTTTGTAAGTTCAATGTTCGTGGAACCGAGGAGAACAAACGCTTGCTGCAGCCCCGGGTCGAGTAAGTAGCCGCAAAATTTCCCGCCTGTAGCTGCGTTCATGCCGACCTGACGACTCCAATACCATTGGTAAGCGTCAAACCTTGGGTACGAGCAGTTTCGAAGACCGTTTCAGCGTAGCCACCACCTGCAGAGGCTGGGGATGGTCGTCAGTGGTGCTTGCGACTGTGACTCAGAAGGAGGTGGCGCGCATGGAATCAGTCACTGCGACGTCCCAGGCATTTTTCTCGTCGAAAAGTTATGTCCAGCATGACATGGAAAGTAGAAACCTCGAGGATGAATGTGTATAATTGATCGCAAAGCTTAGGTGGTGCAGAACGCGTACCGCAATGAGACAAATGATACACAGATGGATGTGGCAGTGACGCTTTGCTTCTTCAGCAAATTTCTGTAGAAATCTGAACAACAAGTCTTATAGATGAAGGAGTTGTTGACTTGACGAACCTGCACATCATTGTTAATTTGAGGTCAAGAATAAAACAACCATGTATGTAAAAGCGCCTGAAAAGACACGAGTGATATCTCCGGCGTAGGGAGCTATGTTCTGACCCCTCGAATGTTCCAAATGCAGGAATATGTGGGGGTCGCTTTCTTTCTGACACGTTTGACCAACACTAGATTATAATACTACCAGGAACTGACCAAGATCAGAGACTGCAGACGCGTGCACACAAGGGTTTTCAGCATCATAACCCTTCCAGTTCATCAAGATGGTGAGCGCCAAACATTCCAGACTAGACACGAACAGGATCTAACAAAGCGCAGGTTGTTCTAGCAGCATCGATATGCACTAAAGGCGGGAAAGGTGAGTCTACCTACCAACTCTCCAAACCGATATCTTAACACGCACTTCCAGCGGTGCTCTCGCGCCAATTTCACCCAATGACGCGCACCCATATCGAATCCCTACTTGCATCCTTCCCAAAGCTCATCCCGACAAACTCTCAACACACTTCCGTAGAAACCGCTCAAGTCCGCTACGTCTATCAGCCCTTGGAAGACCTTTACATTCTTCTTATCACTAATAAAGCTTCCAATATCCTTCAGGACATCGATACCCTCCACCTTTTTGCGCGCGTCGTGTCTGATATCTGCCGCACCGCAGACGAGCGTGAAATTCAGAAACAGAGCTTTGAGCTGCTTAGCGCTTTCGATGAGATCGTGAGCATGGGTTACCGAGAACAGGTTAATCTAATACAGGTAAGGAGCATATTGGAGATGGAGAGTCACGAGGAGAAGATACAAGATATCATCGCAAGGGTTAGTGCACACCAGTCAGACTACCCGACCCCCCACTCATTTAATGACAGAACAAAGAAGCAGAGGCAAAAGAAGAGCTCAAGCGTCGTGCGCGCCAACTTGAGCTCCAGCGCCGGGAGCAGCAAAAGCGTGCTGCTGTATCCGGCAGTGGGGGCAGCTCATATCTCGGTGGAGGCATGTCTGGATACTCTTCTGTTCCTCAGCGATTCGACGCTCCAGAGGTGCCGGCGGCGCGCACCGCATCACCTGCACCTGCGTCCAGCGCCCGCACACCTCCGTTCAAGGGCAGTGGCATGAAACTCGGCAGCAAAAAGACCAGGCAAGCCGAGCTTCTAGATGCTCTCGGCGGCGAGCTAGTCTCCGAGGAGCTCTCAGCGCCACCCACGCCTCCTATCCCCGATCCATCACCAGCGCCAACTAACACAAGAAATAGCCTGCCCTCTATCGCAGCTGAAAGGTGAGTACTCGCCCTCCTCAATTTCCGTCCCTGTTAATCTGTGTCTCTAGCGTACATATCGTAATCAAGGAACAGATCGATGTCTCCCTTATGCACGATGGTGGTGTACAATCAATGGAGGTCAAGGGCGACATGAACCTCCAAGTCTCCGACCCCGCTTTAGCGCACATCAAGCTCGCACTCCCGTCCCCCACCACCGACTTTGGCTCCGACCTCCAATTCAAGCAGCACCCCAATGTCGCCAAGTTCGCCCCCGGCCAGAACCGTATCGTCGCGCTCAAAGATCCTTCTCGTGCTTTCCCCGTGGGCCAAGCCCTTGCCGTACTCAAGTGGCGCTATGCAGGGCGCGATGAGTCCCTGGTACCATTGTCCAGTAAGCTCTCCACTCGCATATATTATTTTCACGCCCACTGACTCACCCTCCAAGTCAACTGCTGGCCCTCTCCCTCAAATGATGGTACCTGTGAGGTCAATATCGAATACGAGCTCGAGAATGAAAACGTCACCCTGCACGACGTCGTCATCTCTATCCCCCTCCCGTAAGTTCCTCTTCGTTCCTACTCTAATTTTTCGCCCACCCACTAATATACCTCTAGCACTGGCTCCTACCCCAGCATCACCACCACGCAATGCGACTACAGTATCAACCCCGCTACCCACTCGCTCGACTGGTCTATCCCACTCGTTTCCACCGTAGCGCGCAGAGGCACGCTCGAGTTCACTGTCGGCGGCGATGACACGAGCGTGTTCTTCCCCGTGCGCGTGTCATTCGTGGGTCGGGGGAGTATCGCTGGCATTGGGGTGGATGCTGTTTCGAGAGTAGATGGTGGTGAGGACCCGGTGTTTTCTGTGGATGCTGTTGTCACGACGGGTAATTATCTTGTTATTTGAGTGTCTTAATGTGTACCGGGAAATGCATGATCATACATCATGAATTTGCGAAACGGACTTTTGTTGCATATGATATCCTACATGCCCAGAAGGTCAAGGTATGAACTGCAGCGAGATTAGCGAAAGTCTCGGACTGAGCGTAAAAATGACCGCTGGCAACATTGCTCTGCTTAGTGCTAATGGCAGCATCGTACTCTCCCGTCCTATTCTCTCCATCAATCGAGGCTAAACTTAGCGCTTACATTTGGATTCGACTCTGCATGGGAGATCGCCGCAACGGCACGTCTCGATACATCAAAGAATCAGGCTGGGCGGACGAATGCCAAAAGTGCTCATTCTCTCCGACTTTTCTAATCTCTGCAATTACATGTCAAAATTACGAATGAGACAACCTTCTTCAAGTTGCGACAGTTTGGATACCCGATCGACACCGTATGAGAGAGGTCCTCGCACTGCCTAGATTGTAGTACACGCTCCCGTGACCTGCGACACCTCAGATCGACCATCGGGGACTGCATGTGTGTTGATATCCCATGCACTTTAGGAGTGTAGACAGTCTAGCGACCATGGGTTCGATAAAAGTCGTTGATAGGTATTTGCATGTAATGAGTAACAACTACAGTAATTATGGTTCGAATTAACTTACAGGCAGAAACACAATCTGCCACTTCCATGCTCTCTGGCGTTAACAATATTTGATGTAGATGGTTGTCGTGAGTCGGGGTTGGGGAAAACAGGAGGGTTAGAGTCGTTCCGCTGTAAATAGATGCACGAGGACCGGAATACACTGTACAGTGAGAAGGAAAAAGAGGCACGCATACCTGTTTACCCTGCGCGAGAGGAACATCGACAATACAAATCGCAGGCGATGCATAACTAATCGAAGGGGCCGCCAGGTTGATAGTGGGTGTAGGTGGGTTCGAGACTAAAAATGTAAGTCGAAATGCGACGATGAAAGTCCCTGCTCACGGTCTCGTAGGGATTTATATGTGGACGAGGTAGAGGCAACGTAGCAGGGAACTGCAAGGGAACGTGTGAGGAAAACAAACAAGAGGAACATGCATCCAGGGGATTACAAGGCCCATCGGCGCGAGTAGATCGTACTGGGTCCGTACCGAGCCCAAAGAAGGATTGGAGGTAACTCATCATGTATGTTACTGACCTGCAATAGTGCGGTCGAGTGCTCACCGATTTGCTTGAAATGAACTGAGTAGTGAACTGGCATGATAACGATAACAGAATTGCGCAGAGAATCCTGATAATGATAACGCACAGTCGACAGCTATAATACACAATCCGCATTTACTGCGGGTAAAAGTCCTAAAAGGCATGGTTCGGATAGTGGCGTTTTGTTCCCTCTCTAGTGCTCATCGATCCCATTCGATCTCACAACCTCGGGATAACTCTGCATCATTCGCCTGAGCTCTGTTTCCGGAATCCTCGTCTTGAACTCGATGGTGCATGGCCGGTATGTAAACGGCCGGTGGGCTTTCTCTGAATTCATGAATCCCATGTCATCCAGCGGCTGTGCAGGATCCAGAGTGAGCTGGAAGGCCCAAAGAATCAGGACCGCGCTTATGAACACCGTTCTGTATCAATCGAAATGAGCCCGAAAGGCCATGTCCGTAGAATGATAGGTTTACCTGTTCGCGACATGTTGACCGGGGCACACGCTGCAAGGAATTTAATACAACGAACGAGTAGTTGGAAGACGGTGCTTACCGCCGACCAAACCCGTAGAGAAAATTGGTTAAATCGTCTCTTAGGAGACCTTGGTCATTTATCCAGCGTTGAGGCTTGAACGCGTCAGGCTCGGGAAAGACTTCTGGATCTCGACAGATGGCCCTAAGGCAGTGACAGTTAGGTCTTTCGTGTTTAAACACGAAGCTCGAAGCTTACCAATGGTTACCAAATACTGTAGTCCCAGCTGGAATACAGTGGTTTTCCTGATGCCAGGTCATCAGTCACACACACATGTAAGCTATTCAAAGATTACTTGCCCAAATCACGTCTTTGGTTGCTCGGTGAGGAAATCCTGCAGTGACTGTCAGAAACTGTAGGTACAAAACCACAAGGATTATACTAACCATTAGGAGCAACTGGTCTCCATCTTACAGCCTCAGAGATGAAGGCATGCAGGCGAGTAAGGGATTGTTGGTCGGCGAACGTCGGCGCTTAAATGCAGAGCTCGTTGAATTCCACAGAACTGCAATAAGAAATCAAGCTACCTTGATGCCTTCCGATGACCGCATCGAGCTCGGCTTGAACTTTAGCTTGCTCATCGGGGAAACATGCAGCTGCCATGAGCACCGTGCATATCACCGAGGTAGTCTGATCCCTAATTTCAGCCACATTCTTGTCTTTGGACAACGAAAACCTCACTGTGTTGGATCCAGCTCTAAACAAGGAACCACCAAGAAAAGCAGTCTCGTCCTCTGTCAAGCCATGATGATCGCCATTCTCTAGCATATATCTCGTGAACGAAGGACCGATGTCCACATCGCTTTGCTGTGAATGACTTAGACATTTCATGTGAAGATCATTAAGGTGAAGCATACCATTTGCTCTTTGACTCGGTTCAGCTGACCTAAGTTAAGTCGCTTGCTCCTCTTAAAACCCTGTTTCAATTCTCGGCCATACCAGGGAATGTATTTCAGCCACGGGATCGAGTCCACAAGGTAGAAAGCATCAGGGCGCAGGGCTCCGTCAATTAACTTCCTGAGTTGACGCATCTCAATGACTTGGGGATCAGTTGCAGACGTGGGCGCAGTGTCCCCGTAGGTAACTTTCGTAATTACTGTCGCAGCATAACTTCAAAACGCTCGTAAGTAGTGTACGGTCGTAACAACAAGCACATACCTCGTCAGATGGTTCTGAAAGTTGTATGGATCATCGAGGATGTCGAAAATCAGATTCTTCACGTTTGACGTCTGCAAGGGCTGATAAGCCCCAGCTGCTTTAGGCTGGAAATGCGTATGAAGGGCTCTGCCAAAAGTTGAAAAGTAAATTAGTAGACATATTGCGGATTGCTAACCTACGCATCCGACGGAACCTGTCCCCAAATGGCGTGTAGGCGATACTCAATCCACCGCCAAATAATTCTCCAGCAGCGATCATGCGAGGACGATCAGCTAGAGTGCCGCCCTGATTCTCCATAATATCCATGGCGGCCTGCAACAGAATGGTGAGCCTCGGTTATGATAACTCGGCGTCGAGAGACTGACTTTGTAACGACCAATAATCACAACTTTTCCGACTCCTGACCGAAGAGTGATCAGAGGACCATACTCATTAATCCAACCTGCTATGGCAAGAAATGACCTAATCAGCGAAAAACATCGTGAGTACTAACAGACAACGTGTTGCATGCAAAAATTTACTTGCGAGGCGGCAAGAAATGCCCCCAAGGCCTCAAAGTGAAAGGAGAAGGTGGGAGAGGAAGGCCGTTCTTCGATTGAGGAAGAATAATTACTCCTATCACGCCAAGACAAGTCACAGCACCGACAATGAGCCGCGCGTTGTCCCAAATGGACAGGTCAGGCAGTTGTAACATGGCTGATGGGAGAAGCGCAAGGAAGGATTGGAGGGAGCTCATCGTAAGTAGCTTCTCAACTTCAAGGTTAGTGAAGCAATGTCAACTATCTGAGGGACAGACCAACTTTATGTAAATCCAGTTGACCAGCATACTTCAAAATTTATATCCTGGTCCATTATTGCCACGTTTCCACAGACCGTTAGTCCTTCGTATACATGGAGTCGGAGTATCATTGAGCGACAATTCTGCTGGCAAAGAATCACCGCCTCCGCAATTTGGCTCGAAGACCTTTCTCTCGTTTAGGAAGGTAACAACACTCCTGCCATACCAAGACAAGGTGCAGCACCGAGAAACGATGTCAGAAATGCACAGGTTGGGCAGCTGTAATACAGCTGACGGGAGGGCCCAAAGGATTGGGAGTAACTCGTCGTATGTCACTGCTGGCCTGCGACAGTTCGCTCGCACCTAGTAGCACTTGGCCATTAAGAGAAGCCACTGGAGAGCACGTGTACAACCTCTTTGGCCAGCATACTAGTTCAAATTTCTCGTTCTGTCTCACCGGTTTCATGTCCGGCGGAACTCCGTGACTCGTATGGTAATTAGAGGCATTTTTTTAGTGCAATTCTTCTGGAAGGACCGGCATAAATGGCGGAAATGGCAGCATGACATATTCTAGATTCTGATCCAGCAGGTGATGGTTGTTTTATCGTCCCTTCCAGTAGCACAGCTGGGATCATGACAGGGGGATGAGTTGGCAGGTCCATATGTGGACCATATGAAGACTATGTCTTCGCAGGATCAGGTTTAATGCAAAGAAGATAGAAGACATGGTCGAAGGACGTGATAGATTGACCTATAAATTCATTGCTGTAAAAACGCCGCAGGCAAGCCCTATGAGAGAAGCATATTACAATGCTGCAGCATGTCTTTGCAGATGAGTATTGCGATGCGCGTGATACTAGACCGACCACTTCAACGAGGTATGCGGAACCTCAACAGCCCCAGAAGCCCAGCTGACAAAATTTGTCGTCGTTTCATAAATAGGACGGGCGACAGAAGAGCTTAAAACCACACGTAGTCTGAATTCTCCGCAAGGCTAGGGCATGGCAGTGCAGGCTGGGCCCAAAAATCTCCGGAATGGAAACACACGGAGCGACCTAGGATAGACATTGAGATCTTGAAAATTGGACATCAACGGACAAGACATGAGGTTCTGAACCACAGTGATACCTGAGAATTTGATTGATTCCGTAGCTGATTCATGGTAAAGGACAATACATCACGTGGGTCGCAATCTGGATGGAGATCCTGCCGTACTGCGGTCTTGCTGTAGTGTGACCTATGCACGATAAATAGATGTCATAGGTCACCTTAGAATATTGCAGGACGAACCGGAAGAGCAAACCAACAGCTCACAACTTGTTGCATCTGCGAATTCAAGGTCAGGGTCCTTCAAGTTGTACCTGGGGCTACGATTCTGGAATGACTCGACACACTCAAACTGCTACAGTGATATATCTATGATTCACTGGTGTGTTCAGGAAAAACATGGGGTTGCATGTTAAATCCACTACGGTGCCTGTCATCTACGCGCCTCGCTGGACGCTGCATACTAGTACAGTTGCGGAAGCTAATGAGAGCATAACTCGCACCTGAGTTTCGACTGACGAACCTTGTTAAGTGTGCATGCGCGGGCGCATATTTAGCGCTGGACGAATCAAATAAAGAGTATGATTCCGTGAATCAAGAGCACGAGTACCAAATGAGTACGTAGTACTCCTAGTAGCTTGGACTTCAACCAAGTTGTTGATTCTGAGTCCGCCGTTCTGTTATGAAGCGGAGTTTGAAAGATACAGCGTGTTCTACATACGAAGATCTCCACCTTCCGATTGTAATAGTTTGGACACGCGACAATATGGGATGTGCTCGTATCATATCTTTGCAAGTCAAATAGATGCTGTCGTCATGACGGCATGACCATCTTGTTAATTAGTTGAGTGCTTCGTTATGCACCGGGAAATGTATAATAATACGACTCGGATTCGGATTCGCCTGCTCTTGCATCGGATATCATATATACAAGTTATGCTGCACCACAAACACAATATGAACATTGATGTATACTGTAAGACGACGTTATACATAAGATCCACGAAAGTTTCAAACAGAACGTAGGAATCATTGCTGGCCAAATTGTTCTAGCAATGCACACGATGCAGGTGATTGCAGTAACGATGTAGCCAGCAATGGTTCAGTTCACCGCCCCCTCCTCTCCATCACACAACGCAACGCCAATAGCTCCCAGCCCATACAAAATACAAAATCATACTGCGTGAGACAAGACCGTGCCTCAAAGTCAGCAGGAAGGACAAAAGTCTAGAATGAGCGCTCGTCTTTAAATCTCGTTCCTTCCAGCTTCCATCCACTTGGACTTGGCTTTGACTACGAGCCTAGGATGAGGCCTCCAGGTTGACGCACGATTATGTATGCTTCGCTTTTCCTGTTTCTCTCACGATAACGCGATCAGTGATATCACCATCATCAGTGGGGAACCAGAGCGCAAAGATGGCTCTGTAGGTGATGTTGAGCTTTGTTTCTGATACGCCAGGACGATGGCGTTGTTGTATAACGTCAGTTGTCGAGTTCCTGGTTTGGGGCGCTTGAATCAATTGCGAGGTCTGTGAAGATGTATGAACAACATACCGCGGTACCTTCCAGGCGGGAAGATACAGATAAGGTAGACGTGAAAAGCGAGGGGTTGATGAGGCAATAGATGAATGGGTATTTAACGGGGTAAACGAACGTAGGATTGGAAGTAAAGTTTCTATATAGGCTGAGCATCTCAACATGGGGAGGCACAGGCCACACAATAATAAACTCGCTTCCGAAGATCGATTGGCGAAGTCACGGGTAGTGATGGTCGCGTACCTGCCAGGCTTCTTCTCCGCTAAGAATCGAGTAAATTAGATCAACCATACCTAGTTAGTTGGAAGACAGAAGTGGCAATATTGATCATGAATGGAGAACAACGACATGTGGATCGGAGGCTGCAATTGGATGAGTCGGAAAATGAGTGGCTTTTGGGAATTCTGACCTACCGGCTCATGAACTCATTGTTCCCTTTTCACGAGATCAACTTGAAGTCCCAGTGGATTGCAGGGGCTCAGTTGGGCTGGAGAGCCGGATTCTCCTTAACGTTATCATAAGCGTAGACAGGAGAGAAGAAAAAAGTCCCTAGGCTGGGGGATCAACGCGGCAATATATGGTGATCGTAAGATGACGTGGTTCAATGAGGGCACAATGGATGAAATCGCTCTTCACCATTGGGAAGATGACCTCATTTTTTATTCTTGTGCCATCGAATGATAGAAATGAGGGGTACCATTATGCCGCATGAGGGACTTTGATGTCTAAAGATTGATCTTGCGGTGAGACGGTTGGACTGGGGAAGTGTGGGGCGCTTGTGACTCACTGAAGTGCATTCAGGAAAGTGGTCGAAGTACTAGTAAGGCCTGGTACTTACAAGAGCCATATCGATTTGAAACAACATGCAGGGTCCCAATCTTTTGACTGACTTTCATTCCGATTTTTGAGGTCACTACGAGAGCTCCATGCGGTCTTGATCAACGGGCTCCGAGCGCAGTTTTGAAACTTAGACTCGAATCATAAAAAGCTAAACGCGGAGAGGAAAAAATATTCAGAGTGTGCAGCTGAAGGTTAGTCTCGGGATAGCAAAGAGACTAGACGACGAAGCAGTGTGTTAAAACTTGCCCCGAGGGAGATGGGGGAACGAGGCGAGAAAGAAACGAAAATATTTGCGACAGGTGCAGATCTTTGCAAGTGTGTTGGATATCTCTTCGCAGCTCTCCATATTGTGTCTGCGTGCTGAGTGTAGCTATTTAGCTTGCCAAAGTGGGGCCAATGATTGAAATCAGTAGTAGTAGATGAGACGTGGATTTGTGACACGTCACATGGGTCGCGTCAATGTCGTGTCACAGCCTGTGCTCACTGCTGTCTGTTGATGGTCGTTTTACTATTTATGCTGCAACGTTCAAGTTCCAGCAGAATTGCATTCTAGAATGCTTCTACCCTTGAGACGAGACATCGAGCTTGTCAAATGGCTCGGAACGGATCTACAAGTACTGGCAGCTGTTCTTTGCCGTCATTGCTTTATCGATATGGTCGCCATCAGTCATTTTACAGCTGCCTGACCTATGCGTTTCTGACAACGCGCAGCTCGTTGTCGGTGTCACTACGTTCCTCTGTGCTGCGGCTTGTCTTGGCATGAGTAATTTCTCGGGTTTTACCTTCCTTAAGCCAAACACTCCAACACTACGGGCTGTCGAGACGTGGCAGTAATGGTATAGATTTCAGAATTTGAAGTACGTCGATCAACTGTCACGTCGAGGATTTGAAAAACCAGTTATAACTTCAATGCGCTTACGTTGAGTTCTCTCCGACCATTCCTTGTGCTCTTCCTATCAGCCATGTTACAATTGTCTGTCTTGTCCATTCCTGACAATGCGCGGCTCATTGTCGGCGCTGTGGCTTGTCTTGGTGTAATAGGAGTAATCGTTCAGGCTTACCTTCCTCAATCGATTAATGGCCTTCCTCTCCCACCTTCACCTTCCACTTGGAGGCTGAGGGGACACTTTCTGCCGCATCGCAAGTAAAGTTTCGCATTGAATACAAAGTCTTTGAAGCTCATGGTCTCTGTCGTTGATCAGGTCATTTGTTACTATAGCGGGTTGGATTAACGAGCACGGACCTCTGATCATTCTTCGCTCAGGACTCGAAAAATTCGTGGTTATTGGTCGTTACAAAGTCAGTCCCTCGACGCCAAGTTGTTATCTCCAAGCTTATTTAATCATGCTCTGTTGCAGGCCGCCATGGATATCATGGAGAATCAGGGCGCAGCGCTAGCTGACCGTCCCCGCAAGATTGCTGCTGGAGAAATGTTTAGCGGCGGACAGGGCCTTACCCTCACACCCTTTGGGGAGAAGTTTCGCCAAAAACGTAGGTACGCAGACTGCAAGACGTCTCCTAAATTGGTTTTCAATGTGTCGCAGAGCACTTCATACGCACCTCCAGCCTAAAGCAGCCGAGGCTTATCAGCCCTTGCTGACGTCACGCGCGAAGAACCTGGTCCTCGACATTCTTGGTGATCCACACAACTTCCAGAACCATGTGATAACGTATGCGCTTTCTGTTATGACCGTACACTGCTCACAGGTATTTTTTAAAAGTTTTTCTTCGACAACAATGATGAAAGTTGCATATGGGACTACTACACCCACTTCTGCGACTGATCCCCTAGTTGGGGAGATGTACCAACTCATGAAGTTGGTCAGTAAAATCCTGCGCCCTGATTCCTACTACCTGGTGGACTCGATCCCATGGCTCAAACACATTCCTTGGTATGGCCTAGAATTGAAGCGGGGGTTTGAGAGGAGCAAGCAGCTCCACACTGGTCAGCTGAACCGAGTAAAGGAGCAAATGGTATGCATCGCCTCCCCAATCTTCACATAAAGTGTTCAAGCCATTCTGCAGCGAAAAAATGTGGACATCGGTCCTTCATTCACGAGATATATGCTAGAAAATAGCGATCACCATGGTTTGACAGAAGTAGAGACGGCTTTTCTCAGTGCTGCCTTTTTCGGAGCTGGTTCCGATACGGTGAGGTGTTTTTGCTGTGTCCGAAGACAAATATGTGGCTGAAAACAAGGTTCAGACTACTTTGGCCCTGTGCGCAGTGCTCCTGGCAGCCGCGTGTTTCCCCGAGGAACAAAGTAAAGTTCAAGCCGAGCTCGATGCGGTCATCGGAAGGCACAGAGGTAGTTTGATTCCCTATTGTAGTTCTGTAGAATTCAATGGTCTCTGCACTCAAGCGCCGACTTTTGCCGACCAACAATCCCTTACTCGTCTGCGTGCCTTCATCTCTGAGGCTTTGAGATGGAGGCCTGTTACCCCTAATGGTGAGTATTGTTCTCGTGGCCTGTACCCACAGTTTCCGACGACTACACTGCAGGAGTTCCTCACCGAACAACCAAAGACGTGATTTGGGCAAGTGATCTTCGAACAACTTACTTGTGCGACTGATGATCTGGCATCAGGAAAACTACCACATTCCAGCTGGGACTACGGTATACGGCAACACTTGGTAAGTATCGAGCTTCCGAATCTAACCACGAAGACTTGATTGTCACTGCCTTAGGGCCATCTGTCGAGATCCAGAAGTCTTTCCTGAGCCTGACGCGTTCAAACCTCAACGCTGGATAAACGACCAAGGTCTCCTGAGAGTCGATTTAACTAATTTTCTCTACGGGTTTGGTCGGCGGTAAGCAGCGTCTTCCGACTACTCGTTCGTTGTATGAAATTCCTTGCAGCGTGTGCCCCGGTCAACATGTCGCAAATAGGTCAAGCTATATTCTACGTATATGGCAATTCTTCCAGGCTTACTTCAATCAGTGCAGATCTGTGTTCATAGGCACGGTCTTGATTCTTTGGGCCTTCCAGCTCACCCTGGATCCTACACAGCCGTTGGATGACATGGGGTTCATGAATTCGGAGAAAACACACCGGCCGTGCTCTATTAAATTCGAGTTGAGGATTCCAGAAGCAGAGCTCATGCGCATGATGAAGAATTCTCCCGAGGTCGTGTAAGTGGATGAGATTGATCACCACTAGAGAAAGAACGAGAACCTGTTCAGAATGAATCTCCAATATTGGAACCATGCCACCAAGAAATGTACTCGCAATAACTCACATTGTAATTTGTTTCATTGAAGACCGTGTATGATAGCTGTTGACTGTGCTTTGTCGTTATTAAGTTTCACTGTGCAGTTCATTCCATGCAGATTAGCGAACACTCAACTGGAGGACATCCTGCCCAAGATGTTCGACAAATATATCGAGCACATGGCTGCGATAGGGAGAAGAGGCTCGTTCAACGTAACATACAAGTGTGGTGGTTAGGTGGAAGATACTGACGATGATATAGAATGAAACCCCAGCCCCAGTGTGCAGTTGAAGTTGTAATTATATGAGTTGCAAGGTGAAATGTCTTCTAAGCATGATATGGAATTCGTGCCGTCATGATAACCTTTTTTGTGAGCCACCCAGGCTCGCGAACTCTTCAGTCATGGTATTAAGATCCCAACGGGCAGCTGATGTGTATTAAGATAGTCATACCGTCATGACGACAGCACCTACTTGACTTGCAAAGATCTAATACGAGCACTTCCCATATTGTCGTGTGTCCAAACTATTGCAATCGGAAGGTGGAGGTCTTGAATTCTTCATAGTCAGACTCATAATTGCAGAGATTAAAGGAGCATTCGTCCGCTCAGCCTGATTCTTTGATACATGCCTGAAATATCCACGAATCCCATTGCGACGATTACTCCACAGCCAATATTGTCGTTGAAAAATAAATGACGAGAGTTGATGGCAAGGGTTTCGAGAGACTTCAGTAGACTCTGGTAAATATACTTCGAGTAATTCGAGGTCTTTGGATGGACTGAAACGTTGACTTATGAGGAAAATGGATTCACTGGAGATACGAAAAATACAAGAAATCTAGGCGCTGTCAAAGCGCGAGTGGCGAGACATGAAAGGGAAAGGCGTTGATGTAAGTGCAAAAGAAAATGAGACGATAATCAAACAGCGTAGTGAAGGTGGGAGTTGAGAGATAGAAGATATAAACAAAGGTATGAGAATGTGAAACGTCAAAGAGTAGGTACGGAAAAGGAAAAGAATCGGAAACGGGGCGTATGGAGTCAGAATCATTGAAGTGTTTGATGTAGCGTGCATCCATCGCTACAGGCGAAGCCATCCTTACAAATATCATCGTGAAATAGGGCTAGATGTATTGAATTTAGCAAATGCGAGGACAAATGGTAAAGACTAAGAACTCACACATCTCGGCAACGCGACCAGTGTGTCCCATGTGCCATACGGCTCAAATCAAGCTCAGCGCCTCCTCTTGGGATCACCATTACAGTGCCAGGAGAATAAAACGGAAACTGGGAGGCTGGAGGTACCCAGAAAAGGAGCCGATGATTGGGTCCCATCATCCATCCATCAGCCCGCAGCAAGAAAGGGGTTGAATTAGAATCATGGTGAGAGGTACGTTCGAGCAAGTCAGTGGGGTTGGGCAGGGCGTGTTCCAGGCTGGAGGAGAAGGAAATGGGGTGATCGTTACGACTGTTGATCAACATGACACGGTCTTCTTGGGTGGAAAGTGGGGTGCTTTGATGCAGCAAAGATGTGGAGGAATCTGGCTTTCTGTACTCGAGGGATGGGTGCACTTTCACTGCACTCCACATACGGACAGTATTGTCTTCCGAACTAGACACGATGCGCGTGCCATCCGGCGAGAACGAGCCTGAGGTAACCTTTCCAGTGTGCCCTTTCAAGGGCTCACCCAACGGCTGGCCCGTCGCTGCATCCCACAGCCGCACAGTCTTATCATCCGAACCAGACGCGATACGAGTACCATCCGGTGAGAACGAGACTGACGTAACCGCGTAAGTGTGCCCCTGCAAGGGCTCACCCAATGGCCGTCCTGTCGCCACATCCCACAACCGCACACTCCTATCCCAAGAGCCAGATGCGATGCGAGTACCATCCGGTGAGAACGAGACTGACGAAACCGTATTAGTGTGCCCCTCCAAGGGCCTACCCAATGGCTGTCCCGTCGCTGTATTCCACAGCCGCACAGTCTTATCCCAAGAACCAGACGCGATGCGAGTACCATCCGGTGAGAACGAGACTGACTCAACAACCTTAGTGTGCCCCTGCAAGGGCTCACCCAATGGCCGTCCCGTCGCTGCATCCCACAACCGCACAGTCTCATCATACGAACCAGACGCGATACAAGTACCATCCGGTGAGAATGAGACCGACGAAACATTGTCAGTGTGCCCCTCCAAGGGCCCACCTAATGGCCGTCCCGTCACTGCATCCCACAGCCGCACAGTGTGATCCCAAGAGCCAGACACGATGCGAGTACCATCCGGTGAGAACGAGACTGACTCAACATGGTGAGTGTGCCCCTGCATGGGCTCACCCAATAACCGTCCCGTTGCTGCATCCCACAACCGCACAGTCTCATCCGCCGAACCGGACGCGATGCGAGTACCATCCGGTGAGAAAGAGACCGAATTAACTGTGTCAGTGTGCCCCTGCAAGGGCCTACCCGATGGCTGTCCCGTCGCTGCATCCCACAACCGCACAGTCCTATCCCAAGAGCTAGACGCGATGCAAGTACCATCCGGTGAGAAAGAGACCGACGTAACATTGCCAGTGTGCCCTTCCAAAGGCCCACCCAATGGTTGTCTCGTCGCCGCATCCCACAACCGCACAGTCTTATCATTCGAACACGACGCGATGCGAGTACCATCCGGTGAGAACGAGACTGACTCAACCGATGAAGTGTGCCCCTGCATGGGCTCACCCAATGACTGTCCTGTCGCCACATCCCACAGCCGTACAGTGTTATCCGCCGAACCAGACGCGATGCGAGTACCGTCCGCTGAGAACGAGACTGAGTAAACAATGTTAGCGTGCCCCTGCAAGGGCCCACCCAATGGCTGTCCCGTCGCTGCATCCCACAACCGCACAGTCTTATCCTTCGAACCAGACGCGATGCGAGTACCATCCGGTGAGAACGAGACCGAGGTAACCTCGCGAGTGTGTTGCATGGGTTCACCCAATGGCTGTCCCGTCGCTGCATCCCACAACCGCACAGTCTTATCCTCCGAACCAGACGCGATGCGAGTACCATCCGGTGAGAAAGAGACCGACGAAACATTGTCAGTGTGCCCCTCCAAGGGCCCACCCAATGGTTGTCCCGTCGCTGCATCCCACAGCCGCACAGTCTTATCCTCCGAACCAGACGCGATGCGAGTACCATCCGGTGAGAACGAGACCGAGTTAACCGCGCGAGTGTGCCCCTGCATGGGCTCACCCAATGGCTGTCCCGTCGCTGCATCCCACAATCGCACAGTCCTATCCCAAGAGCCAGACGCGATGCGAGTACCATTCGATGAGAACGAGATTGAGGAAACCGTCCAAGTGTGCCCACTGATGATGGTCTGAATAACCGCCCAGTTCAAATCACAGCCGGATGCAAGACGAAGGTTATTCGGAAACTTTGCCGTAAATTTGGTAGCCATGGTGGAGTTGACGGGCGAGAATGGGAGCGCTGATAAATACAGATGCGGCGTGCTGTGCAAAATCATGCCGCCAAACACTTGGATGAATCTTCGTATATCCATCGTGGTCGACTGCAATTTTTCGTATCCAGAATGGCCCTGTATTTATTGATGAACCGTTCGTCGGATACTGCCTCGTAGGTGTATGCTTACCTTCAGCCACTTGGCAACGAGTGGAAGCACAGTTATTGCGCCCCTAATTGCGTCGAGAAGGCCGAGTGCTTCAACCCAGAAGAGCAGTCGCTCGTCGTCGAAGAATGATTTTATTGCGTTGGCGAGCTCCGAGTCGAAGTTCGATGCTGATACGTGCGTAGCCCAAAATCGACAGGAATAGGACAGGTGTGGGGGAATGGATGTTTCGACTCGTTGAGGCAGCCCCGTGTCTTGGGAATTAGGGAGATACGACGATTTTAAATCACATATATTGAAGCGAAGGCCATGTTCCATCACTCGTAGTGACGCAAATGCAAGGTCGCATTGTACGTTGGGTACCTCGACGAAAAAGTCTCCGCTGGATGACTTGTCTCTCAGGAAGTCGTGGAAAGATGCGTGAAGGGGTCGGATGGGTGTACATAAGTTGGTGGTGCCGCTGAGGAGGGATCCCATGCGTTTAATAATGTCCATGTTGTCATGCTTGCTTCGGTCTGGAAAGTACATCCGCATGGTATCGAGGGAATTGAAAGGGAGTGGTTCAGCTGTGCTAAGTATCTGTCCCATCACGGAACGAAACCCTGTTAGTGCCTCTTCGTACTCGTCATCATCGTATTGATCCCTTTTCATGAGTTCTTTCAAAATGATCAGATACATATCGTACAATAGGTTTTTCTGCTTTCCGGCACTGCGGTTCGCAAGGGCATTGAAGCGAGGCATATGGCGTACACCTGGAGGGGTATTTTTGATGTATTCACAGGCGAGACGCGCCCACTCGAAGAGTCCGTCAGCTTTTGCAGCGAGCGTTGCAATATGGTTGTCCCGAAATTCTGATAGCTCTCTCAACTCTTCAGATACGAAGGCGTGAATGTCGCGCTTCACGACTTCTGGTGGAATATCGTCCATGGACAACCGTAGAATATGATCGGCACCTTCAAACTCCTTTTCGATATCATGAAGGGGGCGAGAGGTGACGAGAATCCGAAAGTTGGAAGGGAGTTCCGTGATTTGGGGAAGTCCTTTGTCGTGGAGTCTACCGGCAAGTATGCGGAGGAGGTTACCCCGCGTCTTCATTCCACCACTCTCATCTAGTGCCTCGATCACGATCAAGACAGGCCCTACACCTGATGCAGAGAATTTCTTTAGCGGTTCCATGAGAAGCTTGCGCCACTGCTGGATAATGTCCGTCGTATTCTTGAGCGAGTTTGCATCCTTGACTACATCCGCTAACGCTCGTTTCATCCCCGGATCACGATCAGCAAGGTCGCGCGCGATGGTGGAGAAAATCTTGTCATGGCGTCGGTCTGCTTCTCTGTGCCGATCGAAACAAAAACATGAACCGAGGCCTCCCGTTTCACTAAACCAGTTGGCAATCGTGTGGGCGATGGCTGATTTGCCCTTGCCTGCAGGACCGGATAGCCACATTACACGCGGAACAGAATCTCCAGCGCTGTTGATCCACTCGGTGATTTGGGAGAGAATGTCCGTGCGAGTGCCCGACAGACATTGCTTCGCGGTATCTAGTCCCGCGCCCGCTGCATAAGTCATGCCACTGAGATCGAGTGTTTCACCTTTAAGGGATGAGTACATCTAAATCAGAGACACGCATAAATCCTTACCCACAAACTGGACAAAGATAGCTACGTCCCGATTGGCTTGATCACGAAATTGTTGCATAAGGCCATCCAAGGCGTTGTTGTACTGTGTGATGATGTCATCCGTTGCCGCGATAATGTTTTTGCCGGTTCTCTTCCCTATGATCACAGTGAGTGTAAGATTCATGTGCGAATGCAATAGTCCGGTGACTCACAGAAGCTCTTCGTCTCCGAGTATTCCCTGATGAAACGGGCACACTCGAGAGTCTGCTGAGCAATCTTTCCGACGACATCGCGCATCGATTCAACCTTGGAAAGATTGTCGTCTTGGGTTATGAAGCCATAAACTTCGTCTAATTTCTGGAGAAGGCGATTGATCGATTGGTCGCGCTCCGCTTGAGCAAGAATAATCTGCACGGGACCATAACTTCTGAGCGGGAGGCAGATCTCCGGGCAACATAAAACGTACTTCGGATGCAGCAGAAAGTACTCCCAACGCCATTTTTGCGTATGGATGCACCTATAACTTGATAAGTTCACTACCAACTAAAGAGAGTGATCCATACATTTGACAACTTCTTGATGGCAGTATCGAAAATTTTGAGGGGTTGGAGGTATGTGGTCTGGAAATTATCTGCGGCAGCGAGATCTGCCGGCGCCTTGCTGGCGGCAGATGTCACAGATAGGGCAGGTCCCCCGAGTATTTTCATGCGTTCTGAAGCCTCGTGGGCACCCTGAAGTTCAGCATCAACCGATTTGGGACCAGGAGTTTCCTCCACGCTAGAGGGGGCGTCGAGAACCTGCGCGACCAACAAAGTTTAGAGACGAAAACTATATAATTTGATGCAAGTACCTTCGAAGCAGGTTCTCTTGATGTGCCTTGGTTGACGTGGCCACTGAGATTTTCAGCTGTGGTGAGATGTTCGTCACCGGTGGAAGGATGCGGATGTGATGTGTCCTGGACGCCTGTGATAAAAAAAACTGAAGGACGATTTGGAGCACCTACTTCGATATTCTGATTCGATGAAGCACCTTGAAGGTCGACATTCTGGACCGCAGGAATGCGGTCGCGGGAACGCTTGAAGCGTTTCTGAACAACGTCAGCCCATATTTAGAACTAGGACAACAAGAACTCAGCAGTCTACTCACAGGAATTTTCTTGGTGATGGCTTTCGTAAATTTCCGCATGGCCTGACTCGACTTTGGGATTGACTCTGGACGAAGAAAGCGCCAAGGGCAGCGATGGGTTTTCATGAGCACTTATCCACAGTGAGTGAGCCTATGAGACCACATACCGAATTTTCACGAACGGTTGCTTCGCAGGTTTCTGGAGGAGGAACTGGCCTATGGTCTTCACTCAGCACGAGTGGTCAATTAGTGTGAGCGGAGTGGAGGTGCAGGACGTATGGGAGAAGGGAGAGGACCTCTGGCATGAGCTAAATACCCTTGACCACAAGCTTCGAAGCATGGGATTGCCGAAGCGGGTACAAAGGGGCATAAAGGCACAGGGCAAGATATTTGGACTTAATCCTTTACAAGACAACCCTTAATGACTGATGGGCCACTACGATGTATGTGAGTACACGTAATTATGTAAACGCAATATTCTTATTCGGTCCATGACGCACGTTCAGAATGTTCAGAGCGGCTACTTACATCAAACAAGGACTCGCCTTCGGTCTGCTTTTGTACGATACACTGTGTTCACGGTAATGAGATGCGAGTGATGTCAATTGAGTTATGTGAATAGATACATGATCGTCACAGCAGCAAGTCGGGAAATACAATATTAGCACATTCTTGTCTTTCGTTTGCATCTGCAAATAGACACAATGTATCTCTTCGCGTTCTCACTCTCGATAATGCTGTATACAATTGACCGTGAGTAAAAGGATCCGTTCGCAAGTCGAGCACCGTTCTTCCTAGCGTCAGTCCTTGACAACCATTAAGAGTAGTTGCATATGCGAGTCATAGAGGAAATTGTCTTCGATTTACTGTCCAGGATGAACGGTTTGGATGGAATGAGAAGTTGATGCGGGGAATGCAGTGGCTTTCCATTGTATTGAGTAGTTGCACTTCGACGAACCGACGATGCAGTGCAATCACACGCACGCGCGCGTTTCTGACCAATCCCTTTTCTATCAAGAGAGGTTCCGCTCAATGGCGCAAATGCAGTTTTCTTTGAGATCCAGGCGATGAGGAGATACTCCAGGATGGGTCAACATTGCGAGATAGTCCGGCGTGTGTTCTGGTGCATTAAATGGTGTGGTCGGCTTCTTTCAGGCTGTCCAAGCTGAAATAAGATTCTATGTCCCGTCAGTAGAATGTGTGGATGATGTTTGTCTGGAATACTTACGAAAATCGCCGGGCAATTTCTCTAGAATTTTGTCGTTAAATTCGTCGACATAGATATTGAGAGGAGAGAGGAATGCGCGCTGAAGACACGTCTCGGCGTCTTCGAGCACATGTGGCGGGAAGAGGAAGTTAATAGTATCCTCGAAGTTTGAGTCTCTTGTCATAGGCGACCACCAACGACGGAATCACCACAAAGTCATGGTTCAAACGTTCAAACGCGTACCGTATGTAAGGGTAAGTCACGATGATATAATGATGCTGCTTAGTAAGCATTCGTCAACGCTTTTCAACGTTGTTCATCACTACTAGCACTCGATCTTAACCGTCGGACGCGTGATGGTAAATAGCAAAGCCATGTCTCAGCTTGTTGGTGCCTCGAATGACGTTATGTAAATATCCCCTTTATCACCTTTATCACTCATGCGCCTGGAGGCTGGCAGATGCTCATTGTATTTAGTTAAACCCCCTTCTTCAGGCCATCAAAACGTGTCTGTCCACCCTTCAGACTTCCATGCCCCACATGTCTGCATTCATTTGAATTGACTTACTATGACTTTCCACCATCGCGGCAAATAACTATCGATATCGGGCATTCCTCCCTGAAGTCTCTACCATCTGTTTAGAACCAGCAGATATATGTGGCCTCCTGAACAGTGAGTTTGATATATTGTTGTCGCATCAGAGCTCGGCTCATGTTTTCCACGCTTGTTGTCTCAGACTCTTCACTTTGGCACGCTCTTATCAGTTGACATGTCTGTTCGCGCGCGACATCAATATTGCCCTCTTTGACCTGCTGTTCTCAAGGCATTTGATAACTACGTACCACGCACTCCAGTGCATACTTAATCACGCAGGACAGGATGTGCCGTGCCCGCAGAACACGCCATGAACGAGTCATACGAGGATAGCCTCGTCCCCCAGTAATTTATGATGTAACCACAGGTATAGTCTCATACTCTTTTCACATCCGGAGGCCTGTCGCAATGTTATCGCTGTTTCATGCTGTCCTGAGAATCGAAACTACAGTCCTCTGGGAATTTCCTGAGATACATTACTGAGAACGAACGTACTTTTTTAGCTTTTGCGGTCGCTACCTCGACAACATCTGGAGTCGACGTTGCCCTGTGTGACTGAGGGTGACGAATGCGCGTCCAAATGGTGCCTAGAGGTGGAATACGCCGTTCTCGACTGGCAGGTCCTGAGGACGTCTCCGGGGTCTCCCTTACAGTGGACTTCGCCTTGGGAGATCGAGGATGACGGATCCGTTTCCATATTTTCGGAAGAGACAGGATTCGTGCCATCATGATAGCCTTTTTTATGACCCACCCAGGCTCCGTGACGAACTCTCCAGTCATGATATTAAGATCCACTGGCAAGTGGGCGGCTGATGTGTATTAAGATGGTCATACCGTCATGACGGCAGCATCTACTTGCAAAGATATAATACGAGCACTTTCCATATTGTCGTGTGTCCAAACTATTGCAATCGGGAGGTGGAGGTCTGATTATAGTCAGATTCATAATGCAGAGATTAAGGGCATTCGTCCGACTCTTTGATACATGCCTGAAATATCCCTGAATCCCATTGCGACGATCACTCCGCAGCTAATATTGTCATTTAAAAACAAGCGGACTCGAATCATTGAATTTTGGGTTACACGAAGGATCAATGAAATGGAACAAGACGCTGTACTGACTCTGATGAATACATACAGGATTATGATAGTTCGAGAGCAAAGAAACGTCAAGTCAAAGAGTAAGCGCTGAGCTTACGATGGAGAGGACAGGGAGCTTAGGACAGAGCTTCTATTGGACAGAACGATCACACCGTAAGGTCTGCAGGTGACATGCTGGACATAGACACATATATGAGGGCGTCAGAGCCGTGCACTTGCCGGTCGATATGCCAGAGATGGAGGTGCATGCGCGTGGCAAGGGTCGCAAGGATAAAGGCCTGAAAACTGTATGTATATTTGGTGTGTTATCAGTAGGAATTCGCACCAAAAGTTGGAGTGCGTACTCTTCGAGGATGGTATAGTATACAGACTGCGTGTACAGAACATCAACAACTCAATCATATTGAAGGGCATTAGGAGGTTTACGCACATTGGAAACCAGCATTGGCACGAGGGCGTTCATGCCCGAGAAAACTTTCGGACCAATAATCATCACTGATGAGCTCAGAATATATATATATATCTTGACTCACACAGACCGCATGCATAGTAGAATATGTTGTGTTTCACCAGGACGTCATGCAGATGGCCGTTAGTTGTCCGCCAGCTCTGTATGACACGTATGAGTGTGAGGGAGATCAGTCCTGGGGGGAGCTTCAATCAGCGCATATCTGATTTGAGCTACAAGTGCACGGCAACATACCTAGTTGAAACACAAACAAAAGAACAAACGACAAGAATTGGACACTGTGCGAGCTCCAATAGCAACCTGTGATGCCTGGAATCATGCTAATCGTAACTGTAAAAGTGGAGTAAATGAGTACGAACAGTAGTGAGGGAAGACGAGGTCACAAACCATATGAGGAGGCAATAGTCGTAAAACGACTGCCGATGGAAGTTAAGACAACGGCCTAACTGATTCATCAATCATGAGCTTGTGCGTGGTCAAGGCAAGGGACTCACAAGGAGGGCGGACAGCATGGCTACAAGGATGACTTTATTGTTGTTCCAGAGTGCATACGTTCTGAGCACAAAAAAGGCTGGATAAATCGGATCAGAAGTACATATATGTAGCGGGGAAAGGAGAGATACATTCAGAGCAAGTGATTGACATCTGGAAGAAACCTGTGAGAGGAAAGAGTAGCGCTCGGCAAAGACGTGCATGCAGCGTGTACTGTGCATATACCTGAATAAATAAATATCATTGTCCCGCATTTCTGGCAAATTTTGGCAGTAAGCGTTGCTGATCATACATTAGTCGATAAGTCTGCTGCAAGCTTACATACATTGGGGCTCTCCGAGTCGTTCGTTGTGAAATTTACTGAAGCACAACATGTCAATGCATTGTCGGGGGATTATGATGGAGCTGAACGCACTAAAGAGGTTCATGGCGATAAGAAAAAAGGGGACATATCGTGTAACGACATAAAGGACTTTTACTTTGGTCCAGCGCGACCGACGGAGGAATTTCCACTTTGAACAGCATATTATCAATATCTAAACCACGGAACAAACGCATTACCTCTACACGAACTGAACAAACATAATCATAGGTCTAGATAAACAGGTTGAGCGGTGACCGAGAATAGATTGGTTCTAGCTTACCCAGAACGTTGCCATCGACACTAAGCCGTTAAGTGAGAACGAGGAAGAAGCGGTTAAGACAATACGCACTGTATAGGTACTGGTGGGACAGGTACGTTATCTTGCCCTCGTATTAAGAAATCGACGCACCGCCAATAGCTGCAGATTCGTGACCACTGCGATATCGTCTGCCGAATACTCCATCTCTGCGTCCGTTCGATAAGTAAAGAAACGGGATTTTTGCACATACATGTACCCTCTTATATCTCAAGAACGAACTGGGCACCTATCAAGATGCTGGGAACAGCATTCAACTTACAACCTTGGCTTGATCGTGATGGAGTGTTTCGCTGGTTACTAGAAAGTCGACGTGGTCACAGGGCTGGCCAGGCTCCACATGCCAGGGAAGAACCAAATATAAAGTTTCGATGATAAATTACGATGTTTCCTCGCGCCATCGATTGAGGCTATAACATGAGAGAACCGGTGAACAGCCTATGAGAAAGTTATTTGAAGTAATATATAGTAGAGCATCGCAACAATCTTGGTATATCTGCTGACCGCTTTCACATGGGAGTGTTTGGGCTTATCGAGGAAAGACGAATGCACAAGCGCTCGCAGTTAACTTGATAGAAGTTGTACCTCCGGTGCCAGAGACATATAAGTTAGGGTGACAACAATGATCAGACTACTATATATATAGATGGTTATAATTAGATTAGGTTTGCTGTTGTCCAACTATAGTACTTACATTTTTAGTCTCGACCCACGACTGGTGACCATCCAATTATCTATCACTGCCTCCACAACATTAATATTCCGATCCTTACATCGACTATCAACCCGGCGGCCTGTTCAGGCGCATCGCCTGCTATTAAGGTAGACGACATCCAAATCCAGCCACATCTTGAGACAGCATTTTGCACAACTTATTACACTTTCCTTATCCACTTTCCAGACATTCTTTTTGCACTAATCTGTTCCTAAGACCTCTCTGGTTAGATTGATGGTTATGAGGGGCATCACTGGACAAAATTAAACAAATAGTTGCACGGTGAAATTTAAAATTTTCGGCTGAAAACCAATCGTTTCTAGCTAAATTTTTTCACTTCACAATTGCAATGCCCAAGTGCAGCCTGCCGGATTATCCCGGTTAGATTCATTCGTTTTTCTCTCCGCCACGATGTCGAGGTCGTGATTCATAAGCAGGTGTCGTTCAGACTCGTTCTACCTGCTTGCGTCCCAACCCAGGCTAACGCTCGGTTCAGCCCAACCTAGTAGATCGTGTCAGCGACTCTCGAGTCAGACGAAGCTGGAAACGCTACCCAGTACTGACCACCACTTCTGCCTCGGCCGCAGGCGGTGCTGGTCTAGTACTTGTGCCTACTTTACAGTAATGCGAACTTCATGTTTTAGCCAACATTAATGTCATTTCCTGCTCTCAGATCTCAGGGTTGTTTTGAGTTTTTTTCAGTCGCATTGTTCCAGAGAATGTGCTTGCCTCCATCAAGTATATAATGCCTTATGGTGCATACTCTCATTCCTCGTATCAGCAGAGGCTAGTCCCAACTACTTCGTCATGAACAACCGCAGGACTGCTCGTAGCCGCCTGCTACAATGTAGCAAGGACCTTCAGACGCCTCTTCCATGCAGTCTACCAATGATCGTCGCTTATCTCATGCGGCCATGCACCGTGGTCAACGAAGTGTCACTTCCGGACCATTTGGTCATTCTTTGGCTGGCCCCGTAGGTCAAAAGGGAGTTCAAGCAAGCGCTCTGTCAGTTCTAGTACACCAGCACCTGATGTGCTGCCAGTGACCTTTAGACTCTACCCATACCATAATGTATGTCGTACAATGTATTCGAAATGTTCAACGGTACGGTATGGGTCACTGTACGGTCATACGACCGGCTATACGGTCAAACGGGAGATGAAACAACGTCAAATTGTAATCAGAACTAACGTGCAATATGAAACATGCCAATGGCTCGTTCGCACCAGCTCCTCCGACTGCATCGGCCATCGCTCGTGCTCATAGGCTCCTCCTGCCAGCAGAAGCTCCTTCCCTCCTTCGCATACGCTTCCAAATCATAAACATATGGCGTCCTATATCACATGCAGCTGTAAATTGGCCGATTGCACTATGCAACTCCCGCGGTGTCGATTTCGAGAAAGACTCGGTGCCTGTCGCTCTTATATACGCTGACTGTGAGAGTGAAATATTTGGAGTCAAACCAGTGAAGATACATGAAAGCAATGAACCCGGAAGAGTTTGTTCTTATCAAATGGTGAGCGAGATAACTTGGGGGAGCTTTCCGTCGTGCTAAAAGGGTGTCAGCTTTGATTCGATACAGGATGGCAATGTTGTGAAGTTGACCCCTCATACTGGGTTCCACATCAGGAAAACATCGAGTTCCTTAAACGCTCCTTATTTGCCTTAATTTGCTCAATAAGGAACTTTTAAGGCCGTTTTTCGTCCTTAAATTAAGGAGACTAAGGAGATCCCTTTCCTTAAACTAAGGAAATAAGGAGGATAAGGAGCGGATAAGGAGCGGATAAGGCGGTCAAGGCATGTTATTATTTCAATAGTCACAGAATAATCCAAGTACGCTAAGGCGAAAATAAGGACGTCAACGAGTTCAAGGCGGTCAAGGCGTGCTATGAAAATGACAAAAAAATATTAAAAACGGTGTAGGACAGCAATTGACGAGAGCAGAGATTGAAGTGAAACGATACGAGGCTTTCAGATACGGATACGTGTACGTGGATTGACGGGGGTTTCACCATCGAGAATAGTAGACTCGTCCTTGCGGCGAGCACGCTTCATGTACGCCTGAGATCGTTCCACAATTTCTTTGATGCGGTCGAAGGGCAGCTCCTCGATTCATTCCATGTACGCGAGTGTATCAGTCTCCCAATTACCTGCAGAAAAAGCAGTGCCTGTGTTACTCATTTTGTTTGTGGACTGATTGAGAGTCAACGCGATCTTGTGTTTCCCGTGGTCCGAAGTATCTTCCACAATCAGGTCGTCGCGAGCTAAAATAAGTGCACGCTTGGCCTGCAAATGAAAGTTAGCAAGTTTTGTAAAGGCGCTGCAAAACTCACGGCTGCAGTGGTCAGTGCAAGGGCCGTTTGATATCCAGGTAAGCCGAAGTCGAGCGAGTCAATTATCTGGTGTCCTTGGGTGGCATTGAGTTGAACAGCGAAGATGCGCAAGATGAATTCCGATAAGAAAGCTCCAGGTGAGTCTTCGTTATCTGTATCTTCATATACAAAGCATGAATCTTCAAGTTGATATTCGGCATAGTCTTTGCATGCCTCCTTGGTCTTGAATTCGTCCACTGGAGGCGAAAAACGCCATGAGAATCGTGATAGCGGTGGAGCCGAAGTTGCCTCTCCATTCAGAGATCCTTTGGCATACCTGCCAACATAGTTGTCAGCTAGAAGTACCGGAATACAATTTACTTACGACGTTGAAGGCAAGATTACAGCCATCATCATTCCTAAAGTCTCCAGGCTGCTTACACACTGCCATGAATATATCCTCGAGAACGTCTGAGAGTTTCTCATTGGGGATGGTCCATGGATAGCTGTTGTTGCCGACCCAGTGCATGACTGTTGGAATAAATATGGAACGAAAGCTGAGATTCTGAACAGCGCTGGGCAAGTGAGAATTCTTTGGCTTTTCTTTCTTCAGATTGAGTATTGTATGTGGTGCACGTCCATTTTCGGTTTTGACGAACTTGGATGTTGGACCGTCCATCGTGGTATCCATGACGCTAACTGACATCTGCATAGGAATTTGTCAGCGTTGTCAGGCGACCTGAGCAAATTCTCCATACAGAGCTTGTGAGTCGACTGCTTGAGACCTATAAATCCATGATAGTGGTGAGCGATTCATCTATCTCACAGGACCCACCAGTACTTACCTCAATAATGTCACCCTGCTGATCCGTCATCTCAACATCCTCATCCTCATCCTCAGCCGCACCCTCATCCTTGTCCGGAATATATTCGTCGGCATCGTCTTCTTCCATTTCACGCGGCTCTTCAGGTTCGAGGTCATCCAATGAGGTCAGTGGACAAGGTACGCTTCCGTCCCCTCGTGGCATCATCAACAGTCTCAATCATACGCACGACACCCTGCATTGATTTTAGCATTCCCCATTCACAATCATGAAGTCACTCACCTGACTACCCCGACTCACAGTTACGCTCTCATCATGATCTTCAGGTAGGTTTTCGTCTTCGGATATGTCCACATCCCTGCTTGCAATCACTAAAAACTGTTAGCGATGTGTGCAGACATGAAACTCAACCTACCACTGGCACGTGCACTTGGTGGCGCAGATGGCTTCCGTTGGGACTTCGATGCCACGCTTTTAGCCCACTTCCCCACTTCCACCTCCTCTGTCGATATGGCGTGTTCAGATCCCCTACATTGCAGTGAGTGAAATATGTCGAAGTAATAAAGAGTCAGCTCTGATAAGAGTAACATCGCAGTTAAGACGAACTTACAACGACCTTCGATTTTTCCCACTGTCACTGCCCCTGCCCGCGCTTAGTACAACGCACGTTGTAGATGATGTACCATTGTTGGACACCTTTCGATTGGCGTTGACACCATCCTTGAAGGTGAGTTTCAAGCCTGGATATTTCTTCTTCGGGGCGTCAGTGCTTTTGGACACTGGTTTTGCCCCAACAGCTGTATAAATGTCAAAGAACTGGTAAGTCTTGCAACAGCATTGTATTGCATAAGGCTTACGCGTCTTGTCAGGGGTTTGCAGTTGGCGCTGCCTTGGTCACTGGGCGCGGCTTAGGCTTTGGTCTGACAAGGTGTCCTGGGCCAGCACGTTGAGCCTGTCTGCTCAACAGCCATAGCATCTTCCGTTGCAGCGACATTCTTTTGAGCATCTTCTAAGGCGATTGCCTTGGCTGATTTCTCTGCTGACGCCTTTTTTCTTTCAGCTGCAATTACATCCTTTGGACGTGCTACGCGGACTCGCTTCAAGAACTATCTGTCCAGGATGTTTGTTAGCATTCCCTGGGCGCGTTGCAGGTCGAGGCATGGTGAGATCTAGGACAAGCTGTTGGAGGAATGCTGGTAGCAAGGTGTTGAAAGAATATGGACGCTAGCAAAAGGTGGCAACGAACGGGTGAAGTTATATTTTTTTCGATTGAGCATGTCATAATTTCTGATTCACACACTTAGTATTAGTCTAGTCTGCATTCTACGTATTCTGCTCCCTGGTATCCATCTCACTGCGACTACCCACTGTCCAACATGGCCCCAGCTGTCACCAGGCTCGTTTGTCGGTTTCCAAACTGCAATCGGGTCTTCAAAAACAAGTCTGGCCTCACTCAGCACACACATGTGAAGCACGGTACCCCACAAATACAAAACCTCAATCACACAGCTCCGCTCGCAGGTCCCGGATTTATACCTCCACGGAGTCATTCTCCCTAATCCCTCTCCCCGCTCTCGCCTCTGCTTCTTCTGCTCTCACCTCCGCTTCTTCTGCCCTCGCCTCAGCTCTGATTGCAGCCTCCGCCTGGACAGCCACATCTCCCCACTTGCACGTCTTTTGTTGCAGTTGCACGCGAGATCTTGGAGCCATCTGATTCACTAGCACCTGGTAAGCAATGTTTGACGCGATGATTATCGATTAAAACTTACTATGATGTTTTTTTCTTAGATTTTGTAGATTTCCGCGATTGATGTGTAGATGACGAGCGAGTTGTTGTTGTCGGCATGTCGCGCGTCTATCAGTGCTTATTGAAGTAAACGCTAACATAATACATAACATGTTTTTTTTGGCACTCAGCAGGCGCCTTATTTTACTTATTTTACTTTCAAAAATACAACTGCCTTTGATGCCTTAACCGCCTTGAAACGACTTCGCTCCTTAGAATACATTTCGCTAAGAAACACACTAGTTCCTTATTCTCCTTAGCAGCCTTAAAATTAATTTTAAGGAACTTTAAGTAAGCTAAGGACCGAAAAGGAACTCGATGTTTTCCTGATGCAAGACCCGAACACTCTAGAGGGAACACCGCTTCAGAAATCCATTAGGCTGAGAGCTCTGGTATTCTAAGATTAGAACACGTATTGTCAAGTACTGTTGCCAGCGACTATCTTGCATATGGGACGGTGGGGTGGGGGAAACCCAGTGAAGATGTCGACTCAGTATGCTGGTGAATATCAATACACCTAGATTACATAGCAATTGCCCTCGGCAAGTATGCATGGTGTTGGAGTATCCCAGTGCATCGTAATGAAGGGATATCATTTCATCTAAGGCATGAGGATCATCTATAGGCAAACACTGCACCACTAGATCAGTAAGTTGATCCAGCAATGACTGAAGCAAGGATGCAGCGAGCCGCTCCTGCCTAAGATCACTTGCAGCAGTGTTTCCAACCGGATGCAGAGCGGATGTTTCAATTGTAAACAAAGCTGCTTTGTAAATGTGACTGTTGGCGTGGCGGACATCGAGGACTTCGCTCAGTAACTTTTGAGCCATGCCGGCATCTGTTTGAAATCCCTGTTTTGCGAAGTGAGACAATAAAGAAATGGCAAGATGGAGTTGGGTGACGGGTCGGTCTGGATGACCAGTGGGACGCAAGTTAAGAGTGTCTTGAAAAAGAAAGATAGGGATGTCGAGGTCAGGGTGTGTTCCATTAGCTTGGCAACTAACAAACTTCGCGGTAGCTAGATTGAATAGTGCCGCAGGGCAGTAGGGATGGTCCATGGGGCAGAGATTCGAGGCGCGTTCAAAGTGGTCTATGGATTGGTCAAGATCCATACTGTCCTGTGTCCTGCAGTATTGCACGAGAAGATGATGTCCGCCGTCCGTCTGTAGCACTAACGCATGCATGTTGTTGGATGTGACCTACGCATTAAAAGCTCTCAGCATCAGAATGTCAAACTGCATTGATCACTCATGATTGTCAGGGGGCAAAGAACTGCGGCATTGTTTTCATCAGAAAGTTGCTGTCCTACAGGCATGAACAGTGAACTACATGGAGATACAACTTCCCCCTGTTTGGGCTGAAAGATCATGGCTGTGATACTCTTTAACATCTGTCAGGCGGTATTTGTGATAGACAATACTGACGACACGAGTTTTTGCTGCGATCCAATAATTCTCCGACAGAGATCTCGAATGTGCGGAGAACCTCTCCATGACAAAGCATGGGACCTAACTCAAATGAGGCATAAACGCTGACCCAAACTTTAGAGGATGTCTCGCACGGCCTAGAGTCTTTCTCAATACCTGCAGGAAAGATGAAATTAAAGACAACATACAGAAGTATGGGCTCGTTCCATTCAATGACAGCCTGATCTACGTGTACAGGTTTGTTGCTTGTCTGGAATTCAGTACCGTTCGCCTTTACAACCACATGGAAGCCAGCGGGGATCCGTCAGAAGCCAAGAGTGAGATCAGATGCGCGAATGGCTCAGGAGAAATTGTCAATACATACTAAACTAAACGAAGATCAATATCACATACCAGTGATGACAACTTGTTGCACTGCCACGATTTGTGTCTCTCCGGGGCCCTGGGGTTGTACCGGGTGACTTGGCTCCTCACCTAAGGCTTGGAGGGTATCATCGAGTGGGTCCGGCATGGAGTCTGTCGAAACAAAATAACAGAGTAATGACGAAATAAAGTGTCACATTGGGAAATCATCGGTATGTGCTAGATGAAGATAGGTGACACATACTATTGACGGCGACTTGTTGCATTTCACTGATCACGAGGCTTGTCTGTCCTGGGTCAAGCTGGGGGCGTTCTAGGTGGCTCGGCCCCTCTCCAAAAGGTGGAGGGTATTTACCGAAATGACCAGGGACGAAGCTCGACATATGGCTGAGGGATTCAAACTAGTACTTGAGTAAGATGCTTGCTGGAGGTCACGAAAACTGCAGTATCTGTGAGGTCCTGAAGGATCAGATCGATCATAAAGGAGGGAACCACAGCATGCACATGGCATCCACAGCATGCAGCACCGATAAGCAACTCGTGATCGCAGAATATCGAGCCACCCATAGCCTCGCTGTGCATGGACCAAATTCAGCTAAGTTCGTTGAACCGGATCGTTATCCGATGAGTTGGATATGCAGACTGAAATTTGAAAAATGAGGCGTAGTCCGCGTCTGCAGTCACTGCCACTGTGCCATTGCCTCCGAGAGCTTGTGATAACTACAAAGTAGTTCACCCCCTTCTGCCACACCGTTGTAGCTGCCAGGCCAGTGCGATAGTATCATATCCGCTAATAGTGGCGGTGATGGGTCTCGCCAATATGCGACGGATGCTCATGCTCATACACAAGCCCAGGCCTGTGGTGCTTTCAAGTTTTGAATCGAGTCCCATCGGACTCCGACGAGTGCGAGGAATTTGAACTGTAAGTTATTAGATGAGAGCGCTGTAAAACGAATGTAGGAAATACGAGTCAGTCTCGAGAAGTCGAGACTGAGGTCCGAACATAACTTGGTAATTTGTGAATCACATCTTGATCTCCAAGTCGACTTGCCTGTGCCAAACCGTCGGTGTGCTAAGAGTGCTTTTGGACAAATGACATCAATGTTAACATTGATCAACGATTGACTTACATAAATTTTGGTGCCTAAGCTCAGACTCTCGAGCTCGAGCGGCACCAGTGTTTATACGTATCATGACTGTATACATAGTACAATAGAGTCCTATAAGTCCGAGACAAGCATTACTGTTTTACTATACGTGCATGTAAGGTATGCAGACGAGTAGCAAAAAAATCCCATGAGGAACGAAACGAAACAAAGAGAACATCATACTCGAAAGAAATTAGGAGTCAAGGTATCAAATATCAAGCTCAAACTCAAGTGTCCAACCAACACCAACCAACCAGTATCACTTCGTCACCGACCGCAGCCCCTTAGCAGACCTGATCCACCCCTCCCTCTCCTCTCTGTCCCTGTCCTTGTCATCCTTCCAGCTCCCACCCGTCCCAGGCGGAGACGCACTCCCATACTTTGAAATCCTATGCACCACATCCATCTCACCATCCACCACCCCACGCTCCCTCACCCTCGGTGATCCCAACCCACCAGGCGACTTAAAATAGCCAGACATTGGCTGTCCCCCATCTACTACCGTCAAATGCCCCATAAAAGCCACCGGCATCGGCGCCCCCATAGCCAACCCCGCCAACTTCGACTTCCTCCTTGCATCAGGATCAGGCGTAGTTGTCCCAGGCTCCATCATCTTCTGCAACGCAAGCAAACACATAAACGCGTCGTTGCCTGCGTTATGCAGTGCACATGGGGGCTCGATCCCTAAGGAGTGTAAAAGCCCGCCGAGGGAGAGCGTAGAGCCTTGGGCGCGGAGTTTGCCTGTTTTGGGGTCGTGCATCGTTCCTCGCTCGCCGGCGTTGAAGAGCGCGCGTTCGAAGGAGGCGGTGTCGATTATGAGAACGTTGTTTGGGATTTCTGGGGGTGCGTTAGTTGGAATGGATGGGTGGGGTGGGGACGTACTGATTTTGGTTTCTTCAAGGCGCTGGATGTCAGAGGTGACGCCGTGGCCTACGAGGACGAGGCTGTTGGCGGTGGTTTCTGCGTCTGGGCTTACTAGACTGCTGTAGATGACGTCAGTGACACCGGAGCTTATGCACAGAACTATTATACCTAATCACAGACTGTACGATTTGAGGTAACTTTGATTTTGGTATTACTTGGCTGTCACCCCACTACGAGATGTTCTATAAGGAGGGAATAAAGGGCCAAAAAAAAGACGTACGGCATACTACTCCATATATCAGTTGAGCACGGGAGGGTGGTCTGAATAGGCGTACCTGCCAGGGATACGTAGGACAATGCTTGTTGACGATCTTGTCCACGTAATCGCCAATGATATAATGACCCTTCCTGTGTACATGCACATCAGCCAGGCTGTAACGCCCGCTTCTCCACAACACACCGATAATTTGACTCAGGCATCGGAGGCCACGCGCCAACGCTGCAAATCAGATCCATCAATCACCCGTACCCAACGGAAAAGAATGAAACACATACGCTTCAAGATGCCCGCACCGAACAGCCGCATAGCCCCATTCCAAAAACGTCGCTGGATTCCTTTCGCTCCACTCAAAGTCAATGGCTAAAAATGTCTTGTCGTGCTTGGCCCATAATTCTCGGATAGCCTTCGGCTCGCCAGCACGTATCCGAGTTTTAAACGCTGCAAGCGCCACTGCTGGTAGCGTCGTGTATAGCTTCTTGTAGGTCGCCCAGTCTGCAACGTTCCGCAGATGTCGCTGGGACGTCTCGAAGTGCGTTACTTTGAGCATGTTGTCGGGCGTTGGAAGTGTTTCGCCGAAACTGAGGGTTCCTTCATCATTTATGGGTCAGTAAGTGAGAGGGGGGTAGGACGCACCGAGTCTTGATCATCTTGATGAACGCACCGACGGTCGTCAGTCGGGTGACAATGTGCGCACGGCCAGTCCATGAGTCTGTAACAGTAATGACAGGCCATGAAAATCCCAGAAATTGCTCAAACGTCTCGAAGAACTGTCCCCATGTCCGGTCGTACCTGTGCAGCTCGATAAACGCGTCGTATACACGCGGCAGTAGAAGGGTAGACGCACCACGGGACATTGTGCAACTGGAAGTAGCCTATATAAGCAGAGTATACCTATTGGATTATGAGTAACCTGTTTGGCGAAAGCACTGGCATAACGCACAGACTGAAGATCGTATTCCCAACCTTCTGGGTTGACGAGGCGAAAATCTGCCATAGAGTTTAAGATCAGACGAACTTGGATCGGTCAATGCACAAATAGGTTCGGTAGCGCTATGAGTAACGTTCCGCAAGGTAGCAAAAAGGCAGAACTTAAGACGGACACGCTGCGGAACAAAACTCGGTTTACAGATGGACTAGACTCGTCGCTTGATTGGACGAGAAGTCGTGTTTACGGCATCATTTTGCATACTTCCATTTGGTATGAAAAGCGTTTTGGGGGAAAGGGGGCGTAACGGCAATTTCCGCAAGAGTCTGCGTTTATTTGTAGTTTGTGTTACTTAAAACATCACGTATGGGCTTAAAATTTATGAGGAAGAGGACACATCGTTTCATTCATGTACACGAATTCGAAGCAATAGTAACCTACAGAAGTACTGGAAGAAAAGAAGTTAGCAACGGTTAATAAGAAGAAATAAATATGGGGATCAGAGACTTGAATGGGATCCCGTAAAGGATCAACGTCCAGCGTGCAAGCACGTCGCGTCGAAAGATTTTCTATCCTAATAAACGTGTCGGAAACATAACAACTCACCAATTGCAAGTGTCCGCGTACACGACAAGGGCCCAAGGAGTCCTGCAGAACGAGTCAGCACTGTATCACAACAGAATGGAAATATCAGAAAGTAGATCGCGTTCTTCTCAGAACCTGCTAGCAGGCGTCGAAGTGAGCTGAGTTTACGAAGTTGTTTCATCGTAAAAGGGCCAACATAAAACATTGACGATTACTTACCTTGTCGTTGTAGCTTGAAGCAGACAAGAAAGCTTCGGAAACACCCGAAAGTACTATCACGCTTGAACCTGCCCTAAACTCAGCCACCTATTGAAACTATACAGGTCTTGATGAATTTCCCCACGGTCTGACACGCTACACGGTGAGCTCATCCGCAACCGCAAGACACACAACCTCGCCATCTGAAGATGCAGATCTTCGTCAAGACCCTCACAGGGAAGACTATCACCCTCGAGGTGGAGTCTTCTGACACCATCGACAACGTCAAGGCAAAAATTCAGGACAAGGAGGGGTACGATTTATAATATATTTGGTACTACACAGATTAATATTGTAATCAGTATTCCCCCCGACCAACAGCGTCTCATCTTCGCCGGAAAGCAGCTCGAAGATGGTCGCACACTCAGTGACTACAACATCCAGAAGGAGTCTACCCTCCACCTTGTCCTTCGGTGCGTCGCGCGTCCATTCTAACATTGAACACCATGTTCACCTATCCATAGTCTCCGTGGCGGAATCATCGAGCCTTCACTAAAGGTCCTCGCAGCCAAATACAACTGCGATAAGCAAATCTGCCGAAAATGCTACGCACGTCTGCCCCCGCGCGCAACTAACTGCCGTAAGCGCGGATGTGGACACTCGTCACAACTCCGCCCGTGCGTCTTTCATTCCTTTACATTCTCTCACGTGAAAACTAATTTGACATCACCGCGAACAGCAAGAAGAAGTTGAAGTAGTCGACTCGCTTTGGGCGTGCTTTGGGGACTATTATGGGACATCCATGTGTATTCTCTCTTTCGCTCGCATATGCAACACATGATCATTCCGTGTCGTTTTGTGGAGCTTTCTGTGTGATTTCTCCGCATTTTGTGCGCATTGTTGATAATCATTACCACAGTCATTTGTCATAAGAAACACCTAGTATCATGACAGGTCCCCGTTTTCCATCAGATATATGTCACAAGGCGAACTTGAGGTTACCCGAGGCGTAAGACTCTCCCCTGACAATGTTTCGGATGCGCGCAACAAACCCATTATCACAAACAACAACTTGCATGGCGCCCGTTGTTGCAGCTCAATAAGACCCGCGCAATCGCCGTAACTGGCCCGGCCCAGCGTGCCAGATCGTTCAAAAACTGTGGTAAAACATCATTAAAACACCTTCGTACGACAACCGTGGTATGTACATGCAAAGAAGCGGACATGTCCTATGATACTGTCTGTTTGTCCATGAAAATAACGAGAAAATATGTCCAAGTGCAACTGCAACTACAAAATAACGTAGCGTTCTCAATTACCAAAAACTAAAGCCAGGGTATGTGAGACATATGAAATCCCAAAGCCGAAAATGAAATAAAATGTAGTCCCCAGGACTGCTAAGGCGTTGTTTTTTTGGTTTGAGGCAAGATTAGAACATGATAGCTGCGCCAGCTGCTGCAGAGAGTAGAACGACAGCAACGGGACCCATGCCAATCTTGAGCGACGTAGCACCACCACTGTTGATAGTCGAAGGTGTAGAAGTTCCAGACGAGCTCGATGTGGTAGCAGGGGTGGTGCCTGTAGGAGACACAGTCGACGCCGTGCCACTAGAAGGGGTTTCAGATTATCGTCTAGTATAGGTAAGCATTAACTCACGAGCTCCCGGACAAAGACGTCGACGTCGACGTTGACGTGGTGGACGACACCGACGTTGAGGAAGTCGTCGCTGCGGTAACAGCAAAGTCACCACTTGTTGCGTAGACGTCGGTGATGTTACTGTTGCTGGTAGCCTCGAGGGTGTAACCGTCACTATACTGCCACGAGGTCAGCCACCCTTATTCGTTCATTCAGCAGAGATAGATGCAGCGTGCTTACCCAACAGGGGACGTCGGGAAGCGTAATAGTCATGCCACCCTGCCGAAGCTTGCACGTTGTTTGCGATGGCGAACGTGTTGTGGAAGATGGTGTTCACCATGTAAAGACTGAACGAACTGGGGTCGGACGTGGTCGCACCCCAAGTGACATTGAGCGAGCCACCATTTGAAGCACCCGTTGGTGTGTTGAGCGTCAGTGCAGACACGAGAGGGATAGCGAAGGTAGCAAAAGCACTGAGGAGGTGATTGACAACGCATCGGAAACCTGCTCATCGACCGCGACGATGAACAAGAGACTTACGCGATTCTAGCGAACATATTGAAGTCGTAAACTGGAGTATCGAGAAATAAACTAGGCGAGGACGTGGAGAAGGCAAGCGAGGAAGGTAAGCGAGGACTACGGAGAGGAACGGGAAGTGGAGAACTGAGAGTTGAAGAAAAGTTCGAGCAAGCGTGTCGGCTTTTATGCCAGAAATAAACCTCAAGGCGTCTTCCCACGCGGCACGCTAGTCCGATTCAAAACGCTGGATTCACTTCCTTTCTGATCATCGCCTCGTCATTTCCGCGTTCCTGTATCAAATGACCAACCCAACATCATCGATGCACCTCTCATCATCAAAAACTTCAGTAAACCATCCATTCGTAATGTCCCATCTGTTTGTTCGTCCATGAAAATAACGAAGAAAATATGTCCAAGTGCAACTGCAACTACAAAATAACGTAGCGTTCTCAATTACCAAAAACTAAAGCCAGGGTATGTAAAACATGTAAAATCCCAAAGCCGAAAATGAAATAAAATGTCACCCTCATGCATGCTAAGACGATTTTTTTTGGTTTAAGGAGGCGAGATTAGAACATGACAGCTGCGCCAGCTGCTGCAGAGAGTAGAACGACGGCAGCGGGGCCCATGCCGATCTTGAGCGACCCAGCACCACTGATGGCCGAAGCTGTAGTGGATGCGGAGGAGCTAGTGGTGGTACCAGAGGCGGTGCCTGTAGGAGACGTAGCTGTCGCCCCGCTCGAGGTGCCCGTGCTCCTAGAAGGGGCTTCAGATTATCGTCTCTGTGATAGGTAAGCATTGACTCACGTGCCCGAGGATGTGGACGTGGACGACGTTGAGGTAGTCGTCGTTGCGGAAACAGTAAAGCCACCACTTGTTGCTAGGACGGTGTTGATGTTGCTGATGCTGGTGGCCTCGAGGGTGTAACCGGAGCTGTACACCGCGAGGTCAGCCACTCTTATTCGTTCATTCAGCAGAGATCGATGCAGCGTGCTTACCCAAGGGGGGCCTGGGGCAGTACAATAGTCATGCTACCCGCCGAAGTTTGCACGTTGCTTGAGATGGCAAACGTGTTGTGGAAGATGGTGTTCACCATGTAAAGATCGAATGAACTGGGGTCGGAAGTGGCTCGCATCCCAAGTGAAAGTGACAAGGTCACCGATCGAAGCACTCGTTGGTGCGTTGAGCGTCAGTGCAGATACGAGAGGGATAGCGAAGGTAGCAAGAGCACTGAGGGGGTGATTGACAACGCATCGGAACCTGCTCATCGACGGACAGTGAACAAGAGACTTACGCGATTCTAGCGAACATGTTGAAGTCGTAAACGGAGTATGAGAAATAAACTAGGCAAGGACGTGGAGAAGGCAAGCGAGGAAGGCAAGCGAGGACTCTGGAGAAGAGTGGGAAGTGGAGAACTGAGAGTTGAAGAAAAGTTCGAGCAAGCGTGTCGGCTTTTATGCCAGAACTAAACATAAGGCGTCTTCCCACTCTGATTCAAAAGCGTGCGATGACAGACACGCTAGATTCACTTCCTTTCTCATCCTCACCTTGTCATTCCCGCGTTTTTTATTCTGTAGGCATGGCCAACTATGGATTCTAGTCAGTAATAGTAGACACTAGTCCATTCGAATTCGGGGTCCTCAACTCCTCCCAGCAGCGATGCCGCGGTTCATTTGGAAAAAAAATCCCTTGATAAAATTATGAGTTTAACCAGGTGGCGGTGTGATTTCCATTCAGGCTGCAATCGTAACAACCTTTCACCTGTGTTCAAGAATAGATCACGGCCATCCATTCCCATTCCACCTGCTAATAGATCTACGTGTGAAACATGGTGAATACCGACGTCAAAAATGTACGGCACGGTCTTGTCGAAGGACGACAAAGCGGGCACAACTCACCTCGTCAAACGGTCGCGTATCGCCAAAGCAGCTCTCCCAAACCTCATTCACCGCACGCTCTGCTGCTGCCTCGTCCGGGCACATGGGATTCGCGCGGACGGAAAGTATAGCACGCCGTCTCACGCAGGCCTATTCCAAGTCAGTAAACATTTAGACTGATCGGGGGATAGATATAGGGCTGCACAGCATAAGATGGAATGATCGATATACCTGATGCTGTTTCGAAAATGACACGAATCCCCTTCCTAACTCACGCATAAACCGGCAGTCACCACTTAAACTGTTGGCACGGATCTTCGATAGATGGGCGCCGGAGCACATGTCAATAAAAACTTGTAACGTAATATGGCACAATAATCACTCACTTCACTACATGCGTGATGTCTCAAGTTTTTCCAGTCAACATTGAACTTGCAGTGATCATACATGTGCACCAGCTCGTGTGTAAGGGTATCCTCCATGTGCTTCTTGTCTCCAAAATGGCCCTGACAAAGGATAATCGCTCCGGCAGGGTGGAAGCCTCCGGAACGCGTGAGATCGCATGGGGCACACACGATGTTGGAGGGCGGTACCAGGCACCCGGACAACTTAAGATGTTTTAACATGAAAACAACTGAAGGACCTATAAAAGCAACGAGTGCGTGGCGTTGGAATGAGTACGGATCAGACCACACAGAAACAACGAGACGGACTGTAATTCAGGAGTTCGGTCTTCCATTGCTCGCAGCGGCGATGCTGCACTGCAACCCGGTCACGGTCACGTTCGTCTGCGGTAAGTCCGATACCTGATACTTGGGCAGCTTTGTGAAGCCATCTTTGAAATGATCGGGACTCTGATGGATCAACAGGTGGTTCAGAAGAGGCTGAATCCATGAGTGCAAATATGCTGATGCAAAGGGCGAGTTGGTAATACTGTTCATGGTGAGTTCCCACGGACGAGCACGCGTCAGGCGGCAACACGAATTGGGAAAGAAGGTCAAATGTTACAGTAAAATCCAACAGCAGAAAACGATAATTGAGCACTCGTAGGTACTAAGGTCCAATACATTATGCTCCAGAATACCCGCTAGAAAGACAGTACTGCATTAATATTATCAATAAGAAGTGCACTTGAACAACTCTCGAACAGCTGGCAAATTATGGAGCTCAGTCAGGTATCTCGTCGCCAGCGCTTGAAACAACAGCTCGTGATGCTCGTCGTGGTATGGGGTGTGCACATGTGCCATCTCGTGCGCCATGATATAATACCTGCGGGAGGTTAGTAAATGTTAAAGGACAGGATTTCGTGGGTGCTTACCAGTCAATGTAAGCCTTTCCGGCAGGAGCATCTTTGTCTAGGCAGTAGGCATGAGCCCTGGTGACGGAAGGATCAATCATGAAGATCACGTACGGTTCTGCATATAGTGTTCCAAACCGAAAAATATCTGATCATTCCGGTTGAAACCCATCAGATTCGAGTCCTCGCCGTGAAAGAATACGTGACACCGTGTCTGATTGATCGAAAAGACTTTTGCGAGGTCACTAATGATTTTCCCAAAGGCTTCGCGTTCCTTTGAGGGAACACCCAAGACTGTCCCCTCTGAAACAAACGTCAGTCTAGCAGCTGGAAGCGGGAAACATTCAACTCACTTCGTTTCCAAACTTTGACCTGCCCAACGTGTTGGTCCTCTTCGTCGATTTAATCATAGGCTGCCAGACTCCAAGTTGGACAACGTACCACATTCTTCGAGATCCGTCTTTGCAACTTTCTTCTCATCGCAGTATGCGACGTTTTTCTGCTTCTTCCCTCCACCGACCTGCTCCCGATTGCTAATGTGCGGGTCGTTATCGCCGCCCTCTTCCTTCATGATGTTCTTCACCTTCTCGATAGAGTTTTCTGCGCATCAATTAAGCGCCTATCTTCAACACAAAAAATAGACTCAGCGCACCTATCTCACTGAGCTTGATCTCGCCCAACTTGGGGTCTTTGCGAAGCCTATGCAAAAACTTCGTAAATTTGCTGACGACAGGCTCCGGTTTGTCACAGGCTGGTTCGTCCTCCGGGGGTGCATCTGGGGAGGGAGCTTGGACAGGTCCGGGTGGCGTCCCATTGGAAGGGTTTTCTCCTGCTTTCATTGAGCATCTCCCCTGGCATGAAAGATAATGACATTGATCGTAAACTTACCATGTTCAGCCTTTTCTAGGTTCTCGCGATACTCCGAGAGAATTCTATCGACTAAACATGCGATCAGCGCCGCTTCCTAAATGACAGTGACAGCCTCACCATCGTAACCACGGCGCTTGAGGACGTTAATGTCTGTGTCCAAGATAGTCATAAGAGACAGGACATCATTCTTTTTATACGTAGAGAACAGCAGACGACACAGAGCTGCCGCGATACTAAAACGAATGAGCACGCATCTTGGGCGATACAGAACACCACGTACTCGTAACTGTCAGCCTTCGGCTCCTTGATCCACAGCACATTCACGCTATCTTTGAATTGGGTCTCAGCAGAGAGTTCGGTAGGGTGCGCTTTCTGTCCCTGAGGTCCAAGAGTCGCATTTGGGAAGTCTAATCGTTTCGTGACATCAAGCCTTCGGCAAGCTCGCACGAAGAATTGATTCTCGTCATGCCACCGTAACAGGCGCATCCCATCTCTAAAGCGTGGCTCGTCAAACTCATGGAGGAAAATAGGTATCTTGTCGATGATAGACTTTCGAAGGTCACGGGCGCTCTGTGCGTTCAACAACTCTTTGTCTGGTTCCACAGTATATTTGATGCAAGAGCTCAGCGACTTGACTTTCATTTCAGAGTAAAACTCTGCTCACGATATGTCATATTATACCAGAAAGAGTACAAGCACTTACTTTCTAACAGCTCCTCCTGGGGGGCGATGAAAATGCAGTCGCCAAAGGTGCGACGACTTTCCATGTCGTCGGCGACCAATACTTCATCGGCTTTGCAGAGTTCAAACTCGTCTGCTTCATGGCTGAACCCGTCGCGGCTTTTACTTCGTCGATATCCCAAGAAAATTGAGGCAGTACGCATTTCTTCGTGGATCTTTCGAGGAAGAGACTTGTGACCGACCGCAATCAGGCGCAGCTCGGTCAAGTATCTAAATCAAGTAAGTATCATGAGTCAAGGTTCCGTGCCCATACGCACCTCTCATGATCGTCCCCAGCCAGTTTAAGGAACGTTTTTGGACATCTCAGGAGAACTTTAAGAACATCGATGCATTCAGGGCGTTCCTTGACACCACAGGCTTTCAAGAAAGCATTGGCGCTACGCCCAAAGTCGACAAACTTGAACAGCTGCTGGTAGAAGTGGCCATCGGGGTATGAATCTGACTTTAGGAAGCACTCGCGAGGCGACACTGCCTCATAGGAGATTTTGCTGAGTTGTGAATGCTCGGAAGTTACCTCCACGGGCACAATTTTGAGGTCTGCAATTCTTTCGAATTCCCCTGCTGAGAAAACTGCACATTTTGTCAACACATAGAAAGCGCCAGCATCATGAGACTGCTTGCCTCCTTTCTCAGCAAGAAACCTGAACCACCTCTCTGCGGTTTCCGGGTCTTTCGGCGGGGTCGATTCAAGAACTTGAAATAGCTTTTCAGCGGTGGGGCGATCTCGAATCTTCAGCTTTGCAATGTTCTTCTTGTTGAACTGGTCGGGCAAATGACCAAAGCCAAACACATTCCAGTTTGGGTCCGAGAACACCTTTTCAATCGTGGTATCAGCCATACATATCCAGCGTTCGTGCACGAACGGACCTCGCCATGGGGGATTTGACAAAGTCTCCCGTCTCTGACACCGGGGATGAAGGGGTACGCAGAGAACTTTGACGGATCGAATTGCTTTTCAAGGAATGTTTCATACAATGGTCCGCAAAGAAACGTGAATGCAGCATGTCTAACGGCACGATCGTCCTTGGAAGATGCGATAGGGATGAGTTGTTCTATTGTAGGGTAATCCTGCAACCCTTTTCTAATGAGGAATAGTCCTTTGTGATGCTTGGTCAGTGGGGGATGTAACGCCAAATTAGTTCACGACACACCTTCCTGGGTGTTTGAATCCCAGTATTCGCAATTGATTACAGGCAGTTTGAGTGTCCGATTGATTTCTGTGGATGCGAAGAGCTCGCTGATATGACGTCTTTCACCATCATTGCAAGGAAAGATCCTCATATCCATGACGCGATTCACATGTTCCTGAGCAGATGTAATAAGATACCTCGCCAGGTCTATGGCGTTCCATCTATCACCGCTCATCGCCCTGTGAGGTATATTAGCAAACACGATGAGGTCATATTCCCAGTGACTAACTTGGATATAAATGTCTCGATGTCGCACCGTTTCTGCACCCCTAGATATTGCAATACCTGCTCTGTGCGGAAATCCAAGAGGAGGTCTTGTCTAACGACGGGAAGGTCGCGAAAAACATCAGCTTCAGGAAAATACGCCTCCTGAGGTCGCATCATGTAAGGTACGGTGGTCGTGGGTATGCAAGTCATAACCTCCAAAATCTCCCGAACCTCGGAACGACTATTCTCATCTAGTGAAGTCCAAAGGGTACTGATGACGTTGAGGACGTGTTGCGCGAAACTGGGCGCTCGCGTGATATCGTGCGCTGCGTCTGGCGGACTGTTACTGAGGTGTCGAAGCCAGTGTATGACTGACATCTCTTGCCATCCAAAAGCCTCTGGAATCGTAAGGGAAGTCAGGCCTTGGATAAGTGCTGGAGGTATGGTGTCGTCTGGCAAAGGGTCATCGGAACGGCGAACACTCTGCATTCGTCCATCGATAAATTTGCTGATGGAGATAAGTCTGACTTCCTTCCCCCCGGAGTGTGTTCTGCCTGCTTTGAGCAGTTCGTTCCGCCATTTTCTATGCTGTTCGTCTAAAGGACCCAGGCTTCCAAATGAATTGCTCCACCAACGCAAGCAAGCTGCCATCTCCAGCTCACTCAGCCACCGCGAATTCAGTTCTTTCACGACGTCTTTGAACGTGTACGATCCGACCCGGAGATGGTCAGGAAGCGCCATGGATACTGATATGGGACGCAGTTCGTTTGGGAATACTGGGGTGCGCATGAACTGAGCGAAGTGATGATGGTACAAACGGATGTCCTTCGTGTACCGAATACCTTGATCAGATATGAACGGGAATTGATCTGTTGTCGAGCAAGCGTAGAATGCATTCTTGATAATTTGGGACACCTTCGGGTCGGGCGTAGAGGGATGGAAGACGAAGGACTTCATCGTATACAGTGCCAGTTGTTCCGCATCTTGTTTCTGCAACGTCGGCCACAAATCCTTTATTTTGTTCATCTCGGAATCATAAGCCACCCTCGCCAAAAAGCCTCCAACATAAAGGAGCTCGTCATTCCATTCTGCACGGCATGGCGTCAATGGACAAACCACAGTCTAGTATCAATTCACCACTTACTGGAGACATGACCATTGCTACAAGGTAAATTATCAGATATATCCTCATATAGGCTTGCGCGATACTCACGCAAGATCAATCGAGCCTCGTTCCACAGTTGGAATAAAACGGCCAGACATGTGGCAAGCCATGCCTGTCGTTTGAGCCGTACTTTGCCCCTGCCATACACGTGAGATAACATGAGATAACTTAACACTATGAAGTACAGACGATGAAGATTCGAGCAGGGTGTTCTCTGTCAGAGCAGAACGTTAGAACAAGAGACGCTCCGAAAGAACGCCTTGACATACGCTTCCAATCGCGGACAAAGTCCTTGAGGACCACGGAAGACGCTTCCGTTACCGTCTTCTTCGTCTTGCGACTGCTTATCGTGCTCGTCCTTACTGAACTGTGGATGATGGATATAGGACTACGTCAAAATTTATAATGTAGCTACTTACGAAAACCATTTCAAATGGGAAATCTTTGGGAGGCTTTTTCTTCGTTGCGGATTCTAAACCTTTCTCCAAGCTCGATTTCGCTGAAACGGTAACTTTCGCAGAGTAAATGGAACATTTTGCAGAGAGTTGGGCACTAGATTTGAAGCTCGGGGCTTGAGAAGCAGCTGCTGCAATTTTTGAAGCTGCCATTCTTCCATTCGATTTCGACATTTTCTCCGTTGAGAAGAAACTCTTGGATTTCGTCGGATTTCCACCTTCAGGTTCCGTACGTGCGACAGGCGGCTTTGGACCACCAACGAGTGCATCGTCAAAGAATATCACTTTGACCTCCTGGGCTGTCAAGAATATTAGAACCTTTGCGTGCTTGTGAAGGCACAAGAAATACTGACAGATCAGTTCAACAGAATCAATGCTCATGGTTCCATTCCGACTTTTTCTGGACATATGCTCCGAAATGGCTATTGACTGACTGGCTTTATTCCGAGTTTTGGTCAAGCGAGACAACTCAGTGTCGTCCAGAAAGATCCTAACACGTTGGAATATTGGCCAGAAACGTCACGGAGGTTACTAGAAATCGCGTGAGTTCAAAGATCCGCGGGATAGTCGACTCCTGCTTCAACTCCATCTCGATCACAGTCCACTCGTCGCGGTCACAATTGAGTTGTTGTTCTTTCTTCACAAAGAGCTACATGCACGTCAGAAGCGACGAACTGAGACACGAGTCAAAGCAACAACGTGCCTGGTCTCCACAATAATAAATGGATACCATCTTTCCTGTAGCATCCAATGAGCGACATATAGGCTTCATTGAAGGATCGCGTACCATTCGATTTGACAATGGGCTTGTCGGTGACACTGAACACGCTGAAGAAACCTGTACCGTGAAATTGCCCTTAGGTCTCAGGATGAACGAGGAATGCATGAATCGTACCGACTCCAAATGCACCGATCTTTCGTTCATCCGGATTGCCTTCGGCTAGATAAAAGGTTCAGCACCCCAAAAGCTGTTCAAAATTTTCACAAACCAATCTTCGTCAGACGCTTCCAGTCAGTGTCTTGAAATTGGGCACCGTCATTCTTGACAAGCCATCTGAAGATCTTGTTGGACGAAAACGTGAGTGCTCCGTACCCAGCAATTGGCCTAGTTGCACACCTTAACTGAATTGAGACCTGGTGTCGTCCCATTACTCGTACATCCGGCGTGTGTACTCTCAAATACAACATCGAAGTTTTCGGCGCCAGCGTCATCCGCGTTCTGCAACAGTTCTCGGAACACTTCATGACAGTTAGTCGTTCTTTCTGACCTGACAGTGGTTCCAAACGTACCCGTGAATTCCTCTGGATAACGGGCGAGGACTTTATCGACAAGGTCCCGCTGGTTGACTTCCACTGCCGTGACCTTCAAATCGAAAGGTGAGCCCCGAAAGAGTACAATTCTTGGGCGCCAATGGAACTAGCTCACCTCGGGCTCACACATTGCAGGACAGTATCGAGATGTTCGTCGAAATACGATAGTAAGTATGTGAGGGTACTGGGACTCTAAAGCAACAGGATAAATAACGTTGCGTGAACCGTAACACTGCAGCTGGCCTCACGCTCAACATGCGTAGCTATGCCATACAAAGGGACCTACAACTTAATTTGATCTACGAGCGCTTAGGCGCCTATTCTTGTATTATTATTGAATTGCTGTGCCACCGTTCCAGCCAAGTTTGCCCTGGTTCGTGACAGGCAGTGTCACAGGATGTGAGATTCATGGCAATATGTTAGCCGGAGAGCGAGTTTGAAGTTCGCCAAATCCTGGATTGTTGAGAATAAGCTCTTGTTTTGCACGTCAGTGATATGCTTTCAAGCCCTGGTCGAGACCCAGGATCCTGGTGGTACACGAGGGACTGGCACTGCCACATTGTATCGCCTCATGCTGGGCCGAAAGTCTAGCCTGAGAATGCTACGCCACAGACGGTCACGAAGAAATCGTTTGAATAGTTCAGGGTCCCTCGCGTGCGTGCAGCATTGCATTGACTTCTCTTCTCGAATTCGAGAGAAGATCTGAATATCATGATATGATCAACACCGCTAAACATGTGGGCCGGACTGTACGGTACTACAAGTATCATCCGACAGCCACTAACACTGCTGCAAGCGGGCCGCCTGCCTGACTCGCAATCCAGCAGTACTACACGTGAAATACTTCATCCAGTGACAAACTCGTAGTAAGTCAGAAGGTGTTAATCCTACTCCGATTCGAGCCTCCTTAGACAGCGCTTTATAGACGAACTGGGAAGATATATAATAAAGAGCGTCGAGGCCTTGAACTCGAAATCCTCGGCCCAACTAGTGACTCATTATTGAATTGTTCCGCGGTAAACAGAGGTGCGTGCCATGTTGGAACTTCGAAGAAACGCAGCCAATCTTGAAGCTATGTATACCTTATAGACGCTACTTATGTAATGCCTTTTCTGCGTGTGGATTCTGTGGAAAGTTGCTTGCCACCATCTGCAACGACCAGGCTAATTCTTATACTCCTGTCGGGACTCATAACATCTCTTTCGTCAGAGAGACCTTCTATCGATATTTATATTTTGTTCCTTGGTCAAACCGACAACAAGTGTGGCCATCTACATGGTCACCATAGGCTGATCAGCTGCTTGCACATGGGTCGGTACCACACATCGAAGATACTCATGAAAAGCCCCAAGAGTTTTTTTGACGGCACACAAGATGGTGTCGATACACGGATGAACCCTCACTATAGTATTTGTTCCTCTGCACAACGTCAATGCGCCTCCTTGCTATTGCGGGATCATCTGTAAGCACGTTAGCTTACTAGAGTTCCCATAATCTACATAAATACGCGATACTGAAACGCAAGCTTTCAGTTTCACTGCCTTTTGGGATAACAGTTAAGCGGACGACAGTCTTGACTTGGTTACAGATACCAAGGCAGTTGTATCCTGATAAGCAGCTTCAATCGCTTGTGGTGGACCGCTTCCGTCAGGGTATCGTGCTTTTTCGGACGTCGTCATTAATTGTTGATGCTTTAGATAGCGGCAACCTTTACTTGTGTACGACCTTTCGATGATATATTTCCATCCACAATATCGTTCGCACAACATCGCATTGCTTCACCTATCCCCGAGGACAACAACTTTGCTTCGATAGCTGTGATTCAAGGCCTCCATACGTGTATCACCACAACCACGAGCTGCGAGAACGAGTTGAATGATGCATTCCTTAAAACTGCCCTATTGCTGCCCAGCCTGATTGTGCATGCACGCACAGTTACTAGTTTTCGACATGTCAGAAGTCGCAACGGAAGTAAGATGATTGATCGACTGCTCCTCTGGCTTGAAGTACTTGGTCTTATTAACAAGGCGCAGAACACAAGATTTGTATGCAGTATAGATTGGTTGGGTATAGATAAGCAAGACGACATGAATAACACAGCTCAGAAATACACCTAATGTCCCTGGAGTCCTATGCGTGGCAACCAAGCGCTACGAACCGTCCGTTGCGCAATTGAAATACTCGCGGACCTCTTCCACGTCGTGCAGACGTGGCAGGAAAAGAGCACTTAGTGACGAGACCAACAACTCGTGATTTTCGTCGTGGAAAGGCGTTTTATTGTGGGCTATCTCGTGCAAGATGATATAGTACCTGTTGAGACAAGGCTGTATGAGCACATTGTAGCCGATGAAGCTCTACATCTACGTACCAGTGAATGTATGCCTGACCGGGCGTCATGCCAGAGTCTAGGTCTGTGCACCATAACATGTCAGAGTTTTCGATAAACAGCATGAAGGTTTACCTACGTTGCGTGTAGTGTGCAAGGTTCAAGAAAATGAGCCGGTGGCGATTGAATCCCATCAAATCAGGATCCTCTGGATGCCAGAAGATATTGAATATGCCGTGTTCATTATTACTCAGGTCTAATACTCCGTTGAGTCCATGGACTATGTTTGCAAAGTCCGTTAATTCGCCGGGAATTTCCTTCCGTGCAGTAACTACGACTGTTATTTAATGCTGACGCCAAAAACGAGGGGACTTACTTTGTCGCCAAACGGGTATGAAACCGGCGGCGCCACCCACATCTGAAGTTCGTTCATATTAAGACGTGGTTATCAACAACGACTCACGTACCGACGATTTCCAGAGCGGTGCTCTTTAGCTCAGTACAGTATTTGACGTCTTTCCGCTTCCTGTCTGCACCGCTGTGTTCTCTATTTCGAATCTCCTGTTCTTCTGAGGTAGCTTTTCCTTTGGCACACTGGTCCATCAATTCCTTGATCGCGTCGTCTGCATGGAATGAGTTTGCGGGTGTACTTGAAGCACAATACGAGACATACCAATTTCTCTGACGTCAACTTTGCCGGCGGTCTTGGATCCTCCCGACTGCCACCTGAAGAAGTCAAGGAATTTGGACCGGAAGCGGGGATTGCCACCACCATGCCGCCCTCCGCCGCCCTCCTCTAACTGCTTATTGCGTGCTGCCCTTTCGCGCTCTGGAGAGTGATTGATTAACAAGGCCAGGTAGATGATTCGAAACTTATTGCATACCTTCTTCCTTTTTCTTGTCTTCAAGTTTAGCGGCTTCGTGAGCTTGCTCAATCCTGTCCACTGCTACACGTGAGATAAAGACATTGCAAGAAAGTCATTAACACTTACCATCGTAGCCTCGTTTCCTCAAGACTTCCTTGTCCGTCTCCAATATGGTCATCAAACTGAGAACGTCGTGCTTCTTGTGAGTCTTGAAGAGCAGACGGCAAAGTGCGACAGCGACGCTAAAGAACCGTCAGTGATATATCGAAGCGGAGAAAACACGAATGCACTCACTCATACATGTCAAGGTGTTCCGTTTTCTTGAGCCATAGCACAACACGACCGTTCTCTTCTGTGGTGATCTCGGCGGACACATAGAATTCATTGCTTTCTCTCTGACGTTCAGCAGAGATGCGGTAATTAGACTCAAGTCTCTTATCCACTCTGAGATCTTTGCATCCTTTCACGAGAAAGCGTGTTTTATCATCCCACTTGCGGTGCACCGAGCCTTGCTTGAGACGTTGCTCATCAAACTCATGCATAAAGATGGGCAACTTCTCCAAAATCGCCCTTCGAACTTCCTCGCAGCGAGTCCACTTAGGTTGCTCGCTAGTTGGTTTCACGTTGTATTTAATGTGGGCGCTCAAATACCCAGATCCCACTGATTCGTACAGCTCTGGGACTTGGTTAACCGGGTCCACGTTCAAAGAAGAAGTAGCTTAGCTTACTTTCGAGCAGCTCATCCTGTGGAGCCAACCAGACAAACTCTCCAAAGATCCGGCGGTTTTCCATGTCGTCAGCGAGCAGGATCTTAGACGCTTGAACGAGTTGGAACTCGTCCCTGACAACGGGAGCGTGATCTGGATCGGAGGACTTTGAGGTGCGATAGCCGACGAATATCGGCGCATTCTTCATCCTTTTCTTATCCTCTTCGGAAAGCCCCTCATACCCAACCGCAATTCCACGAAGCTCGACAAGGTATCTGCATTGATGATGAGCACAAGGATGATTCTGCAGGGTGTTCACGCACTTCTCAGGGTCTCCTTCTGCACCAGCTTTTCTGAGGAACTCCTTAGGGTCCTTTATTAGAATGTGGACTATGTCTGAACAATCTGGCTTGGCTTTGACACCGCAAGCTTTTAGAAACCGGTTTGCATGTTCACCAAAGTCGACGAAGGTAAACAGTCGCCGGTAAAGGTGATCTTCTCCGTATTGGCTACCACCGATAAAGCACTCCCGAGGTGGTACCAGGCGAGATTCGACGGAATCCGAATGGCCTTGCGAGGTGAGTTCTTCAACGGGGACGATAGGAATCTCGGCGATTTGCTGAAGATCTCCAGGAGAGAGGACTATACGAAGAGGGAACCATTTAGAGAATGAGAGTTTGTCAAGTAGCGTATCTAACCTTGCTTTGTTGCAAGAAAGGCGAACCATTTCATCGCTATGTTGACATCCTTAGGCGGACTGGTCCTGAAAACCTCGATCACTTGTCTTGCAGATGGCGCTTCCCGCATCCTCAGTCGGCCGACGACCTTCCTGTCGACAGAAGGACGGACTTTTTGGAACCCCATTAACGCCCATGATGGATCAGAATAAACCTTAATGCGAGTTTCTCACTTCAGTTCCATAAATCCCGATGAAATAGCAAAAGACCTCACCTCCTCGTAAGCGCCTACACATTCATGACCGTCTCGGATAGCTGGTATAAACGGCATATCGTCGTATTTCGAAGGATCATACTCCGTATCATAGAGTTCATCAAACTTGCTCGCAAGGTACCCAAAGGCAGCATGTTGAACTTTAGGGTCGGGGTCTCCAGCAATCTCAATGAGCTTCTCCAAGGGCGGGTGTCGAAGGAATCCCATATCGGTCAAAAGTTGCTCTGGAGTAGAGTCAGCTGAAAGCGAGAGAAATTATTGTGAAGGAAACAAAGTACCATCCTCGGAATCTTTATCGATCCTGCGTGACCAATTGAGAATTGGTAGGCCCAGCGGACGTATCTCCCCATGTGGAAGGTACAAGTCAGTGATGCAGTATTTCCCGCCTTTATCACAAGGGAATACAGCGTATTTCCTGATATCCTCCAGCCTCTCCATGGCGTCTGGGTCAGTGCTAAGATATCTGATCATCTCCATCGCCGACCACGTGCTCAATTTGTCCGCCCTGGAAAGTGATCAGTAATGTTAAATCAAGGCCTTGAAATTTAACGCACTTGGCAAACAACTCTTCAAAGTTAAGATGCCGCTTGACCCCAAACTCGCCGAGTACAGTGAGAATCTGTGGATCGAACAGGTTGACAGAGACAACAGGCAAATCACGGAAGACGTCTGCTTCTGGAAAATACGCTCCACCAGGGGTCCGGAATCCCAGATTCGTTGCGATCCATGGGACGTCCTGCATGAGATCCTTTGCCTCGGATTTCATGTCACTGGACATCATAGGCCAGATGTTCCCCAGAACCGCCAAGACACGGTTAGAATATATAGAGTTTTTTGCGGATGTCATGAGCCGCGTCTATCTGAGGGCTTATTAAATGACTCAGCCAGTCCACGAGTGTCATTGGCTGCCACAAAAGAGATGGGGAAATATGTCGTCGGTCGAGAGCCCTGGTAAACGAAAACGGGATGGTGTCTGGAGGAAGAGCATCGTCCGACTGAAGCCAAGGGAGCCACACACTGGCATCGACAAACTTGGTGATATTGTGAAGTTCTATAACACGCGTAGAATTCCCAATTCGCGACTTGGCATTGTCCGTCAGATTGGAGAGGAACGTGAGGGTTGTTTCCCTTTCTTCATCAGCTTCAAGCGAACTTATGAAGTTGACCCACCACCGCAGACAACCGATCATTTCTTCTTCTTGCAAAATCCTTCCTTGTAGTTCTTTCACCACGTCCGAAAACGTGTACGTCCGGACACCATACTTCTCAGGGAGAATGTCAACTAAACTAGGTGGGTCGCCAGGTGATGTCGGAAGTTGTGTAGGCACCATTTTCATGAAGGAGGAGAAGTCAGCGTGAATCTCCCGAACGTCCTTGGTGTAACGAATACCAGAATTCGTCAAGATGGGGAAATGAACGTTGGAGTAATAGTCGAAACAGTCGAAAAATGCATCTTGCAAGATTCTTGACACTTTGGCATCCGGAGTGGATGGTTGGAACGTGAAGTAGCGCATGGCATACGAGGCCTTCTCTCTTGAAGCTGACGCTCGAGCGTCAGCAGTCGGGACAACAACACCGTTGACCGTAGGCCAAGCATCCTGGACCTTGCGGATCTCCTGTTCATATACGAGCCTCGCAAGGAACCCACCTACATACAGGAGTTCCTGATTCCATTCTGTGTGAATTGTCAGTACACCTCAAAGAAAACAGACCGAGAGGCTGGGACGAACTTGCGATATGGCCGTTTCTGAACAATCGTGAGATAACTTTACGTGCAAAAAAAAGTGTACCCACGTTAGATCGATGGATCCTCGTTCGACAGTGGGAATAAACCGGCCAGACATGTGCCCACTAATACCAGTCGTTTGCGCTGTACTTTGACCCTACGACTCATCAGCACGTTTTTTATTGAACACAATGTAGGGCCTACGATGAAGATCCGAGACATATATTCCCTAAAACATGATGACAATATGACAATGTGCACAGAAACAAAAAAAAAAACAAGTAGCATACCCGTCTAGTTGGGGAAACAGACCTTGCGGCCCCTTGAATATGCTTCCCGTGTCTGGATCGCTTTTCTCCTCTGCTGTTCTTGCATCCTGCTCCTCTTTGGAGAACTGTATTCATGATGAGCACAAAGTAAAGAACGAGATCGCTGGAAGGCTCACGTAGACCATCTCAAAATCAAAGTGGGAAGGAGGATCCTTCTTCGTCATTGCTCTTAAGCCCTTATGAAGGTCCTTGCTAGGACTAGTTGTAACTTGAGCCGAATATACAGCATATTTGGCACTGTAGGTCAACCAGGGCGGGTGGTCATAAGTAGACGCTCGAGACACAGCTTTGGTGACTTTGGCGACTTTGGGGGCTTCACGCTTTGAGCCATCCCAAAAACTTTTGCGTTTCACAGGATCCTTCGATAGATTTTCATTGCCAGAGCGATGTGCAGATGTTATCTTCGTTCCGGCGGCGCGTGCCCAGTCCGTGAGTTCAACAGTAATTCCTTGGGCTGTCAGGGCAAATCAGTATGCTTCACGGGCCAAAAATACAACGTGCAACGCACTAACTACCGAAAGTCCCTTGATATGCATCGTGTCCTCCTTGCTCCTCGGTATCATATCTTTGGGAACACGAATCGGACTGGGTACTTGTCTTGACTTGACGATCTTCATGAAGACTTTGTTGTCGAAGGAAACATGGGCGTTTTCCACACTTGACATGAATGTCATGGTAGCTGCCAAGAACCGGGCCAAGTCGAATGGCTTCGGGACCGGAACTTGCATATCTTCTTTCAGCACCATTTCGATGGAAGTCCATTCGCTCTGGGAACAAGCATCGTCCAATGTATATAGCTGGGGAGATATGTGAGTATTGCGAGCTTGTACTAAGCTTATGGAGCTTCATAGCATACCTGATCGCCCTGAAAGAATATCGACAGACTTTTTCCTATCAGATGTACCGATTAACATGGTGGATCTAATCGAGGAAAGGGCCTGGCGCTTACCTCCAGACAAGACCAGCGGGCTGTCGGTAATACCGAAGACACTGTAGAACCCTAAAAAGAATAACTCCATGAGGAGGCTAATTGACGGCGATACATGACTATACGAACCAACGCCAAATGCTCCGATCTTCTGTTCGTCCGGGTTGCCATCCGCTGGTAAAAGTCAGCGCGGATTATTTGGTAATAAAACCATCATACCAATCTTCGTCAGTCGTCCCCAGTCCTTGTCTTCGAAATAATCACCATTGTTGCGAACAACCCATTTGAACAACTGTTGGGATGCTGAGCATTGGTAATTCCGAAGGTATCACCACCCCGAGCTCACCTTCGTTGTGAGCAAGTCCGGGATATCGGTGGTGCCATTGATTCCATTTGTCTTGCCGTTTGCTCCCGCAGAATGTGTAACATAGTCCTTCGTCTGAAACTCTATAAGGACCTTCGTGGCTCTAGCATCGTCAGCATTCTGTAATAGTTCTCGGAATACTGGGCGCTTTTTAGTCGACCACGCTAACCAATAGTGGTTCGACGAACCTGTAAACTCTTCTGGATATCGAGCGAGCACTTTATCGACCAGTGCACGCTGGTTTACTTCTACTCTCCTCGGCGTTCTAGTAGTCGCAGTCTGTACACCTCTTAGTGCGAGCGCCTAATTTGGTAACATTAACCACCCACCTTGCTCAGGCTCGCCATTGCGCCGGTGGCCAAAGTCAGGTATTGAAATTTTTGCTTTGCTGGTGTCCTCAGTCCTGTCGTTGAAAGGGTATACGGATACGAAAGATGCTGTGGTATTTAAAGCTGTGGTATTTGCTGTGAATGTGAAAGCAAACAGGCGTCTGCTCGCATAACGTTTGATTAAAGCGGAATCACAGCCGCATCGACATGTGGCAGTACTTTAGACGCCCAACAATGTTTCTTTCAGAACTTGCAGCAACCGCGTAAACGGAAGCCGATCTCCTCCCCGCTCCGACCTTTGTGTCCAGCAAAAATGAGATGCAGTATTGTCACAGCCCCAAGTTGAGGGTCTTGGTACCACGCAGACCAGTCGTTCCTTCAATTTATCCCATGATATTGCAGAGGATCTTGCAATTGGTTCGTCAGAATTCTCCGATTAGTAATAACAGCTATTAACAGTTGGCATAAGATATATGCATCTTTGATTATTCGTTGTGATAGGACGTTTTTGGTCCAGGTTGGAGCCTCGAGGCAGCTCGAGGCCTTATTGGTACGATTCGCTGGAGTGACAATTCTACATACCAGGATGGATCAAGGGATGTAAGGGAGACGTTGGCAGGTCAGCATTTTCCCAAGAAATGGAGCCCATCCGCTACCCAGCCTCCGACTTTCGAAACTGCAGGTCCCTCAAAGTGTTGTCTCTACACTGTCTAGTCATCCTGGAGGTTCCGACTCGAATCAATCTCTTGCCTTTCGGAATGGGATCGCGCATTGTGACCAACGCCGGGCGATGGTACACAAAACACATTCAGTAGCTACTACTTTAACGGAACCTCAACCGGAGGGGCTTGACCCACTAGCTGGCCAGTTATATGATTGCAAGCCAGACTTCACTGTCATTGCACTTACACTCGAAGTATGGGCCATTTGATGCCGACATTGGGAGCACTCTGCTTGTTCAAACGCCTCGGGTGAGAATCGAATCTCGTGAACGACCTCTGGACAGAATACTCCGCGACCTCATCCCTATTCCTGTATCTTGAGCCATGAGATACAACCGTAAAATTCGAGTGTAAGTCTGAACAGTCCGCCAATCAACCATATCGCTCATATTGGTGAATTCGCAGACAAAGCTCTCGTTCTTCTTACACGATTCAACCTGGAACAAAAAAGTTCTCCAAGTGAATGTCTTGTTCTTGCATGTTCATATTAAAACCGATATTTGGGCTTTGGTGCAACACTCTGCCCTCTCGGCTGGGAACCTTCTACCCACCCAGAAGGCGTCCTAGACATAGACCTACCTGAATACACGGAACTCACTATCGAGATTATGGATGAGCGAAGGCCATGGCTGTGGCCCGGGTGCGGCCACTATGCAGAGGATGCCGTAAGTTGACTGATGCTGCTGGGGAATCGATCTCACACTGGTTTAGATTATTTTTATGACACAAGAATGACACATTCTATGTTTGGAACAGACGTGCTGGCCGTCATCTACAGCAGCCTTACGCATTCCTCCTGCGGGGGTACGTCTACTGAACCTGACTTTAGTTGCTCACCTATCTGATGCCGTTGCTGTACCGGCATTATCTTCTTCGTTCTTGCTTTCTCCTTCAATACTCAGATTGTCTAACGCGTGTCCTGGTCGGCTGTGCAGTTGGCCTGGTGATGCTCTTCGTGATATGGGTGGTGTGGGACATACGCACCGCCTGGTGGCTGTATCCAATCACTGTCAGTATAAGGCGATGCATAACCGTCTCTTTGGCAAAATTCTGCATCAGTCGACCTTCTCTGGAAGAAGGTGCATTGATGCCACTAGACAATGACTTTGAAGCGGCAGGTGCAGACTCGGACTAACTGAATCACCTGGAAACCAGGATGTCTTGGCCTCTGTTCTTCTTTGCCAGCATCGTTATATTGTAGTTTCTCACCGGATCTCACCAACCAGCCCTCAATACTTAATCCTCTCTCAGAGTTGTTTGTTTTGCTCTGATGTTTATGCGTCTCAGAATCTCATAAAGTTCTAGGTGTATTCATCTATTATATAGCTTCACTGTCTGGCTGTCAATCCTTCGTGCCACGAAATCAACGAACCAACGGAAGAATCATCGACCTCATAGTCGACCATAGGCATCAAGTGATGGCCTGCCAAAGGTAGGCTGACAGGGCAGTGATGATCAGTATCCTCAATTCGATCAAAGTTCCAACACCATCACTTACAGTTGGTGCAGGTTTATTTTGGAGGATCGCCTCAATTTTGTCTAGGATCTCAGGCGTTAGTTTGGGAATAACGTCCAGTGCCTTCAAGTTATCGACCACCTGCTCAGGCTTAGAGGCGCCGAGGATGACGGTGCTTGTGTTCGGGTTCTTTGCAACCCATGCCAACGCCAAGTGTGTGACGCTACAGCCTAACTCTGTCTCAGCGAGCGTGGTGAGCGCTTGGACTTTGCGAATCTTGGAGAGACCCTCCTCCTCGTTGAGGCTCTTCAGAGTGTCCTTGAAGAAATCGGAGTGGGCAGCGAACCGCGAATCTGCTGGGACACCATTGTTGTACTGGAGATCACGAATCATTAGCAGTTGTATCTGCAATCTATCTTGGGAATGTTGATTACCTTCCCGGTGAGGAGGCCGCTAGCCAGTGCTGACCAAACGGTGGTTCCGATGGAATATTTCTTATAGACAGGTGCGTATTCTTTTTCGGGGCGTTCACGGTGAAGCATGCTAGATACCCATCAGGATGATGGATCTCGCGCAATGTCTTTGTCAACTCACTGGTGCTGGCACTGCTCAGCAATAGGAGGGATCAGGTTGAGCTTCTCAGCGACGTCTGTACAGCGCGTATTAGAGTCAGGTCATTCGAGAAACAGTTGAAACGCACGGTAAGCCTCCTCAATGTCCCTGGCAGACCATTCTGATGTGGCCCAGTAGAATGCCTGCAAAGACCTTGAGCACGACCAAGAAACATGAGACTCGAGACTCACCCAGCCCTTCTCAATGACATGGTTGAAAGCGCGGACGACCTCCTCCATCGGCGCTGCAAACGATGTCTTCGATATCTATGTTTGTGTTCACAACTTAAAAACATACTGGTATAATCAGGTCGATGTGCGAAGAGGACATCAACATAGTCGAGGCCAAGACGGTCCAGTGACTCCTGGGTACCTTCAATGATACTAGGCCGACGATAAGTTTATGTCCTGATTTAGGTTTTATCCGCACGCACTGTTTTCTGGAGAGACCAGTGTCATTCGGACCAGTGCGGGTACCAAAGAACAATTTTGTGGTGATGACCAAATCAGAGCGACGGTAGCCGAGTTCTCTAATAACGCGACCCCTGTCCAGAAACCAGGTTAGACTCATTCGACGAGGCTTCCTTGAACACGCACATTTCAACTTCCGAATGACCCTTTGCGTAGCCCTCAGCGGTGTCGAACATGTTGATACCATTCTCGAAGGCGACTTTGATAATTTCCTGATTGTGAGAACGAGTTGAGGCTCCCCGTTCGCGTGCAAACCTCAAGATCTAGGTTCCCTTACCTTGACAGGGTCACCAACAACGGTTCCTCCCAGCGTCAGCCCTACAAGGTATTCTCAGCACCATAGTAATAACACTGTCACGATTAACAAGCTGCTCACATCCACCAAGTGAGAACACCGGGACCCGTAGGCCGCTGGGGCCCAGACGGCGGAAGGGCATGTTCTTGGGGTCGAACTCTGTCAAAACAGTCATGGCTAATGCGGTGATGGTATGCGGTAAGGTGGTTATTGCAACTTGCAAGCACGATGGGACTTTACCATGGCTTCAACTCAAGTTATATATGTATGTGAAAGCTAGTGCATTTCTAAGCTTTGTTGTGTTGTTCCGCGGACCGGAACGATGATTGAACTATACTTGGATATCCTAGCTGAGTTTCAATCACGCAATTTTTGGAAGCGTTTCCGCCAGATTTGGTCCGGTTCGGATCAAAACCTAATGATAGGGGTGTTATTTACACAGAAGTTACATAAATTTTCCGCCGGCGTTTGTTCAACATCAACTTTCTTTATCTCTCGTACCTCCTCAGCGCTCAGCCCCCATTTCAAGTACAGAGCGAAGGTTTCCGACGTGCAACATGACAACTGGAATCAAGAACAATTCAAGCCGAGTCTTGCTGGTAGACCATGTACAGCTGATATGTGTGAGTTCTTACTCATGCTTCAGTCACTGGCAATACCTTCATCACGATGTCATGAGTACTTGACTCCTCTCGGAAGGTCATAAGACATCTGTCGAACAGCGGGGCTCCGTTTTACCCCACCTCATGGCAGGACGAAATTTTGATATTCACATGGGTCAGTCACGGCACTTGTATAACACCTCGACACTATTGACAATGGGAATTTATTTTCTGACCACGAGGTGGATTCCATCAATTCTTTCTTTTCACAGACGGCCGTTGATATCCAGTGCCGGGCGGCCAAAAGTTGGCTACAACCCTAAAGTTTTAGCTTGGTGAAGTTTACTCATCAAAGGCAAGCACTTACCGGGGCAGCCGGCTGATTTTCCAGAATCGCTTCAATCTTGTCCATTATCTCAGGTGTGAGTTTGGGAATGACGTCGAGAGCCTTCAAGTTATCAAGGACTTGCTCAGGCTTCGAGGCTCCGAGGATGACAGTGCTTGTGTTCGGGTTCTTTGCGACCCACGCAAGTGCCAGGTGCGTGATGGTGCAACCAAGCTCTATCAGGTGCGTGTCATCTTAAGCAATCGTGTGCGACAAGAGAGGAAGAAAATACCTTGTTCTGCGAGTACGCTCAACTCGTTGACCTTGCGGATCTTTGTGAGACCCTCCTCCTTTTGCAAACTGTCCACTGTGCCCTTGAAAAAGTTGGAGTGCGTCGAGAAACGGGTCCCCTCTGGAATACCGCCGTTGTACTGCATTCGAGATGAGAAAATGATTGTTTGGCTTGTTGGAAGTAACACACCTTCCCAGTAAGAAGACCACTAGCAAGAGCGGAGAACACTGTGGTGCCCAGCTGGTATTTCTTGTACAAAGGGCTGTGGTAAATTTGTCTCAGCCACTGATCACAACGAAGACGATAGTGACCCACCGGTACTCCTTCTCAGGGCGTTCACGATGGAACATGCTGATCAAGGATTCAGCAATTCACAATCACAAAAATGGAGGATACCTACTTGTGTTGACATTGCTCGGCGATAGGTCCATGGAGTCCAAGCTTTGTCGCGATGTCTACAACAATCACTCATCAGCAGTGTTCATAACTCCCTAACACAAAAAAGAGCTCACGCTGCGCCTCCTCAATATCGTATGCAGACCATTCTGACGTTGCCCAGTAGAATGCCTAGAATGCCGTGAGTACTTCGTTGTTATTCTCCTACTCAGGCGACATACCCAGCCCTTCTCAATCACCCAGTTGAATGCACGCACTATCTCTTCCATGGGGACTAAACAATTGTGTTGAGCTGATTTGGTCCGTTCGGCATGCATAACTAATCATACCCGAGACATCTGGGCGGTGCGCAAATATAACATCGACGTAGTCAAGACCAAGACGCTCGAGACACTCCTTAGTTCCTTCAATAATACTGCAACTAGGTCAGCACTTTGAAGTGCAATCGTGAACAACTCACTGTTTCCTCGAGAGACCTCCATCATTAGGACCAGTGCGCAGACCCCAGAATAGTTTGGTAGTGATGATAAGATCTGTCCGGCGGAGGCCGAGCTCCTTAATTACACGACCCCTTCCCTCACAGTCAGCTTTGGTGCTCGCCAAAGTGTCGAAGAACCTTACATTTCCACCTCGGACTTGCCTTTTGCGTAAGCCTCTGCGGTATCGAACATGTTAACACCATTGTCGAATGCGATTTTCATTATATCCTTTTGGTGGAGGTCGGATACTGAGACATTTTGAAGACTAAGGAGTTCATGCTCACCTTCACTGGGTCACCGATCACGGTTCCACCAAGAGTAAGCCCTAGGTAAGTTCCAATTTAGCGCCGTCAAACACGAAATAGTACACGAAACATACATCCACCAAGGGAGAAGACAGGGACTCGGAGGCCACTAGGGCCGAGCCTGCGGAAAGGCATGTTCTTGGGGTCGAATTCGACCTTGACATCAGATCCAGAAGCCATTGTTGTGTGAGAGACGTTGAAAATAAGAGTTGAGCAAGAGGAATTAGCCTTGAAGCTTGAGTGCGTGACATTATTTAAAGAATTCAATCATTGCTGCTGCGGGCCGCTGTCACCACCGTACTTGAATTCCGGCCAATCATCGATCATCTATGCCCCCAATCGTTCCCGAGAGAAGATTACCAGGTTGGTGTCGAGACATGTTGAATTCAAGCGTCAGATGACCTGCAAGCATTTGATCGTGTCATAAATCTCAGGCTATGGTGAGCGATGGTGAGAACATGGCCGCCCCTAGGCGGGTTAGTAAGGTAACATGCGGTCTTCGTAAGATTATCGGATAAATACCAGGTTTTTGGGTGGGCGAAGTCACTGACCGAGCGGCTTGTCTACGCCATGCTCTTCGCATTTTTACGCATGTGAACGAATGTGGATGCCTGTACTTAGTAACGCACAAGACCTGCAAGTTGTTACTGGTGGTATGGTTTACTCGGCATCGCTTGCATGATTCGAACTATTCGCTACTATGTAGCAAGTTGTATGGTGGAGCGCTGACTGCCGTGACGTCGACATTTCCGAAGGGGGATCAAAGCCCCAGGCAAGCGGCAGCGCAAGGGCTAGCGCCCGAACTTACACGACTCGCAGAATGATCGATCGACCAGTGGGTGGCCATCACCGTTTAATATACATTTATATACACATTATAATGTAGACAATAAGCATAATAACCGGCTAGAATATCTGTGGCAGCGCAAGATATATCTTTAGTCATATATCTACACATATCATTATCCTCTATGACCGATGATTATTATGATAATCTTGATCATAATGAAATTAATCTCAAGTGACAAGGCATGTTTGACGAGGTGTCTTCTCATTGAGCATTTCTGGTGGATCCCCTGTCCAAGAAGTAAAAGAAATATATATTCCTTACTAGTTGTACCATGGGTGGGCAATTGTCTCATCAGCGTCTTGGTAACATGATATGTTGGATACTTGATTGGCAAGAAGATCATATTGGGTAGTACACATGACGGTTATGCATAGAAAACTACTGATTTCGTATACGGGATTTGTATGGCATGGAATGCGGCAGCAGAGGATCGAGTTCGACAGTAGTATATAGTTCAACCGTGGGATACAGTCAGCCATGGGATCAAGGGCTGGCTATCCAATCGAGTTCCCAATGGATCGCTCCCTGCCATGCTGTCAAAGCCAGGGGAAAGGCGGACCGGGAGGCTTTCTGGACCGGGACTTGTCGAGAAAGGAAGTAGTGCTAATGAGCGGCAGAGCAGGCAATTGTGGCAATGTGCAGGTACAGAACGCCACTGGGGCGCAATGGTCCGACAGAGTCCGATAACAGCAACAAGCTATTCCTTAAAATGACTAGAAAATTTACGTGGTGAGTAGTGATTGAGGTCTTGACTCTGCCGACACATACATAATCCTCATTTGCTTTCCAATAGGATCCGGGAGTTTGAACTGTTTCAGAATAGGAAGGATTGCATTATCCAAGTTAGGACTGGAGCAGGGTTGCAGGGTGATGAGACCGTGAGCTTCGGTATTAGTTGCAGATAATAAAAACGAACTGAGAACCGAACTTCATAGGGGGGGAATTCAATTCTCGATTTACATGAGACTGGACTCGGTTATCCCACCGAACCGGTATCTCGTAAGTTTGACTCGGAACGTTAGTTCAGGACAAGTGACCGAAATAACGACCATATCAATTGACTTTGAATGAAAGCGATGCCAAATGCAGGACTCCTACTACTAATAGTAGACTTGAGAGACCAATTCATCTGTGCGGCTGTTAAATTGAGTACAGTCCCGACCTTTGCCATGGAGGAGAACAAGAGAAAAGAGTGTAGGCTGACTTAAGAGCCTCGCTATATAACAGTGTGCACGATGGAACTGTACAACGTTCGAGTCAGTGGTCTGACATCAGTGAGAAATAGCCGACGTGTGCCATACTGACATATCAAGTACTGCATGGAAGGAGAATATGGTCAAAGAGCGATTTTATCACGTGTGTTTGATAGACCCAAACAAAATTGGTTGAAAGCATGATGTATATAATCAGGCTAAGTGAATTTCAGTGATGGCCAGCCACCCCGCCGCTTGCGTTCTTCATATCCACGCTGGAGGTTGTAGAAGTTCGTGGGGCTAATAGTAGTTACGCGAACTGAGGGTAAGACTGTCAGAGTCCGAGTCGAGGGCTAATTCGACTCTGACGTGTATTGACTCATCTGTATACCGTGCTGGTGGTGAAAGCACTCGCTGAGTGAATGTATAGTGTCACGGGCCAGATACCTGGAGCGAGAGTACCAATTAGTGGGTATGCAATTGATCTAATAGCATGTCGACAGTTGGTGACAAGCCACAAAACAAGAAACTATGTAGGACGTCGACGGAACGGGCTACAATAAGCTGATTACCATCCATACCCCCATGCCAAATTGTCGTTTAGACAAAGCTAGCGTATCCGACTCAGGCTCTAGTTAGGGGGAAATGGAATGTGGTCTAATCTACAATTGAAAGACGCCCCCTGAGACAGGTTGGCTACTCTTTCCGCTCATCATATCAGACTGATCGACTTCCGTCTCCTCCGTGATGTGTACAGCCATCCGTTGCATGGTGAAGTTATGGTCCTGTGTACTTCGTCCTCGAAAGAGGCTGGTGATGATGCCACCTACTAGTTCAGAGGACTGTTCGATCGGAGAGCTGCCGCCAATGTGAAAATGTACTTGGAGAATGATGAGGCAGAATGTAATCCCCTGGAAAATTTCATGAACAACTCATGTACAAGCTGATTCATTGCACTCACTACAATCGGAGGGATAACGCCCAACAAGATGTATTCGCCATTGGATCCGACCAAGAATGAAATCAGGAGCGCAAGCACACTCGTGGCATATAAAGCGCCGCTCTCAATGACGACGATGAAAACGGGTAAAAGGGTGGCAAGGCCTCCTGGCATGAAACGGCGAGTGTGATAAATTTGCCATGCAATCGAAACTGCATTATTCTGGTCATCAGTAGCCAGCAAAGCATGTGCAATAGACGTACTGGTACAGGTGACACTGACAAACATGGTCAATGTATAGAACGTAGTGATACATCCTGAAGCAGCCGTGGAAACGTTGGACAACGCATAGGCTCGAGAGAGGGCCCAGACAACATAGTATCCGGTGGCTGCAAAACGACAGGAGACAAGACGATGGTCGAATGATACCTTTCGAAACGCTCACCCGCATTAACTACTAGCACGATACAACCAGGAATGGCAACAAAGCGGCTTCTGTGATTAAGCACATGACATCGCCAAACCTGCCCTACTCAGAAGGAGAGCCAACATTCAAGTGGGGAAACTTACAACTACACCATCAGCAAGAGTGGTTTGCGTAATATAAAGTGCCTTTGATGCGAGATCCAAGGGCGAAGCAAGGTTTGAATAGTAGGCATCTGCACCAATCGTATTCACTTTGAATACGAAGGCTTCTAGCCCTCGAACAAAATCGATAATTAGATGCTGACGGCGACCATATTGAGCAATTCCCAAAAGAGGTTTGATTATTGCACTCACAGCTGTTGCAATACAGAGTAGCAAAGTTGCCACCGGGATAAGGAGTTGTCGTTGAATGCCAGTTTTCTTGAATAAGACGAATAATGTTAACCAGTACAAAGTAAAGAACACGCCTGTTAAGTGTTTGAGATGATAAAATTCGACACCATGACTTCGAGTTCAACTATTCGATTGATCGGTAACGCACCGTAAAACAAAGTCTGGAGAAACAAAGCTAAGAACGAAGCTTTGTCCAAAGGTACACCCATTATGACAGTAATGTGACTTGACCAACCGAGTCAGATCCAGACAGGAGACGACCAATGAAAGTTGTTGGGGGCACGGTCAAGAGCAGGCAGTCACCTTCTAAATAAAAGTGCGGAGCCGTGTTGGGCATGCTGCGAAAAGATTCATAATAAGTAGGCGGCGTCTGGGCTGCAAAGTATCCAAAGAATTCTATCAGTACATACCGTAAGGTTAGAGTAATCCGAGGATTGAAAATTCTCACTGTCTAACCATTCCCAGCGTGGTCTAGTTCAGCCCTTTTCGTTACCGTCTCATTTGCGCCATCTGTGTACATGGACGATAACTTGTCGTCAATGACGGACACTCCGAGTAACATTGTCACAGTCGACAAACACCCACCGCTAGGAGCCGTTATATTTGTGATTGAACAAGCTATTAGTAATAGTATAGGTTGGTGATCTCGGATGATCACAGAATTACGTAGATGTGTCGGTGACTGGATGGTGAAAAGATGGGGTGGTGCACCCGCTGGGGATCGATTCGAAAATGACGTTGTCATTTGTGACCCGAGCACCGCTGACCCTCGCCGCTTGACGGAACTCGCGCGTAATCCTTACGGCGCGGAGCACCAATATTTGCAGTCTTAAAACACATCCTAGTGTTCTCAAACCTCGTAATTCTTGTTCATAACCCTCAGCAAGCCTGAGGTCCATTATCTGAACTTTGTTATGTAGCAATGCTAGCAATATACAATCAATTGTTCGAGGTGCAGTACTAATGGACGGCATGAATTAAGGGATGCTCTTCTAAAATGTCTGGACCGAGCACATTAATGACGGTGGCGCCGTGATCGGTCTGGATCATCGATGCGATGATGTGGTAAAAGATAACGTACGTTGTACGATATGGCCTAGAATTTACATAAGGAGAGTACTGGTCCTCGACATATGTCTATGCAGTATGCACATATATATTGTACACCTCTATTTATCACCGGCGTACCGCGTTTTTCTCTCACCATAACGAATACACAACCTCAGCGTTGCAAGTCGAGAGACTATGATAAGTCCATTCAGATTCTTATCTTCCTTTGACGCAGATGAGAATTCGAAGAGGTCACTCTACCCGAGTTCAGATCCTCGCAGGGTCTCGCACGATGAATTCGGCATGCGTAATGCAAGCAGTTCTTAGTAGGCCGAAAGAAGGGCGAGGAAGACGGGCTCCATGATGGCGGCCCGGGATATCCCGCATCTTGCGCCATGGAGCCAACAACTGACAGCAGATCTGGGGCAGTGGAATTGTCGCCCCACACATCATAAAAACTCTTGGTCGCTGGTCCTCTGAAGACTGACGCGTTCCTGCGCTATTGGCGCCACTTCGAACACCTCGCACCTACCTCTGCATGTTGAGATGATCGGTCCTCCCTACATGTTGAGATGATCTGTCCTCCCATCTCCTCCGTTCTACCACCCCCGTCAATATGATGTTACGCATTTCCCCTCGATCTCTTGGCACAACCCCAGATCTCAGACGTCCATACTCGGACAGACAGACATCCTCTTCTAGCTTAGGGATTTTACTGTGAGTTTTAGAAATTTGCAAGTGCTGCAGCGCGATTCGAGAAAGATGCTAGACTATAATACTCTATGCAGTGCGCGAATGAAAGTTTCTGTGTGTTTGATCTAGTGGACGGTAAGTTCAACTGCTACTTCGACCGGCACTCGCAGTGGTTTGCCTGCCAAATCTCTCCGAGACCGACCAGCCTAGCTATTGCCACCCACTCGACTTGGACCGTAGGCACATAAGCCAGGACTAGTCCCAAGTTAAACCGTCGCTCCAGCCGGATCTTGGGCCCATCAGTGTATCTTTTCAAATCGCGATATTCTCGTGGGACCTACTTAACTTTCTGAGTGTGGTATATTATATTTCTACAGTGACGATATATTCTACAATCTTCGTCTACGTTGTATTGGCGTCAACCCTATCTATTTCTTCAGTAATGAGCGCCCGGTCATTTCTAATGGAAGTCATTAATAAAGGATGACGCCCAATTGCATATAAGTCTTACCTTCAGGTTGGGTTAAGCCCATAATCGCCAAAATAGTGGGTGCAACATCAGCAAGTGCACCACCGCCCTCTTCTCCTTCGCCGCCTTCCTCATCGCTCGCAAACTCAAGACCCTGGGCTGTCATGATGAAAGGCACCTGGTTGGTAGTGTGTGCAGTATGAGGGGCACCAGTCTCCAAGTTGATCATTTGCTCTGCATTTCCGTGGTCTGCGGTAACGAGTAAGACGTATCCAGCCTCAACGCATGCGTCGTAGACCGTTCCGACCGCCTTATCAGTAGCGGTGATAGCCTCTACCGCCGCCTCATACACACCCGTGTGTCCGACCATGTCGGGCGGGGCAAAATTGCACATGACAAATTCGTGCTTCTGGCTCTTGACCACCTCAGCGACCTTGTCTGCGACACCTTGGGCGCTCATCTCTGGCTGCTTGTCGTATGTAGCGACCTTGGGAGATGCGATCATATGGCGTTCCTCCGCAGGGAACTGCTTCTCGAGCCCGCCGTTGAAGAAGAACGTAACATGGGCATATTTCTCTGTCTCTGCGATATGCGCTTGTGACACGCCTTGTTTGGAAAGCCACTCAGCCAAAACGTTGGTCATGGCTTGGGGCGGGAAGGCTACCGGGAATGGGAACTCAGCGTTGTAACGAGACATGGTGGTAATGTGCTATATTATACGATCAGTTCAAAATAAAATGTTCGGTCGAGGTACGGACTTACTAGGTCTTTAGGGATATCTATTTCAATGGGCTTGTCCGGGAGCCCAATGACAGTTGCGATCTCCCGCATCCGATCTGAGCGGTAGTTGAAGAAAAAGAGGGTGTCTCCCTCTTTAATGCGTCCCTCGTCCCCATTTACAATGATGGGCTTCAGGAACTCATCGGTCTCATCCTTATTGTACCTCTCCTCAATTTTTTCGAGGATATCTTTACCTTCTTCACCCTCGCCGCGGACGAGGCCATCAACAGCGATCTTGATACGCTCCCAACGTTTGTCGCGGTCCATCGCGTAGTACCTGCCAACAACCGTGGCAAGCGTACCATACTCAATCTCTTTCATGAAGTCCAGCAGTTCTTGGGCGTAACCCTTAGCTGAGCGAGGGGCAGTGTCACGGCCGTCGCCGAAAAAGTGGATATAAGTGTGAGGAACGCCAGATTCCTTTGCGGTCTCCAAGAGCGCCTTGAGATGTCTAATGTGAGAATGCACACCGCCATCCGAAACCTACGGAGCGAAGTTAAAGTGGTGCAGTGCACGGCCGTCATCGTAACATACTGACCAGACCAAGGAGGTGAAGACGGCCATTTCCGTCCTTCGCACGCTTCATGCTCGCAAGGATCGTCTCATTTTTGTGGAATTGCCGTTTTGCAATGGACACATCGATCTTGACGATATCTTGCCACACGATGCGGCCTGCCCCGATGTTGAGGTGGCTGAAATATGTAGATCAGTCGTAGTTGAAGATCGGAAATGCATATTGTACAGACCCAACTTCAGAGTTGCCCATGAGCCCATCGTTCAAACCGACCGCGTTTCCGTGCGCAAAAAGGGTGCGATAGGAATGTTTTTTGGCGATGGTATCCATGTTGGTGGTGTCTGCTGCATCGATAGCATCACCTTTCATGCCTTTCTCTGGAGCGATTCCCCACCCATCGTGAACGCTGTAGTGGTTATTGTCAATGAAGCAAATCCTTTACATTCAGGTACCACTGTGCTACCCACATCAGACAGACCTTGTTATTAACCTCGGGCATGGTGGTCACAGTATAAAGTTAGGATGATGGGAAATCTGGCTTCTAGTGAGGCCTTTTTAGTGCACGTAGTATTGTGCACAGCACAGATATTACTAGTAGTCCGAAAAGGCTTGGTACCGACGAGCAGAGCTTTGGCGATAAAGCGATCTTTGTGCTGAGTGCTCGGAACGATGAGATGGTCGATAATCTTATCGCCGTACTAGTGTTATATTTCAAACTCAGAGGCTCTCAAGTGGTCCCATTTATTTCAAATCATAATTTTGAATCCTTCGTTTCTCGAAGTCACAAATTCTCTCCTTCGTGGACTCGCTATGGACAAAAAAGCCTGGTTGATTATTGAATATTAATTAATTATGGGGCTCGTATTATCGCGTGACGTCTACAATACTTTTTTGTTTTAAAAATACAGATTTATTGAAGACCTAATGTCCAAAGAGGACCTGCCCCTCTCGGATGCCTATGGCTCCTACTTGGCTCCTACATTACAGTGATTCTCCATGCTGACAGTTGGCACACCTCGCATAATAACCACTTCCACTGTGCGGCCGTGTGGTGAAATCCCCGCTCTGGTGCGATGGCCACGGATGGTTTAACCGACTATTGTCTTGCACCATGTTAGCATTGTACAGCTGGGTGAACCATTCATAGTCTTGTGCTGTGAGCGTGGTCACGTTTGGTGACATTGCAGCGTCGAGTACGCGGTGGTGTGCCATTTCGGTCCACGTGATATTTGCCATCTTGGTTCTATCATGTGACCACCACTCCAAAGGATCCTCAGAAATCACATTGCCACCTAGACGGAGTCGTCAATTTAGTTGATCTCTATGATATTGGCAACTTTTCCCTTACATGATGGTGATTGAGGATGGCCATATTTGTAATTATCTCTGGGTGAGTTACAAGCCTCAATGAGCGCCTTCTGTTGCGATAACAGTTGGTTTTCAATCCGCCAGGCGTCTAAGCTCACAGCAAGCTTCAACGTGCCATCAGATGAAGAAAAACGATATAAAGATGCGAACAGACCTCTTCTCAAGATGTCCTGTCTGGTTCGTGGATCATCCTTGGCCACCTCCTTAAGGGCCTCCCGCAGCTGCAAAAACCCGTCCTCTTCCTTCTTCCTGTAACGTCGTTGAGCAGCAGATCTGTTATCCCTCGCAGGCTGCGGGCTCTGCAGGTTTATAGTGTTGAAGCTGTTCATGTGGAAAAATGTTCACTTGACGTGGAAGGCGAGATCCTGATGTGGTGATCGACTGGGGTTGTCATTTGAGAGGGCCGCATCTTATAGGCACTTTCATACCACATTGGTCGACTGAACATCTCGGTCATTCAGGGTGAGTAGTACAACAACTTGAACTTTTCTGGTAAGTTCGTTCTGACAACGAGGGTTTCGGACCGAAGTGAAGGCTTCCTCCCAAGCACATTGCTGCCGTACGAAGGATCGGAAGGGTTGGAGCAACCTCATTGACCCCCGGTTGTAATCTCTTGCAAATAGGTTTGACTTTCCCCGTCATCAACGGATCTGTTCCGCTTTGACGCTGTGTTCGGCGCTTGCGATATTATTTTTTTGGATCCAATTTTTGTCCATTGAGAGTGAGATTCTATGTAGGAAATTACTATCTAGTCTTGGCATTCCGTGTCCTGTCCCCGACTCAAATCCCCAGATGTAGATGTAGGGCGTACCTCCATCAATCCGTCATTCATGTGATAATCCTTTGTGTAGAGGCGGCTCAACGAAATATGTCGCCGGTGTTCCACGGCGTGCATGCGAGGCAGACAGCCTGTTTGTGTTCCAAATTTACGATGGTTTAATGATGTCGCGCCCGATGTTACTCGCATAGCCATTGGTGTCTCCATCAGCCCGAATGGCACGTGGGTGGGCGTACCCTACGTTTTCGGCAATTGACTGCTGAGCGGGTAATCCCGCGGGACATCGAGACTTCGACTTCCTCTGGCCTTAGGCCCGAGAGCCGATCGTCGTATGAGACGATGTCGGACGCAAACAGGGAAAAGTATGGATCCTTCGTCCATCTCTAAAAACAACCTGCTCAATTTCAACTGTAGAATTGCGCCCAAGCATGCAGATCGCGTCTTCTGGCGCTACATCAAACTCTGAAGCCGCACTTGGCGGTGGGTATCCCTTTCGGTTTGCAATCCAACTCTAGTGCTGACAAGTTCAAGGGGCTAGCCGGCTATGCAGTATACCTCGGCTTTGACATAACCCACCAAACGGTATTTCCTATTATTATACATCCATGTGGCCTTGACATGGGGTACTTTCGCATCAACATCTGATGACATGACTAGCACCATAATCTCAAAACGTTCAGTAATCGGGAAAATCGCTAATTGTGTCACCAGCCAGTCCGACGGGTCTACTCAGAATACAACAGACATTTATTTCCGCTTATGATGAGAGGAGCGATGACATGCGGCTCTCCTTCTCACCCTTCTCGCTGACCCACTCGCAGGCCTCGTGATTTTGAACTTTTCGAATACAGCCACGACTATATTCGTGGAACGCCATGAACACGTAACAAAATAAAAGCTTTCCATCGATAGGTGCCATCAGGTGCCTGGTCGATTCAATAGATCCATAATTCGATGGATGAGTTATCAAAAATGCTCAAGACAACGAGTCGATGGTCGCGTCGCTAGGGGCTGACTTACCAGTCAGTTGCCCTTCGTTAATACTATTCCATCAAAAAATGACTCCATAGAGGTATCGGAAAAAAAACTCAAGACAATGAGCCATCCAGGGCTCGCTAATTTTGTGAGAAATGCTAAGGTTATAGCTTATATTACGTTGACCTAGCGCCCCTCGAGATTGTTCCCTCCGTGGCACTATATGGATTTACCCGTACGTTGTACATGTGTTTCCTGTCCATATTGATTGACTGCGGTGCATCTAGAACTATGTTTTATAAAGCACGTGTCACAACTCTAATCCTCGGTATCCACTTCACTTCCGATGTTGCTACGTGAGTACTATTAGCTCCAACTCATCTTTCAAGGGTACCTATACTCACTTAGGTTCCACCTCCTACGGCCATCCCGTTCCCCCCGGCTGCTCACCAGGATGTTCCGGCTGAGCCAAATAAAATTGTAACCACCTAAAATCTTCATCGGACAATGTTATAGCTGCGTGCGCCTACTCAGTCCGGAGTACACGCAACCGAAAAGAATCATACCTTCTGGCCCAGTCCCAGTGCCCGCAGCATTGTTTGGGAGCGTCCCGCCGAGCTGCTGCTGCAGGTCAACTTGCTCTTGTCCCAGGCGCCGGAGACACTCAGTGGCTTTTGTTTCTCGTCAGCTTTGCAATAAGTGGACTTCAGAATACTTACCTCTTCTCAAAATCTCGCGTCGGGAGCGAGCGTTAGTGCGCTCGACTTCATTCAGGGCCCCCAACAGATTGCGAAAGGCGAGCCGCTCCCTCTCGCGATAGTCTCGCTGCAAGTTGGCCTTCAAGTTGTTCTGCGGTCCTTGTGACGGTCCCTGGCTGTCCATCGTCTATCGAGTTCTGGCTATTGGAGGTGTTGGTTCTGAGGACGGAAGACTCTCATTCCATGGCTTTATATCTTCACCTCAGTACCGGAAGCGTCAAGAAGAATGGGAAATTGATACTGACTCTTCATATGAGCGGCACTGACGACTTTGATGTAAAACACAAGAATTAGCAATTATTACATGGTTAATGTCTTCTTCATATATCACTCCTCCATATTTGAAAATGATAACTTGGTCCACCCAAGCGCTCCGTCGCATGTACATGCGGCAGACGCCTTCAGTCCCTATCGGTATGGCGTTGCGCCGGCCGATTCCATTCGACCTATCAATGCTCTCCGCAGCCTTACTCTGTTTCACAACTACTATAGTACTTCAGGAGTCAGCACCGCGGCCGGCGGAGCTTTGACCCTTACTCCTGTTAGCGCTTGTCGAATTTCAGCTTGCCGGTGTCGCCCGCGTGGCTGCACCAACTGCACTGCATCGAGGCCCTTGGCATTAAGCAAAGTATAAACGTGGTAATGATAAGGTGGCTATCCAACCACTTGTATGACTTGCGTTTACTGCATCCCGCCCTTCTCAAGCCATACTCCCTATTTTTCACCGTTTGATCATTGTAATTTCCGCACTATCGATTCATGAGGCAAACCCACTGCATACAACACGCGATTGTCAGGCCCCCCACCCACACCGGACGGATGTTCTCGACATAGTTCGCTTCTCAATCTGACTCATCAGAGATCAACACAGGAAGGTCAAGATGAATTCGGCTAAAGTGGTGTATTTACCACAAATGAAATCATCCATGCGGTACATCCACCCCCTTGAAATATAGACCAGATTCAGTAACGGTCCGCATCTACATCCATCTCTTGTGTGCGCTGCTCGATAATGGCGTTTAGAGAGGCCTAGGAATGTTCACACTGAATTTGCGAACGCCGGAACATACAAAACATCTTACTATCCGCTGGCTTCCCACCAGAATAGAAAACTCTGCCGCACGACTCTCAGGAGACATATCGAGGATTTCTTGCAGCGATCCCTGATACAGCATCACGAAGGCTGCGAAAGGGTTCATGCCCTCCACACTCGCAAGATCCGCTTCATCCTGTAAAGAAATGAGCAATATAATGTACACCCTGTGGGACTGAATGAGAAGCACGGAGCGGACACACCTCGTGCTCGTCGACCTGTAGCCACCCCCGATCTTCCCAAAGGGCATTCCCACTTCCATTGAAAGCCCATTCTTGAGCCAAGTTCCCAAACGTCCTCACAAATAAGGCTGCCTCGCCCACATCATTGGCAAACGCCCATTGAATCTTACACCCTGCATTCTTCGTCCCACAACCCTCGGCGATGGTCAAGAGCCGGCGGAGCTTCTTAATTGCTTTGAGTATGGGTGGCGAGAACGCATAGGGCATGAGTTTGACGTTCGTATTTATTTCTGCCGTAAATGCATTTGCGCTTGGGAATGCCTCAAGAATGATAAGGATATGTGTATACCGCCAGGATGACTGCGAGATGCGATCGGCGAGTCCTTCAACTTGAGAGGGAAGCGCTAGCAGCGGCGCAACTAGCACAGCTGTGTCTGGATCCATCACAATGTCCGCTCCACCCAACACATACCTCTCTACGAGATGCACCCGGCACTCGGGGGCTTGCAAGGCTCGGACGAGCGCGCGTTTCTGAATGAGAGCCATACTTGCAAGATAGCAATGGCTCGCGGTCGGTGGGTTCCATACATCGGGGAGACGCAGGGTGTGGGTGTCGAGGATTTCTGGAGGTACAGCACGGGGTGGCGAGGCGCTGCCGAGTTGCACAGCCTGGGGTTCAGAAGAGATGGTCATAGGGATTATCGACGGAGGGGGGTCACACATCACGTGCTTGTTGCGCAGTGTCAGGTGGTCATCTATAAACCCTCGCGTGACGATGGTGGTATTCTTGGGGTCATCCAGTCGTCTGCGTTTGGATACAGGGGAGGCGGTACTAGAAGCCACTTCCGGGACGAAATATCGTAAGAATGATGCCATGTTCGCCGGCTGGTCCTTGTCCGAGATGCCTTGAGTTTTCCTCGGGCCGTCGGTATCCGGTATCACACTTCGTTCCTCGTCACCATCTAAGAGTACACTAGGCTCGGTCGGACACTTTGACACCCGCTCGCTTTGGGAACCAAATGAAAGCGGGAAAAAAGCGGATTCCGTACAAATGTCTCGGGAGTAGTTAGCCATCGCATAATCTTGGTCAAGTCCTCGGAGAGGACGGCGCCCAGCCGGATGTAGACTCGGGCCGTGCCGGTGCCATGTCGGTAACGGGGAAGATGAAGACGGTCCTTCGTGGCACTGATCCCTGTCTTGCTCCTGTTGGTACATATAGTGGGGGTTATCTTCCTTGTCCTTGTCAGAGTAATCAACATCATCGGGTGAGTAGACAGCTTCCAAGGGACTCGGGTCATCTCGATCTCGATAATACGCTTCTTTGTCGCGGAGGTTGGGGAATACAACACCAGAATGATCGAACGCAGTTCCCGGATCACCGAACGTAGCACCAGAAATATCATCATCTGCAACATCCGAGTGGTCGGCAACGTTAGGAATACTATCCGGAATGCCAGAATCATGAAAGACAGGGTGAGGGGGCGCGGGCTGATCGACATTGTCCGTTTCAAGGGAGGTTTCATCTCCGCCTTTGACTTCATCTTGTCGTTCATGAGGATCTTCACCATATTTAGCACGATGTTCATGCGAATCCTCGAATTCAGGAAGGCCGGCGTGAAGCCTTCGTTCTCTTTTCGTCAGCATCAACTCAAATCCCTCTTCCAGCAAAAAGGGCTTGAGAGGGCGGGGAGGTGAGAGACCAAAACTCCCTGTACCGCGTCTGTCTTGTGATTTCTTCGATTCCGCTACGTTGGCCGCATGACAAGAGGCAGTTTCGAGGTCTGCGAGTAGTCCGTGGATCTTTGCTTCGTTTGCTTTGTCAGTATAGCCCAGTTTCACGAGATCATCCAGAGCAGGTTCAGTAACAAGAGAGACGCTTTCGTCGGTTGGGATCGGGGGCGCGAATTTGAAGGGTCTGCGTGCGCCGGTATATATGAGAGCAGTTTCAAGACGACGACCAGAGGGCACTCATATTATAATTGGGCTGGGAGAGCAATTTACGTACCTCCAAGACAACTCGAGGTTGAGCGGTTTGATGCCCTTTACGGGTTCCAGCGTAGTGTGCCGCTGAACGGGTTTTTTTCATCTTGCCTCCACGTATGAGGGCCTTCATGCTTGTAGGCCGTAGAGACGGCCCCAGATGCGCGGTGGGCGGGGGAAGGTGTGGCACTGCCGGGTGACGGTGGTGTAAGAAATCCGAAATATCGAGAAGATACTCGGGAGAAAACATCGAGAAAGTATATCAAAAAGAATGAAATTATACAAAGCTGTCACCAGCCACGAAAAAATGACGGAGACGGACGCACCATCCATCAATGCAACATCCTTTTCATCCAACCTCTCCTCCAGTACACACCCTTCGATGTTCTCCTCCTGCACCTCTCGGTACATATGCCTGAGAGCCATATCGAGATCCTGTTCCACATCAATGTCTTCCAAGTCTTGATCTTGGTATGACTTCTTTCCTCTGTCTCTTCCCGCATGCGTAGGCAGGGGTGAAGCAGCACAAATAGAAGGTGGCTGCCCGAGCATAGAGTCCTCTGCATCAAGGATCCTCCCATCCTCTGCGTTTGGGGAAGAAATAAATAGCGCAATATCAGTATTCTGATTCGTCGACGTTGTAGTATTGCCTTCTTTTAACTTCGCAGTAGCCACAGGCTTCAGGTGCTCGATAAGTGACTTGAGACTGAAAAAAGCGGGTGGGTGAGCGTTCGTATATGGACTGCAGCACGCACTTTTTAGAATCCCTTGGTTTGAGTGAGTGCGGAAGTATGTGTCCGGGTTTGTGAATACGCGGGATCTCTACTTCGTCTACCAGCCCATGATGAAAAAAACCAAAACCATCGTTGGGGGCGAGGTCAGAGAAATGTATTGGATATGTGAATAAATGCTCACCCATTCTAGCGCTGAAAAGGCTTGTAGCAGGTGTGCCAGGCGGTGTCGGTGAGGCCTCCCATAGTTCGTCGATTTCTGTGTCTTGTGAGGAGAGTGGCGAAGCAGAAGGCGGAGAAGAGATGGGAAGGACATCTACGTATTCAGTATTTAGTCTTTCGCCACATACTAAGAATGAAGCAATGGAAACGACACACGTACTCCATCCATCAACAATCGACATGTTGACGTTGTCTACGTCATCCTCTAGCTCCTCCAGAACGGGAGCACGGACAGCCTTCAGCCTATCCACGATGTCCTTTGCATTCGCAATACTTGTCCATAACGAATCCGGACTTGCTTTGGATCGGGGGAAGAGAGGGGGAGAAAGTGGACGTTGAATCTGAAGCGGTGGGGAATCGACGCGCAGGAAAGAAGTGATATGGCCATTGGTCTCAGTTGATTGTGCAGGTGGATTTGCCGATTTAAATAGTGAGAGGATGTAAGTGCGAGTAGTGGATTCGATGGTGGGGCGAACATCCCTGTTCCACCTTTGTAAGTAGTAATCTAAGAGCAAGAAAAAAATCGCGCACAAAACCTCTTCCAGGTTAGGTACATCCGAATCCTCGATTGGTGGAACCACCACAGACTTGACACCGGTGTGGTCTAATTGCGCAGGCCATGTGCGAGGGAGAGATGCGCGGAGAGCGTTGGTACCTGCTTTCGGGGTCTGCTTTCGCGCACGGTTGGTAAGGATGGGCGTCATAGGTCTGTATATCTCTGCAATGCGTGTATCTAAAACACGTTACCCTCAAGTTAAGGTGAGCGATCAAAGGGAATGCAACGGACACATGTGATCCTCCTCTCGCCAGCATGCCTCGCTACGGAGTTCCCTGCCTTCACCCACAATAGTCTTTAGTAATGATTTGAGCCTGCGTACAGTATCTCCGTCTGTCGTCAAGCGCTCATCAAAGGAGAGGTCGAGATTTTTCAGAGACCCAGCAAGAGTGTCGAGTGGATCTGGGGGTAGCACGAGCGCGTGCGGGTCCGCTAATGGGACAAAATCTAAGGATTCTGTGAAGATCTTCGCCACATCTTAATGGACTCTTGGTCTGAAAGAATTACAACGGACCTGCTCGAGCTTAAACTCGGTATATGCGACATGGTCTCTGGTAATGTGCTTCCTAACGTAAGGAAGGAAGGTCTGGCGAATGTGGTTGCGGACTGTGAGCTCGTACTCAGGTGATATTCCAGAAGGATCCATGTATGTAGGATGAAAATCCCAGTCAGTAGACCAGTCCTAATGATAAACGTCAGTTAGTACACGACTTCAAGAATTAAGGTCTTGTCTAAGCAGTTATGTCACGTCACGACAATCTTTGTCACACCAGTTACGCTCGTGGTCGGTCTTTCTCAATTCCTCAAAACTGCTAGACCCGAACTTTGCATATATCTGTGTTAGGCTTTTGTGCTCACTCGAAGTCGTCATCGTTCTTGTTGTGTGCCTATAGATTCGTCTGAAGACTAACGGTCCACGAAATCGCAATAGATCGAGCGAGCGAGTTTGCACCCTTCATTTTCGCGACGACTCGACGTCCTGGTACTTAGGTGCGCCACGTCATGAATTGCCAAACTCTTAATCCGCTGCTTAGTTCCAAATACCTTAGATTGTTATATATCATTGATTGACACCGCGCTTGATATGCCCGTATCAATGTTGACTTGAGTTCATCCAGTGCAGGCCTTCTAGTACGAAGCAAATGCCAGGTTGATTCGAGTTGCCAGTTGATTACCCGCCCTGGTCTAACCTGGTGGTGTTGTGTGATATATGTAGTGTCCCTGCTTCTCGCAATGACTGAAGTAACCATACCAACCTTCACAGATTTGTTATCGTTCGCGGACCAGTTGGATTCCTCTATTCTGCATACAATTGCGAAGTTTTGTCAACACTGATTGTTGCCCCTGAGGCCTGAGCGTGTAGCGACTGTGATAGATCAAATTGCAATATGTATATGCCATTCAACATCAAAGTTTCTTTGGCAGCCGCTCCAAGGACAAACAAAGACATATCGCGCATCTCTTCTTGAAATGCTGAGATCGAACATGGCAGAGCGGCGACCCACCTTGATTTAGACAAACATATCACCACTCGGCTTCAGGAGACGTGGAGCTCTCTGTCGAGTAGATTGCATCGAGATCTGGTCTATCGATATGACACTTACACAGCTTTCTTACTATCGTCATGTCTGTCGCGAGTACTTACCGTCTATCCATGTAGCCTTCGGTCCCGCATGTGTCAATTGTTGCCCCATAAGAGCTGAATCGTAAGAAGTAATCGCTCGGTTTCGTGGTTCCACTTTACGCAATCACTCAGATAGTAAGTTCTCATCTTCTGAAGTGCGGGGAACTTCCTTATGGACCATCTCCCGCTCGTTGCAGGTTGACGCACCTAAAGAGACCAGTCGGGTTTGAAGCCATCTTGGACACCGTCAACTCTGCACCTCGCAGAATTCAAAATCACTCAGAACTAATGCAAAGAACAAGTTCTTCAAGTTTGTAGTAAGTAAATTATATCTCACTTTAATTATCCGCATAGAACTAGAATCATAGAACAAAATTCCGCGCCGACTCATACCTGGTCGTCGAACAGTACAGACAAGTAACAACCTAGGCTGCCGTTGGAGTGTGCTCGGTGCCACGGCTCGCAGCCCATGTATCTGGTCCCTGTAACATGTCAGCATCAATGATCATATCCACCACAACTGGCGCACTAGAGGAATCCTCACCCTTCTATTGTTAATTCTCTGATTCCTGACTCTTCTTGCAAGCCACTCGGCAGCAGTAGAACCACTCTCAAAGTTTCTGTCAGGTTGCTTCTTCACAGCGTCTGCGATAATGGGACTGGATTCAACAAGAGCCCGAAGAACTTTCGAGCTGGTCGGACGGGTGAAGAAAACTAGGGACCATCGCTCGTATTCTGCCTGTGCACCGGGAGGTGGACTATCCGGGATGATTCGAAAAATTAGCAAGTTTGTGCATGCAAGTCCTCAGTAGCATGTACATACACAACGCGGTGGATGTTGGATTGTAGAATGCCTCCACTGAAAATAGATAATGCATCCGCAATATTGCAAATAGCATGTCCGGGGATCGGCTATGCATTAGTGAGCGTCGGCCGCGGGTGCTTGAGTGATTCGTGCTTACTCGAACGTAGGACCACTTGTCATGACCAGGGGGCATCACTTGGAGTCCACCGAGCCGATTGTGCAAGATGGTCTGGTGATACAGGTATTTCTGTCAGTACATCACCCGCATATATCGAGCAACCCACCATAGTGCCGAAATCAGTATGGGCAGCTAGCATAGCCCTGTCCATCGCTGCCTTATCCGGCAGAGGGGGGCTGCGAGTGCATCTGGCCTCGCAAGCACTGTGCTCATCCATGGCATTCAGACTCTCCAAAGTCCCCTCCGGCAGCCCAAGCTTATCATTAAATATACTCAACACAACATATGTCACATCAAGAGACTTGCGGACAAATGGTGCGACTGTGTTTTCCATGCGAGCGTTTATGGTCGATGGGTAAGTGAGGTGAACGACCTGTGGATATGCGAGCGCATCGTCTTTAGAGACATTTATGAACTCAATATTGTCCACGAATTTGCCTGGATTTATGTCAGTCCATTGCTAGTGGTCTGGTCTGGAAGTACGTGCCCGTTCCATCGATCGCCTGAGCCCCCACTTTCTTGTATCTGTTAAAAAAACTATATAACATACGCTTGTGAACCATATCAACGACGGACCCGAAAGATTGTCCATTATCCCCTTGCTCGAACTTCATACGTTCCTCGAGGGGCAAAGCCAGTGTCTCGGCACCCACATCAAACATGTCGTTGACTTCTTGATCCGCGCCATGGTTCTTCAAGCTGTCCGAGGAATCTAGTAATGTTCGGCAAAGATCCAACCCCTATAACGTACTACCAGAATCCAAGCGTTGTCGCAGCTTCCCACAATCGATCAATTTCCTCCTTATCTCCAGCCCTGATGAGCTCATAATCAACAATCAAGAGCGGGTGTGTTCGAACATCATCCGGAAAAGGGGGAAGAGAGGTTCCAGGCATACTGATGCTAATGAGAGAGCCGTAATCATGTCAAACCGGATAATATAAAAAAGTGGGTAAACTTACTGCGAGGATTAGACAGTAAGAAGAGGTTAGTGAATGCGTGGAAACGGGACCTTTAAACTTATACCACTTCACGCACACAGATACTGAGATAACATCCAGCTGACTTCGAGACCACTACTTCATCGTGCGAAGAAATCATCTGACCATTTCCGTGTCGATATTCTGGCGGCGCGCAGAAGCGCCTGCCCCATATGACACGTCCCGACTTACAATATTAAGAGAACAGCTCAACCCTCACGCTCTGCCCTGTCGAAGTAAGACAGGGCGCAAAGGTTGCACTTCAGCACCTCACACGAAGAGCCAGGATAGAATTGATTGAACTCACATCTTAAAATCCACCCAGCGCTACGTATGACCAGAAAGGCCAAGACGCCGTCTGCCCTGCAGTGCCGAACTAGCATGTGATCTTCTACCGGAAAACTACGTATTACGGACAGTGGCCGATTTAGTAAGGCCGAGGTGTATAAGCATTACTTACGACCCACCCATGATAATTTCCGACTTGAGATCCGGGCGCGACAGGAGGAAGCGAAATAAATATGTTGAGAGCAGACAGGACACCAGCGTTTGTTCTTCCAGTCTTCCAGTCAATTGAAATCGCATATCAATCGAGTTGTTCTGTTTTTTTTTTTTCCTCTGGTGATTGTTCTTGGAATTGATCTCCGCTGCCACATTGCTTGTAGACCTGGTAAAGTTCTCGGATCCAGAAATAGACTGTTAACAAAAGAAACAGATTTGAGAAAGTGAATAAACCTCTAATAGTAGTTCGCGAAGAGCTGAGGGGCGGCAAGGCACACATTAATGGCTAGTCGAAGAAGGTGCGCGCCGGCATGCTTGCGCAATTGTATGCACGCTGAGTGAAGTAGACAGAGAAGGGCAAGTCTCGACCGGCTTAGTCACCAGTAGTCACAGTACATGTATAGTGACGGAGGGCAGCTGCAGACATAAAACTCGTCTGTGCATTGATGACACGCATCCGGTGAAGAAGCTTTTAGCTTGCAGCCAGCTATGCGAGGTATTGTTTGGTTAACTGTAAAAACGGGATCCACTGGCATGACTGTAGGCTTTATTAACTCGATTCTCGGTGATGCGGGGGATTCACCGTGAAATAATAAGGCACGCTCGGCAAAAAATGAATAGAGGCGTTTAAGAATTACTTTATGCAGGTTTATCAGCAACTCCAAGTCAGTGGGTGAGTGTCCGTAGGATCAAATACTATAGAATAAAAAGACTGGTCAAGGAAGTAGAGTCGCGATGCCTGAGCAAAACAATGTTGTCCCCCAAGTACTGACAGTTTTGTATGCCGTTTTGGGCCACTAACGCTAGAGGTATCTGCTGACTAATCTACGGCCTTCAGCGTGGTGATAGTGCTGCCGTGGTCCAAATATGTTAATGTTAGTCTACTCTAGTCAGACAGGAAGATATTCATTCCTTCTTAATTTTAATATGTACAGGAACAACTGTGGTCCAATCACTGAATTACCTGGTGAAAATTTCTTTCAACATTTTCAGATTCATATCAGCGCAGAATGCGTAGTCACGTATCATATGCAAGGTTATGCAGTGCTAACTCTATATAGTCCAGGGTTCCGGGTCTCGATACGATCCAGTCGATTCCAGCAATCAGAGTGTTCTCCGTCGTTCAACATCACAGATCCTTGGTTACTTTTAAAGGTACGGATTGCTATTGAGTGACAGCTCGATGACAGCTCGTAGATTAAAATGGGCGCAGCATCTAGAATTTAAACCTTAAAAGTTGGAGTGCCGTCTCGCAATCTAGAAATGCTTTCCAAACGCAGACCAATTATATGTAGATTCTAATGTACAGCAGTCACGGGGTTTGAATTCAGGCTCGTTCATGTAGTCAGAATATGTTTTGAATCTAGAAGGGGGAGCCTAATATCACTTTAGAACTGTTTTGAGGACTTGATGACATATATTTATATTTAGAACAAGTCATCCAATAACCGAAAACAATGGAGAGTCAAGCACCCGAGGCCCCACAATTGATTCTAGGCATAGACTTCCATTTGGCCATAAGAATGAAGACTTATCCCATTTAATGCAATGCCGTACACTCATATTCCACCGGCAGCACCTTCAATATTGAGGTATGCAAGAATGTACCCAGCAGACCAGCAGCAAGAAACTCAGATTAGCATGCTAATTCTCGAAGCCTATCACTGATATTAATAATCAAATTGATCATTTCAAAGTGGTGTAGAGCTTTGATAAGGTTCGATTGTCATCGGACCGAGATCAAACACAGCATGCACTCATGTCGACTTTTCTTCAGGTTTGCATCCTTCTGAACCCTGGATTTGAAATTGCTTCGCAGGCGCTGTGACCACGTGTATGTGGTAAACCTCAGCGAACCACAGAACTTGAGTGTGACGAGTCGACAGATGGAGACTCCACAGCCTGAGTGCTGCTACATGTACACTGGCCATACCATTCTCATAGACTCGAAAGTTTCAGATTTCGCTGGAGTCCGAAGGAGACGGCGAAAAAAACTTACGACATGGATTTATTACGTTCGCGACTCAGCGGCGATAGTTTTTCTATCCATGAGCGAGGTGCTATTACACCAAAGACAGACATGATAGTCCCGGACTCCCCTGGCCTCTATCTCCACGGCCCCGTACAAGCAAACACTCCACAGCAAAGTTTCTGATTGTTTGGGAGGCGCCAGGACTTTGGGAACTTCAGGTGCCGAGGAAGCGTTTGTGCAGGCATTAAGCCGTTTGGATCATTTGGAGGGCTGTAGGCGCTGATCCACTGGTGGACTTTCTATAACACAAACCCCAGCTCTATAATATCTACGATAAAATTGTAAACATGGTCAGTATACACTTCGCCAGGTTTGAAGGCAGATCTGAAATATCACGGGATCTTAATCAGACCGGTAACCGACGGAAGGCTGACCCTGTGGCTGTTCCGCTACCGAATGAATTCTTCAAACTAGAAGGATTCTATTACTCGCGATGACGAGATCACTGAAATCTGGTTAAACATGCTTGGATCTTGATCATTAATTTAAATGCATCACGTATCTACATAAAGCTAGGTGTTGGTCTGCCCTAACATCTTTTGTGGTTGTTTTTGTTTTTTTTTTACTTCCACTTCCTGTCTTTACTCTCCCCCGCACCCCACCTCCAAGATGTCGGGTGATGTAGCCACCGTTGCTACGATATATGGCGCGATCCTTCTGGGCACTTGCATTGGCTGCGGGTGAGTAGGACTTTGTCTGTTATTTGAACGCGTCTCACATTGTATCAAGCCTCACTGGAATCGTGTTCGTTCAAACCGTCCTGTATTTCAAATTTTACCCTTCCGATAGCATCTACAATAAAATTTTGGTGAGTATGGTTATATGTTGTTCCCTAAGATCATGCCTGACCCCATGCATGCTCAAGGTCTTGGTCGTCTGGTGGGTACAAGTGCGACATGGCTTGTGATGTTTCTTACTGTCGTGCAGGGCACTGGACATGATGCACACATGTCTCATCATCGCCTCCGTCTGGGAATCCGTCATCGTGAATTTTGACAAGCCAGAATTGATGGATCTCATTCCAAGGTGAGTTACCTGAAATGCTCTTGTTTTCACCGTAATTTATGGTACACCTGCACTTTAGGGCCTTAGGTGTTCGTACCCTCGGTTGTGGTCAACTGACCTGTCTAACAATGCTTTACATAGCTTTCTGTAGCCATAACTGCCGCAGTCACCTTCCTCGTCCACTGGTTCGTCGCTTCTACACTGAATTGTCATGGCGGTGATTTAGATTTATTCTTGTGCAGTTTCTTCGCGAACAGAGTCCGTAAACGTCAGTAATTGAAACCGGTCACTGGTGTATCCAACTAAGCTTCTTTCAGTGACAAAGAAGTGGTATTTCGCCGCGCCCCTTGTACGTGGTTCAGCCATACTAGTTTACCGCTAAATCTAATGTTTGATCGTCAGGTCTTCTTGGCATTTTTGCGTCTTGGTGAGTTACTTTATTTTCATTTTTGATTGTTTATGCTCATCATAAAACCGCAGTGGCTGCATGTGGTATGTTACTCTCGACAGTTTTTTCTTGATATTTATTTAATGACGGGTTCTTGCAAGTTTCGACCACCGAAATGTGAGTTTCATGGGATGTTTATCTTATTTTGTTTCCTGACGCAAGTCTTCGTAGTATACGACTCCGCCACTACTCGCTATTCATCAAGCCATTCCCATCAGTAAGTGGGCGGAAATACCAAGGACATCGCTCAAAAGCTCACTCTGTAATGTAGTGGGTATTCACTCTCGGTGTCACCCTCTCCGCGTCCGTGGAATTCATCATAACCATGGTCATGGTTATCTTCCTTGGACAGAGTCGCACTGGTTTTGCAACGTATGACTCCTCTTCACTTCATGTATTTCCCATCTGATAAGTTGTTAGCATGAACCACATCATCAACTCATTGATCTTATACACACTTGAGACTGGAAGTTTCACTTGGTAAGTGCTCAAGGCCATCATTTAAGGTATCATTAATATTTCCTTTTAGCGCTGTCACAATTGCATCCCTCATTTGCGTAAGAAGCATCTATTTTCAGAGGAGTGTCTTCTGATGCACAAACTAGTGGATGGTTATGAGGCATAACTTGATCTTCCTCGGAATGCACTTCGCGATCGCAAAGCGTACGTGTGATTTCATGACTTTATCCTGCTAATGACTAATGATTGTGAGCAGTGTATGCCAACTCCCTTCTTGCCACGTGCGTCGGATCCTGCATGTCCTTTTACTGGCCAACTGACATTTGTTAGACTGAACACGCGGAAGCGCTTGCGTTCAGACCGTACCTTCTCGAGTCAGCGCGAGGCTGATATATACCCTGCCTCACTAAACATTCACAAGTCATCGGTTCGTGTTCCACATTCATTTATCTCGCGGTGACACTCACTGGCTTCGTTGATTCGCGGGTTACAGCAGCGTATCCTGGGCCCTGTCTCACCTACCAAGGGCGTACGTGCATGTTACTATTTACCTGGTAAAACGCGCTAACGATCACATCTAGACACACTTGAACGTCAATGTGGAGACCACCGTTGTGTCTGTCATTGACGAGCCTTGCGATGACTACGACATGGCGGACATCGAGTCCAAAGGTTGTGATACCGCATGCGGAACAGAGAAGGACAGTAAAGAATTTTTACACTAATCCGTGCTTCCTATCTACTACATCAATCCACGAGCCTCAATCCTCAGGCTCCTCACTCGGCAGACCCAGCCACAATGGGAATTTGACTGATACCGTATGGTGCAATATATCGCACTGCGCTACTTTCAGGTTTGGCTTCCTGTAATATAATATAGCTAATAGCTCAACCACGCTCCTTGCACCTCACACTCATTCGTTCTGGCCCCTTCGACTATCCTGCATATCTCACTCTTACTCGTATACACATCCTACCCTATTGTACATTCGAGCTTGCTGCTTACATTTCAACACACTGGACTCCCCCAGCACTTGTATCTTTGGCTTCAATTTGCATTCTTGCTTTCGAGGTCGTTTTTTCATGATTGTGTAGTTCAGTCAGGTGTCGGCAGTGTTGGTCGAAGTTTATTGAAATTATATTTGCTTCGGATTCTACGAGTGGTTTGTTGCAGCGTTGACTTGGTGTTGACTAGACGGAATAAGATACTGCAAGAGGAGAAAACATGAAAACAAATTTTATTTGTGAAACACAAAGAGGACCGTGCGCTTTTGCACATGCGCTACATAGCAAAGCTTGGCGCACTATCAGATAAATTCCTGCCAAGCAAGCATGATGCATGACGGCTCACGACACAAATAAATCTCTCCCTCCAAAGCAGTGACACACTACCCTACACAGTGTAGTACACCTACTGACTCCATCGCATCCCCCATAACCGCATCCTCCTGACCCGCCTCCTCGAACACCAAGCTGCCTTGTTGCTCCTTCAGCCACTGCACACTCCGTTTTTCATCCATGAAATAAGTGTACGCTCGGCGGAGATCCTCGACGTCCACCGCGTCCGACTTCCGCTTCCGTGCGATTACTTGCGCACAGGAGATCAGGTTGAGGGCGTACCGCAGAGTCGTAGATGTTGCCATCGAGGTAAGAACGCTTTGTGCTTCTGGGGTCAGAGTCACATCTTCTTCCTCGCAGCTGTGTTCATAATTTTAGTGAGACTAGAAGTGGCTAGCGTGGAAAATAGGACTTACCGGATTTGAATGATTTGTTGGATGTCTTCTTCGGCGTAGGGCTTCGTACTAACGATGAGGACACGATCAAGCAAGTCAACGGGTAGCCCGTGCGGGCTTCTGAACTTCGTCCCACGTATACGTGACATCCCTCGATTCGAAGCCATGATCACTAAAGGAGACAGCTCATTCTCAAGCGCACGGTTTAAGAATGAAAAACATTCGATATCAAGCATGTGTACTTCATCGATGAAGAGGACCTATATCAGCGTTAGTTACGAAACTCTATCATCAAGAGGTGACATACGCCAGGTACGATTTCTGCTTTGCCTTCTTCCCTCCATTCAGCAACCTTGGAGTTAATTTGATCACGAAGCTCGGGTTTAATTTCGCCCGTATCTCCTGCGAAGAGAGCAAGGAAGCCTTGCGTCCGACTGTTGATCACGTCAATCTCATGTAACGATACTGTGTGCACGACTTCTTTTCGTTTCTGGATTTCGCCCTCGGGACATTGCACGAATTTTGTCTGCAATTTTGATTAGCACCACTTGAATTTGACCGCAAAATAATTATGGACGCACGTCTGCACCCATGGCGTCATAATCTCTTGAACGCGCATACGAGCGCCCGAGTTTTGAGACCCTCCCTGACGTCTTGTCAATCACTACCACGTCGCCTGCAAGAACCTTTTCTTTAGAGAGCGCATCTATCATCTTGGTACCCAGGTCGTAAATAGTTTCCATATCTGTCGTTTTTATCGTGAGTTTACCGGTTTTAGTGGCCTGCGGAAGGTAGTCAGGACCCGTAACTTTGATGACTGAAATATGGTACACATACGCCAGTTAGACTGCGGTCGATCTGGATTTCGACGACCTCTCCTTCAATTATTTCACTTTCTTCTTTGATGCGCACACCGATACTCCGCCGTATGGCTTGCGTCAGTGCTTCAGTCTTGGACATCGACAGTGAAAACACCTCGCTGGCAGCGATCATGGTGAACGGTACATCAGAGCCTAGTGTCTGTGCCATGCCTGCAGAGTGTCATTCATAGTTTTGCAAGTCGATCATAATTATAAACCTGCCTAGTGCGATAGCTGTCTTCCCCGTCGAAGGTGGCCCAGCGAACAATATAGCGCGTCCCGCTATCCGTCCCTCTTGCACCATTTTGATGACCATGCCCGCAGCTTTTCGTGCTTTGCCTTGCCCTACCATACCCTGCGAATTCGCTCGCGGTTCAAGACGATCGTCGAGCCCTAAACCTCGGATATGCGAGTGTGCGCCTAGCAGTCATTAGTGATTACCGCCAACACATGAGTCTTTCGCGCACCTATGCGCTCCATTTTAGTTATCTCCCGCAACTCCGACATTCCTGTAGATATTTGAGCAGCCTGACAATTAGCATCAGCATGTTTGATATGGCAAACAAGCTTGAATCTAGGAGTTCTCCTACCATTGTTGCGTGAATGAGCAGAGAGCGCGTTTGTTTGTTCCGAGCAAACAACATTCCTCTTCGACCTGCTAAAAATAAATTCTACATTTTCCGTTTCTGTTACTTGAAGGCGCTGTTCCGTCGACAGACAGTGGTATGTTGTGTGTTCGTGCACTACGCGCTTTTTCGTCATTGGGCGCTCCATCGAGTTCTCGGGCATTGACACATGTATTCCAAACCACCACCGCAACCAACTCCATAGCTCGCACTTATGCTACACATTTTACACGGGGTTCAAAAGATGAGCCTAAAGCTACATCTCTAGACGTCGACACCAACGTCTTCAAGACCTACAAACCCGTTTCTCCCGGTATTCGTCACCTTCGTCGACCTATAAATGACCATATCTATCAAGGGAGGCCCGTTCGTCTATTAACGGCTTGCCTCCGCAAACATGGTGGTCGTAACTCTCATGGCCGCATCACCGTCCGCTTTCGCGGTGGTGGTCACAAGCGTCGTGTGCGTCTCATCGACTTTCTGCGCACTGAACCTGGAGAGTACGATGTCATCCGTATTGAATACGATCCTGGACGTTCAGCACACATTGCTCTTATCAAAGCGCGAGATGCCAATGCGGAGGGGAAGGCGAAGTGGAAATACATACTTGCTACTGAGGGGATGAGGCCAGGGGATGTAGTGCAGAGCTATAGGATGGGTATGCCTGAAACCACGGGTATACTCCGCACCAGAACGGTTAGACCTGGCAATGTTCTTCCTATTCGGTCCATTCCTACTGGCACGGTCGTTCACTGTGTCGCACTTTCACCTACGGGAAAGGCATTGCTCGTGCGCTCTGCTGGCTCCTTCGCTCAGGTCGTGCACCACGACGAATCTGGACGGTATAGTCACGTGCGCCTCCAAAGCGGCGAAATCCGCCAAGTCTTACAAGATTGTTGCGCTACCATCGGACGCGTAAGCAACCTTAATTGGAAGGGGAGGAAGATAGGAAAGGCGGGGAGAAATCGGTGGCTGGGATGGAGACCACGAGTCCGAGGTGTTGCCATGAATGCGTCAGTAATTTTCTATCAGTCAGTTGCGTGCATTATATTTAGTCGCGCTTTTGCATTTGGAATTTTAGCAAGGATCACCCTCATGGTGGTGGGCGTGGTAAATCCAAGTCCAACAAGCATCCTGTGTCTGTTTGGGGCTGGGCCACGAAAGGCAAACGTACGCGTAAACCTGGACCCAAGGGCCCTAAGAACAGTAATAAGATGGTCATTCGGGAACGCCCTAGGGGCAAGGAGAAGCGCTCGGGTGGTTCTTAAGCTAACGTTTCACCATATCCATCCTACTAGTAATTTTGACTTTATTCTGAAAACTGTTTCGATACGGAATACTCGCGTTCATTAAGGCATGAATTCATATCCAGTATTGCAATACCCCTTCTTATATTCACCCGACTATCCCTACCAAGGGGTGTCCGCCCACGCACAGTCCTCATGATGTGATCATTACCAGTCTAGGGTCACTGTGAGAAGTTGACACTGATCTCAAGTTAAAAATTGCAACGTGTCGGTCATGAAGAAGTAACTACCGAATCACAAATTAATATTCGGCGTGAAAGGACATTCAACAACGCAGAAAGGCATTGACTTGACAAGTTAACAGTTAATCTGTTGACTAGTAGTGGCTCGATGGGGATAGATCATACACCGAACGCGATCACGTGCTGGGCGCGTATTTGATCTCCGCTACCGCGTTTCTTGTTTGCTGGAGGCGGCGTGTTGGCATGTAGTCACCTTAAATACGCGTGCACCCGACTTCCCGTCCTTCTTCCCAGCATCCTTTGTCAATTATTAACCATGGAATCAGCTACACTCTCCAGGACGTCCTCGATAGCCAGCATATCTTCCGTAGATGATACTGCGCGTCGTACGCGCAAACGCTTTTCTACTGTTCAGCTCATGATGCTAGAACAGCTTTTCCATCGCACATCCCACCCGACGCGAGATGAACGCGAAGCCCTTGCGAATTCAGCAGGAATGTATGTCATTCTCGAGACCGACGTGACTTGCTCCATATCTGATGCATTTTCCACAGGGAAATAAAATCTGTTACCATATGGTTCCAAAATAAACGTCAGACAGAGCGCAAAGTGGCCCTCCACAATGCCACGAACGTCTCCAATGAAGACGGCTCTTCCTCTCCACCACTCGGGCACGGACATGCTTCTTCGTCACGTCATGTCCATTCCCGATCAGTTTCTTTTTCGAGTTTGCATACTCCACGGAGACGGATAACGCCTCCTCGCCCGCGTCCCTCCCTTGACCGTGTCGCGGCACGTTCCGAATCGCGTCTCCAACCACCCCGCACACCTACGAAGCCTCATAATCCACACGCGTCACTCTGGGATAATATGCCCTCCTCTCCACTGGCACCTGCCAGCCCTCCTACGCGCGACTTGGTAGACTTTGTGGGCAGCGGGCGCACCCTTGAATGGGCATGTGCTGCAGCACGCCTATCCGGAAAGCGTCAAGAAGGCGAAGCAGGTGCTGAAACGGAAGACGAAGAAATGGAAGCTATTACGCCGGAAGGGAGCTTAGGGGCCGGAGATGATGCCTGGAATAAGAGAGCTGCATTTCCCGTCCAGAAGCGCGGGCACGTGGCTCGGAACTTGAAGTTTGCGCCCATAGTACTGAATGGAAGAAAAAGTGCGATTCAGGACGACGATATGATGCGAGCTGCGCTGGTCTTGTGTGGACTGGGAAAGCGCAGCTAAGGAATCATTAATCAGGCGATGACATTAGAGGACTTTTGGCACGCACAGCACTACCCTTATTATTTGCACATACCCTGCATTTCCAAACCGCATCTTCACATTTGTTATAATATTGCTGTATATATCATATTTTTGTACGTCTTCGAGCATTCTCCGGTAGGACTCCGTTATCTGTGTGAATTTTGAAATGAAAGACCAGGAAGCAAACGACTCGACAGTCCTGATGCTTACTTTCACCGATTATTGAGTCGGGGCTCATAATCTCTGCGAAGAGCCTGAATATACTTGATCAGTAATTACAGACGATTCAGAAGGTCGAGACATGGTCGTCGGTGAATCAAATCAGGGGGGTCATGTAGAGTTGCTGTGCAGATCACAGATATCCCATGTAGGATCGATGGGGTAGCTACAAAGACACTTTAAATGAGCTTAACACACTTCAAGTTGCGGGACGTGTAGGAGAAGTGAACAACAGGACGATATCGATGAATTATGCGAGTGTTATGTCGGCATCGCCCGAACTTGAACTTCGACTTGACCGTCACGATCAGCACTAGACTGGTATAACAGATCAGATCTAGACCTTGGTTCAACGTTCAGTCATCATGACGCCCGAGACGACTCTCCTTGATTCCATCGAGTGTTCGTATCTGATAGGCTGCTCTGAAAGACAGTCAGGCTTCTTGTCTTCTCCGTCATGTTAATGCCTGTTGTCGTCATCACAGGCGCATCCAGGTCAATTTTAGTCCCTATTTCTAAGAGCTTTAGTTAACCACCTTATATTCAGAGGTATCGGTCTTGCAGTCACTCGTTCCTTACTCAAGGAGCATAACGCTCATGTCGTTACCATATCGCGGACTCGCACACCAGAGCTCAGCCAACTGATTCAGGAACACGAGCGATCATTGCTGACTCTCGAGTGCGACATGTGAGTACCAGACCTTTAGTTCATGATACATAGAACTCACGTTACAACCACAGCGCAAACGAACCCGCGCTCAAAAGCGCCATAACCCGCGGCAAAGACCACTTTGGACAGATAGACGGCCTAATCCTCAACGCTGCTACTCTAGACCCCATGGGGCGCATTGACAACGCTGATATCACCCTAGATGACTGGAAAAGCCATTTCGACATCAATTTTTTCTCGCTCATTACTGCTATTAGGGCCTCTTTGCCTGGCTTGCGAGAATCGAAGGGCAGGATAATTTTCGTAAGTACAGGAGCGGCTCTCAGAGGCATGTCTGGAAGTGGAGCGTATTGTGCTAGTAAAGCTGCTATGAATAGCCTGAGCAGGTGATCAGTACTGAGTCGCGCGAGGAGGGTTTGAATTGATTTTATGAAATGGATAGAATGCTCGCGAACGAAGAACCTTCGATCGTGTCATTGGCACTTGCGCCTGGAGGGGTCGACACTGCGGTAAGTTTGGACTGTATTATGTCGATCGTGGATCTCAAATACCGTACAGATGCAGGCTGTACTGCGGGATACGGGAGCACAGCACATGAAGGCGACCGATCATAAGAATTTCATCGATGCCTACAATAAAGGAATCCTAGTCAATCCACATGACGTTGGATATGTCATCGCTGCGCTCTCGTTACGCGCTCCTCTTTCGCTTACAGGGCAGTTCGTGAAGTGGGATAATGAGGAGTGTAGAGAATTCCGGAGGAAATGACCTGGTGGCATATTAGGTCGTGTCTATGTGCGCTGTTCGTGTACTATCAGATGATTGAGTTGGGGCTAATGATCTCTGCCGAAGAAAGCCACCATAAATCGTATACTTCTATAGACTATTCGGAAGGTCGAGACATGGTCATCGATGAATCAAATCAGGGGGGGGGGCATGTAGAGCTGCTGTGTAGATCATCTGAAGGGCCATTACAGATATCCCATGATCAATGGGGTAGCTACAAAGACACTTTAAATGAGCTCAACAAACTTTAAAGTTGCGGGACGTGTATACAGGAGATGTGAACAACAGGGGAACATTGATATCGATGGATCATGTTTGTGCTCGTTATGTCGGCATCGCCCGAACGACCTGACCGTCATCGGCACTCAGGCTATAAACAGATCAGACCTTGGTTCAGCCGTCACGACGTGCATGGGAGCCCGAGGCGGCTCTCCTTGATTCCATCGAGTGTTCGTATCTGATAGGCTGTTCTGAAAGACAGTCAAGCTCCTTGTCTTCTCCGTCATGCCAAATCCTGTCATCGTCATCACAGGCGCATCCCGGTTAATCCTAGTCCCTATCTCTGAGAAACTTATGCTAACCATCTAATAACCATCTAATATTCAGAGGTATCGGTCTCGCAGTCACTCGTTCCTTACTCAAGGAGCACAACGCTCATGTCGTTACCATATCGCGGACTCGAACGCCAGAGCTCAGCCAACTGATTCAGGAACACGAGCAATCATTGCTGACTCTCGAATGCGATATGTGAGTACTAGACCTTCAGTTCATGATACATAGAACTCACGGTATTATAACCACAGCACAGACGAACCCGCGGTCAAGAGTGCCATAGCCCGGGGCAAAGACCACTTTGGACAGATAGACGGCTTAATCCTCAACGCTGCTACTCTAGACCCCATAGCGCGCATCGACAATGCCGATATCACCCTAGATGACTGGAAAAGCTATTTCGACATCAATTTTTTCTCGCTCATTACCTGCTATTAGGGCTTCTTTGCCTGACTTGCGAGAATCAAAGGGTAGGATCATTTTTATAAGTTCAGGAGCGGCTACCGGAAACATATATGGATGGGGAGCGTATAATGCTAGTAAAGCTGCTATGAATAGCCTGAGCAGGTGATCAGTACTGAGTCATGCGAGGAGGCTTTGAACTGATTTTATGAAATGGATAGAACGCTCGCGAGCGAAGAACCTTCGATCGTGTCATTGGCACTTGCGCCTGGAAGAGTCGACACTGCGGTAGGTTTGGACTGTATTATGGCGACCATAAATCTCAAATACCGTATAGATGCAGGCTGTACTGCGGGATGCAGGAGCGCAGCACATGAAGGCGACCGATCATAAGAATTTCGTCGATGCCTACAATGAAGGAACCCTAGTCAATCCATACGACGTTGGATATGTCATCGCTGCGCTCTCGTTACGCGCTCCTCTTTCACTTACCGGGCAATTTGTGAAGTGGGATAACGAGGAGTGTAGAGAATTCCGGAGGAAATGACCTGGTAATATATCAGGTCGTGTCTATGTGCGCTGTTCATGTACTGACATGATGTACATGATACCCACCAAAGCAAGTGCGCATAAACGGATATTCTACAGTCTGCGGTCGCATCGCATCTGCTCAGAGCTACTCACAATAGTGCACTGCTCCGGTAGTTCGGTCCCGAGCCCAGGGTCGAATGCGATTCTTTGCATGCTTATGTCGTACTTACTTGGTTTGACAGCGGTCCAAACTCGGTTGATGGCATACTCCACGTCTTGTGCAAATACGGGATGATCACACCAAAGAGTTCCTTGTACAAGTGACGATGTGTTGAACTAGATCCATCTGCGTGTGACTAGAAATGGACGTCGAGTGGACCATCGCACTTGCAGAAAGTGATACTGAGACTGTTTGTGGAACTTGTTATATCATAGTGCTATCTGGAACGGAACCTTAGGTAAATACTACGGAGCCTTGGGTGAATTATGCCACTAACCGGACGCGAAAAGAGGCTGACCATTCAACCTGTTGAGTGTAAAAGCAAAGCGAATATCATGCATAGTACAAGAAGCGTACCAAGGAAAAGCATAAATACCCAGACTGCAAACAAGTCTGCAGTACAGAACAACCCAACTCGAGACCTTCACAAGTGACTCTCATATCTACCATGCGTTTTTTGGCATTTCTCGCTATCTTCGTCGCCCTTGCTGTCTCTGTTAGCGCTGATGGCACGAATGAGTGCAACGAGGGCTTTGACGAATGTGGGCCTGGCTATAAATGTCAGGTGAATAACCATTTCTTTTTGCCATGACGAACTTAGTGAACGCAACTGACTTGCTTGTTGCAGGCCGGGAAGTGCAAGAAACTGCCCAGCAATTGATGGTGCAAACGCGAGATGTGTACAGCTGTCAGTAGAACACTGGTTAGATATCACACACTTACTCGAGTTATAATTTGACCCTCGCTGGTAGATCGCCTGAAAGACCTGTTATTGTTGAGATCAACGAGGTAGACAGATAAATATGTCTATACCACGCACCGGTCGATTCAAACGTCTTCAGAAATACGTCTATTGCAGTAGTGTCCATGAGCGTGTGAGTAAAAGCATAACGAATGTGATTAAAGTATAGGTAAGAAGGCCCAGTTGATCTTATAAAGTGCGTCGAGGTTGGTGGCGTATCAATAAAAAATTGCCGGGATCAGCAAGTCACAATGTCAGGGCATCTCAACACGTACAGGTATAGGCACATCAATTGAAGCATCGAAGTTTTCGAAGGCTTCTCTCTCCACAATTTGTGCGCAGATTTCACTGTCGACACCGAAGGCAGGGAAACAGCCCTCGACGACAAGGAGACAGTGATGGTTCATTAGGCTGGATACTTGTGTTACCGGTTCGATTTCTTGACCGACTCGGATGCCTTAATGGTATCATTATCCAGAGGACGGATGCTACGGAGGTTGATGATCTTGGCACAGAATCCCTCTTTGGCCAAGAGGTCAGCAGGATCCATAATGTGAATGACCATCTTGCTATGCGTGACAATCATGAGATTGCTTCCTTCGCGCTCGACCTTGGTCTTGCAGATAAGAACAACGAAGTTGTCTGACATGGCTTCTGAAGACACGAGGAAGGTGACACCTTACATCCTCTCATTCTCGAGGAATATCACTGGGTTAGGATCCTAGATGGCTGCCTATAAAGTCCTTAACACTTCACCGAGAATTAAGACAGCCCCATCGCGCATGAGCTCTTCCTCCATAGCAATATTGAGAGCGCCACGGATCATCGTCTATGAAATACTTCTAAATAACGAGTTAAACTGGTGACTGACATGCGATTCTTACCGAGTTTTCCGAGTCATTGTAGGTCGCGTACCCGCGGGCCAAGCAGCAGCCGTCAGAGCTGATGAAGGACATGCACGAACTATTAATGATTGCGGATGCAACGCGAGAGAAAGGAACGAAATGAATATGTTGATACACGTAGACAAGGACGTGCCTGGGCGTTTGATGCCGGCGCTCGTATTTACGATGGTCTGAAAAAACATTAACAGCCAGAAAGTAGTAAGGTATAGCGACAAACCTTGTTTGCCGCATCAAGAGCTCCTTGCTCTACTTCGGATTCGGGCTCCGTGACACTAAGTCGTCAGACCAGCGAAACGAAGTGTACCGGTCTTGTCGGCGCAGACGACAGAGAGTTGGCCGTCGTCTTGCAGGAGCCCAAGACGCGCACCAAGAGGTTCTCATCAGAGTGGAGAAGAGAACGATGCCGGGAACGCTTCCAATCTTCACGATTAATTCCTCCAGGACGTCGAGCTTCACGGACTGCGAACTCAGGAATAGAACTAGATTAACGACCATGTTGCACTGGTACTTGTGTAGTCAGCCTGTCAGGATTCCAAAGATGATAGACTTGGGAAGGGATTGGCAAATGAGGAAACTGAAACCAGTTGGGCCGGGAGTGGGCGAAGCTCAAAGTAGAGATGAATCACAGCTTGAATCACGAGCAGAGCGCTGGAAGCAAAACGCTCATCCTTCACGGAATTGGTGACGACTTTGAGACGCCAAAAAAGAGAACTTCGGGTGCATCCCGGCCGGTGAACAAGCAGGTCTTTGGATTCGACCCGGATGAAGAGGTGATATTGCTATATGCATGCGTTCGAAGTGACATGGTGATGTGCTAGAGTAGCTGCTCGACACAAACAAAATTGAAAAATAATGATATTCATGCGGTCATGTAGGATAGATAGTCAGATTCCAGGGCCGGGAAGCACCAACTGCTCGATCGGATTGGATGGGATACATTCTGGAAGCTGTGGAAACAAGAGTCGGACGCATGAATGCACTGAGGCGAACAGCCTCGTGTCCTGGGCGTCTATGGAAGGGAGGCAGGCAGTATCAAAAACACAGTACACGCACCTCTCGAACTGAGAGAAAGCCAGCCACGATCCTTCATAAGTCCACCTCGACCGCGCCCAACGCCATCAACCTCCAGTGTAATGTCGAAGCTTATTCCAATCACCACGCCCCTGCAGGCTGCAAGAGTTTAAAGACCATGAAGGACGCGTAAGGGCGGTTGCAGTTTTCCCCAATAAACGCCGGATGATCACCGGCTCGGACGACAGGGCACTTCGTCCATGGGACTTGAAGACAGGTGTCGTGTTGAAGAAGATGGAGGGCCATCCCAGGATAAGTACTAGTAGGGTAAAGGAGCGGAAGTTTCAGGTCGAAAAGTCGAAAAGTCGAAGGGGTGATTGCAGGCTGTAATCTAGTGCTCACTGCTAAACGCGAATAACTATTAGAGCGGCGTTCGACCTCAGGCAGTCAAATATATAATCGACCAGAAGCACACTCAAACTTGGAATTTTTATTAAGTGGGCTGGCACACCTCGCGTATGGTGTCGAACTTCGGTGGCTGCACTCAGATCCAACAAACCATGTTCTTGCGACAGCTTTCTTGAAGTCTTCAAGGAAGCTCTCCATCCACTGCTTTGCTGCTTCAGAAGCCCAATATCCGAAGTGTATTAGGGATGATTGTCTTGAGATGATCTTTTTCACGGCTACCCACTACATCCACTCGAATGAAGCCGCAGGCAGCGATGAAAAAGATCGGCAATTCTGACATGCCTGTTCCCTGCTTGAACTTTTCGGTCCTTCAATGTTGGCGAACTCGGGTCCCTCCTAGTTACTATCACGACGGCATGATTATTTCATTGGTCCGGGACTCTGAAAGTTGGGCGCACGCGTCGACTCCCTCTTGCATCATGTGAGATATATGGCAGACAGTCCAATACAGCAACATAGCGCAGGGCTATACCTATAGGAGGATTTGCCTCATTCTAAGTGAACCACAAATCACAAGTATGTGCACCGTTCATGGAAGTGGATATGAATATTTATAGTCTGCCATCAGATCATCGGGAGCTATTACTTATAGTCACGTACTGCACCCGCAGTTCGGTTCTGAACCGCAAACTTGACAGCGGTTCAAACTCGGCTTCTACACACTGCGCACTAGAGGGATCCTTGTATGTTGAGCTATTCTATAGGTCCATCTATGCGTGGCTAGAAATGGACGTCGAATCGACTATCGTACTTGCAGGAAGTGATATTCTTTTCTTTTGCCGACCAGGGAGTTATGTCATATTCCGTTAGGTAAAGCATGACACGCTAACCTGTTATGATGGACAGCGCAAGAAGGAAAGCATAAGTTATAAATACCCAGACTGCAAACTTAGTATAACCATTCATAACTCTGACTTTCATATCCACCATGGCATTGATCGCTATTTTCGTTGCCTTGGCCGTGTCTGTCAGCGCTCAGGATGGATAACAGTGCTACGAGGGCTTTGACGATTAATTGTGAGCTTGGCGCTGCATTTCAGATGAATAAATATTTCTTTTGCCACGGTAAACCTACTAGGTACGAAGCTGACTGGCTGGTTGTAGAATGGGAAATGCGTGCAATTGCCAGTGTACGACGATGAGCGACAGTGCAGCCACGAGATGCCGTACATCTCTCAAACATTACCGGTACGCACCGGCCCGAGCCAATAAACATTATTAGTGGGACCCATCACTGTGTAAAGCTGTGCTGATTTTTTCTAGAAGGTCACATCGTCCGCTGAAAACTTGACAGGTGCTTTAAATTTCATATGTCGATAGACCGGATTTCATATCAGCTGGCCGAGGAACGAGCCGAGCCGGAGGCGCGTGCTCACTGCTCACCATACAACAACGAAGCCGGATCAGGTGGTGCATGAATTAGACCCACAAATTTACTATCCTCGATGGCAATAGTAATATCCGGAATGACCTTTGCCGAGTGGCACTAGCCTAAGTTGTTCTCCGATTTGGAACCGAAGCTCTTGGGAATAATAAAAGGTCACCTACAAGGCTACTAGTACGACTCTATTTTATACCCTTTTATCAGGCTTGCGGACTCGGAGAACCTACCTTCAACGAGATGGCTACGCCCACAGTTTCATCCTTCGTTGGCTCTGTGATCCTCCAACCCATCATCGTGGCGATTACCAGTGTCGTGCTCTCATCCCTCCTATCCTATGAGATCGCTGGACAGCTTGACTGGAGGCCGGTAAGCCCTCTGCTTGTGGATTATAGGCCTTGCAGTCTTTCTGATTACACAGTGTAAAAGATCACTATATGCGTGACATGTGACATTATTGCTGTCGGTGTTGACCACCTGAAGGATCAAGAAGTTGTCATCGGTGCTCGGGGTGCGGCTGTCATGAAGCGCTTTACCCCCCTCTTCCACCTTGCCCGTATTTTTCTGGCGTTGAATGCGTTTCTGCTTGTGATAGCTTTATGTCGTAGTCCACCAGAAACGACGGTCGTCACCGCGGTTTTTGCTGCTCCCGCTTTTCTGTGGGCGACGCCGCTTGATCTCCAGCGGATCGGCGCAGTACTGAAGAAATTCATACGCGCAAAACATGATCAAGAACAAGTGGAATATGATTCATCCATGTCCAACGAACCATTCATAATCAAACGAGTCCCTGGTATGAAGGCTATATTTGACGGTATCATTCGAGGGTATGTGCTGTCACATCCTGACGGTTTATGGTTTTTTGACTTGAAGACAGTTGCGGGACATTCCTCGTCGTCCACTCAGCACTGCAGTTATCATGGCAGTCGGCCAATAACGCGCCTCCGTGGACGATCATTGAGACTATCATTTGGTCGACGGTAAATCGCACCTGTCATTGTGTAAGACAATTTCCATTGCGAATGTACTCCCAACTCAAGGTCTTCCAAAGGTTATGACAGACGTGCGTGACTATGATGAGGACGAGAAGACTGGAGTCCCGACCATACCCGTCCTTCTAGAGTCTCCCCTTAAGACTCGGATAGTCTTGACCGTCGTTCAAGCAGCCGTTATGATTGCCTTCCTCCGCAATCCGTTCATTGTAGGGGGTTCCTGCTTCGCAATTGCTCTTGTTTGGATTCTAGGGAAAGATTCTCCGAAAGTTTACTTCCGTCTTAGTCTTCACTCACAGTCGATATTCATTGCTATGTACGCAGTCATGTTCGCTTTGGACTTACTCTAGACCACTGCTCTATATCTTAAAAGCCTTCACTGGCGATCAACATTCATTTCATTAATTTATTATGTGCGCTGTCTAGACCATTAATATTGTCGTTACGTCTCAGGGTTGAAAGATTCCCCGAAATTTGGTACTTGCGTCTCAACCGAATCTGCTTTCAGATCATGGTGTACATTGTCAACTGTGCGTTAATGATGATGATACATATGTATGATTTGCATGATGTTTATAGAATTTTCAATAGACGGGCCCCAGTAATCATGGATGTCCTAAGCGATATTACACATACGCTCAGTACATTGCACGCAGATGGTGCTGCATGTTCAGCTTTTATGTCCTCCGAGAACTTCTACTGGAGTTGGGGACTGGCACTGAGCGCCGCTACGTTCTCTAGTAGCTCTAGTGCCAACGGAATATATAAATTCTCTCTCATGCCAACAGGGTGGTTAATCGACCCCCCTCCATGTCCCATTCAAGCGACCGTAAGTAGCCCTTTTACACTCTTACTAGTATCAGTAACCAACTCTAGATCGACCTATCTGTGGATTTCTATATCTGCTATAAATCTGCTGGCAACGTTGCATGCAGAGAAGGGATTGACAGCACTGTGCGATAATCACTGTGGTCAGTGGTCACCTTAGTCACTCGACACCACGCTGCGTGCAACTTTCAGGAGAACAAATAACGACACAGCACAGACATGCCCTCTCATAGAGATGACGAGCGCCGTCCCCGTCGTGACCGTTCGCGCTCCAGAGACAGAAGAGAACGTTCGCCTACCCCAGAAAGTGGCAATGACCTTCCACAAGGCGTCTCGCCCATATCAGATTCGGACTACTTTTTGAAAAACACAGAGTTTAGAATATGGCTAAAGGAGGAGAAACACAAGGTGTGTCCTGCGCTACGCTTTCCTGAATCGAGGAAATAATGCCGAGGTGTCTATCTGGTAGTACTTTGACGAGCTCTCGAGTGAGAAAGCCAGGAGGTGAGTGTCATTATCAATATTTTTTCTTGCAAGGTTGCTCAAGAGGAATGTCAGCTACTTCCGAAAGTTTGTAAAGGTAAGAAAATGCATGAGCTATACGAATGTGTGCTGAGCATAGGATACAAGGCATGGAACAGAGGGAAACTACCGAGTGAGTCTTTTTCAGTACGACCGATTCTGATGGATCCTAACCGACGTCCAGAGTCCCTATACTCTGAGGCCAACTCCCATATATCATCAGCAGCAAACCAAACAGCTTACAAATGGTCCTTCGCATCCAAGGGCTCAAGTGTGGATGCAGGAACCCTGAAAGCTGTTCGAGAAGAGGTTGATTCCGCTACGTACCGGCGTGCTACTAGTTCATCCAATACCGGTGGAAGTCGGAGCCGTGTACACGGCCCAACTCTCCCTTCAGCGTCAGATCGGGTTCTCGCCCGGGAAGCTGCATCAGAATATCAAGCAGCGGAACATAGCGTGAAGCGTAAACGAGATCGCGCAGAGGCGAAGGAGCGCATTGATGATATGGTAGGGCCGAAAGAGATCGGTAAGGAGGGTATGCTGGAGAAGAAGCGCGCTCGGAGAGAGACCGATCGTGCATTTAGGGAGAAAGGTGATGACGGCTTTGAAGCCGACGAGTCGACCCTCCTTGGTGGTGGGGATAGTTTCAGGGACCAGTATGTCTTGTTCCCCTTGTTTTCCTTTTAATATTGACACCATGATAGCATTGCTCGGCGAGATGCAGCACGGAAACGATTCGAGGAGAAGCGTGCTGCAGGGAGAGAAGACAAAACCGCTGGTGTACGTGAACGTGCTGTAGCCTTGCGAGAGAAGGACAAGGCTACGATGGACATGTTCCAACAGTTGGCAAAGCAGAGATTCGGTTAGTCACGACGCTCGTCCGTTGTTTCATGGACTGGTGAGTATTTTACAATGGGTTGCTATGCGTGGTTATACATGGGGATTACAAAATGGGAATATGATTGACAAGCTGCTCATCTACGCTGTACTGCTCTCCTTGAAGAAATTATAGCTAGCACTATTGCCTTAAGGCCCTCGAATTCTTGCTTGAGCGGGGGCTGTCCCACGCCCTTTCATCTGCATCTAACATTTGAGCCTTTACTGTATTATCAGTCTCAGATGTAGACGTTTTTTCGCGTTTGCGGTCGGATGTCCTCAGTGTGTGACAGCTGCGCTGCGGCGGGCAGCAGGTGGTGGGGTGGCGCTGGCGACTTTACATATACTCCACCACCCGTGCCGATCGTGCGACCAGACTTGGTGGCGGAGTCCGCGCAGATTTTCCCTCAGACCGAGACTCGTCCTCAGCGTTCTTCTGCATGCAATATGGCATCGTCGTTCGGCGAATCAGTGTTAGATAGTATGTGGAAAAAATTGTAGTTAGTACTTAGTGGTATGTGCCTATAGATGTTCCGCCCTGTAATGTTAACAGCAATAGCGACAGGGGAGCCAACGTATCTCAAATAACCTGTACCCAACCTCATCTGCACGACCAATTCCCTCGCGACGCCCCACATCCTCCTTCTGCAACACCGCCAGCTTCATCTCCCCACCACATCCTTCACACCCCCCGTCTGGAAACACATCATCCACAGTTTCCCACAAGCCTTCGTGCCTCCCCGACGAACGCATCGCAATAATCAACCAAAACACCCCTCCCTTCTTCAACGCTTTCTCCACGCAATCTTTGATCCACTTGGCATGCTCAGGGTGATACACCACGTCTGCACCAAGGATAACATCGTAGGGCTCGAGTGGAGGTGGCCTGGACCAGTCCAGTGACTCGATTTGAACGGAGACATTATTTGTCTTCACATTCTGCAGCAAGTTATGGAGGACTGCAGAGTGATAGTCTGTCGCCATAATTGTGGCATCAACTCCCATGCGATCTAGAAGTCGTGCGGTAGCGATACTGAGAAGTCCCGTGCCTGCACCTAGCTCAAGAATGCGCAAGGGGGCAGCCCCTTGTGAGATGCTCATATATCGAGCAGGATTCGCACAAATGCGTTCAGCGAAAATGATAGCGCTTGCCCAACTTTGCAGACCAACGGAAGTATGATCAGTGACCGTAAGCGGAGCATCATTCAGCTCGATGGTGATAGGCTTGCCACCGGCACCAAAAGGAAACATAAATTGTCGCGTGAGAGCATCCTCTTGCTGCTCATCGTCGCAGGAAAAACGTGCAAGAAGCTTGCTCGCTTCTTCTATAACAGCTAGACGTATGTGCTCTTCCTGTTCTGGAGCGCTATCGAGTGCATATACCCATATATCGGATCGCTTTATGAGGCCTGTAAGCCATCTGATAGCAAAATTTCGTTCGAGCTCGTCGGAACGCAGGACGTCGGGGTCCAAGCCTTCAGCTTCGCTTTCTAAATCTTCTTCCATTTCTGCCTCGTCTTCTTCGGAGGCATAACCGGAATCCGGGACGCCATCGCTATGATTCAAACGTCCCGTCCGCTTTGGGCGAGGTACGTGTACCGTATCAGATATGTCCTGCTTCAGTGCAGGTACAGCATTTATTGACCCCGTCCTCTTCGGAGGAGGCGCTGCGGCGGGGAAATAAAGATCTTTCAAGTCTTGCAAAGCATCTTGCATGGAGGCGGTGGTGTGGGTGGAAAGTATAGAGAGTGGTGGAAGAAAGGAAGTCGGAGCACGGAAGCAGGTCATGATTTGTTCCGGTTCGTCTGGATAGGATATATGGTATAAGTTGGATACGATGTTGATTATAATGATGTCGCCCGATTAACGAAACCTTGATAGACAGTCTAGTAGGGGTATTGGTACACCGAGTCTATGTGCACAGTGAGATCTATATTCGAGTCGCCCTATGATCCCAGAGAAGATGGTCCCGATAGCGAAAAATTTCTATATGTCTATGTTCGTTGAAAAAAAACGATGTTAGTCTCTAAACACAACGCAGGCTCTTTGTAAGCTGGAGCCTGCGTTGCTATTGAACAAGGGGAAGCATTGGGGACAGCATGGTGATTCGTGAAAGACGTCAAGTTGGGAGAAAGAGAACAACTTTAGAACGTTGTTTTGAAATGTTTTTATGATCATCAGAGATAAGATAAGATCTTAAGATAACAATTGGGTTGAGTCGTCGATTGGTCGACGCACCCTAGGACCTACTTACAACTAGCCATATAATCAGTTCAGATGGATGTTCAGTCCAGGGAACTCACGGTAACTTACAAAATTGTTCCGCCGCCATCTACGGTGATTCCTCCGTCCCTCTCGCAGGAGACGACGCATAGGTTTTCTATCACATCTCTGCCTGACTTGGAGTCGAAGGAGGACGCTGACTCGGAGCTGAAGAGATATTATGCATCTCTGCGAGCATCGATTGCAGAAGCTCGCACAAAACTCGGAGAAGAGTTGACTGCTTGGAGGGATGCAGTAGGAAATGCAGAACTTGGAAAAGAAAAGTCTGTGAAAGCTGAAGCCGACGATGAAGCAGAGGAAGAAGAGAACACAGAGGAATGACATTAGACAGGGATCGTACATGTGGTCCTCAGTGAACGAAGGTATTTTCAATTTCGTCTGCAGCGATTTATCTATTCTCAAACTGCAGATTCCAGTCCTGAATCTAGCGTACAATTGCGCATAGTGCAGCACGCCCAGTGGAATGAGTTTTAAACATAGTCGTCACAGAAACAATTACGCCTTCCCCTTCCGCCTCAATAATTCCTCTTCCTCGGCTTTGAGTTCTGCATCTACCTTGGCCCCTTTCGACGGTTCATTCCCATGAGAAGTGGCTGGTCCAAGAGGATTGACGTTAGGATCCTCGAAGGGATTCGTTGATTCTTCGCTACGTGAGTGCTTGATGGCAGCAGCGAGTCTATTGCCTATGCTCCGTCCGTCTCTGTTTGTCAGTTGTAAATTTCGGAGCGGTGCCTGAAGACTAAGATCATACTTGGAATCAATATCCTGATGTGCGTGCTCCTGTCCCTCATCGTACTTTCTCGGGTTCTTGTCTGTTTGTTTTGACGTTCTACTGAACCTATCAGACATGATGAATGCGCTTGGTGGTTCTGTATCTACCTTTGCTCATTCGCTTCGTACACCTGAGGATTCCCGACGTTGGACATCATAGCTCCTGAACGTGCTGACATTTCGATTGTGCGGTTAACGTTCTGTCAAAATTTGGTGATGGAAGATATTGTTAAGTTGGCAAAAGTATGTTTGCTTGCTTTATACTCTCCAACCAGCGTGACGTCAAAGTTTCGGATAATTCGGGAGGGTTCAGACGGACACCATCATGACGTCAAGGACTTTTGTAACGTTTAGCCACCGACCAGTTGACTCCGGTCTGCAAACAAATCATTAATGATATCGATCAAGACTAAAAAGTTATGCTCGCACTTGCCAACGACTCCTGACATCAGCCTGCTTATCCAAGGAAATTGCTGGCATGCTACAGGTAACTTGAGTGTGTTATTGGAGTGTTCAACTTACTGTTGATGGAAAGTCGCCATGATCGTACCCGAAAGTCTGGCAAAGTAATCCACCGATGGTATCTTAGATTACAGGGAGATCGGTGAGCACAACAGTTCCGCAGTCATCGATGTCATTATCCAGTTAGATACATACACTGCTAACGACGTGGTTACTAGGAAGAGATGTTTGTATGAACCACCGGCCTGCTTTCAACTCCTAGAGAAAGCAGGAGAAAAAAGCAAAAGCACTAAGACGTGCAAGCGTTCGTGTCCGCCCTACTTTGGCGCAGACCAGCGTGATCATATAAGCCTGGTCTGCAATTTGACTTGAGTGCGTTTGAAAGACAACAAAATTTTGCAAAATCATTTTGAGGACACGCGTCACGTGATGTTTGACCGTTTTGGAAAGTTAGTCCTTACATAATAACTCAGCGACTGTGGCCTATTAATAGGCCGCCTGAGGAGAATCGGACAACCTGCTCGGGCATGTGCAGCTAGTATGCAGTGTAAAATTTCGAATGGCACATTTCAGCCGAATCCCAGCCTTACCTTTTTCTAAAAATTGCAGCGGCGCAGTGAGTGACGGTGAGTGATATGTATGGCTTTCGCGGGAGGTGAATTAAGTCGTCACTATCCCCGTGCCAAGTGTTTTGCTATAATAAGCTTTGTCGCAAATACAAACACCTCGGGAACGGATCATTATTTCTTCATGTCAAACGTCGATGATGATCTGCAAGTGCAACAGTAAGTACGGGCACTCCGAGTCCTTTACGTCGCCGGTCTTCGCATCGCACGAGTACGAACGGTAAAAGGCAATGAGGTAGCGTTAACGAAATATTTGTCATCTAATTGAATTCTTTTTCGCCTCTCCGCCGAAATTTATATATGTTTCTTTGCCACTAGCACGCTTCCTTGCATTTTCGCTCGTTTCTCTTTCCATTCGTTGATCACCACTGCTGGTCAATCTCTTTTTGTTTGGAGAGATGCGGATTTTTGCGCTGCTGTCGGTGCTTGGTATAGCTCTGCAGGTGCCAGTGGTGACTGCTCAAGACGGCTCCATATCTGGTCCAACCAGCAGTTCATCTGCTGCTGGGTACTCGTGCGACCCTAGCCAATGTCAGTTACCCAATTGCAATTGTGCTAGCACGAGTCCCCCGGGTGGTCTTTCTCCCGTATGTTGTTGACCTATTTTTTGCCATGTGTCACTTCTGACGGGTGGGTTTCCAGTCGGACGTACCGCAATTCGTCGTCTTCACTGCCGACGATGCCGTTCAGTCCTATACTATCGACTCTGTCAATCAGTTCCTTGCTCAACGGAAGAATCCGAACGGTTGCCCTATCAAGATGACCTACTTCACGTCTCTTAACTATACCAACTATACGCTTGTCACCGACTGGTACGTTGCTGGAAACGAGATTGCTGATCATACGTATGTACATCATTATAGTCTTGGTGCGTTTGATCATTGGTTTTAGGATGACGCATGTTGGTTCACCTCCAGCGGATGAGATCAACGGAAACATTATTGCTCTCAATGCACTTGCTGGTATCCCGCTCGATGCCATTCAAGGTTTTCGTGCTCCTTACTTGAACTATACTGCTCAGACTTTGCAGCTCCTTGCGGACGTTGATTTCACTTATGATTCTTCCTCCGCCTCCTCAATTCCTGTCACAGACCCAGGTACCGATGCGTACTGGCCTTACACACTTGACAATGGTCTTGCAAATGACTGTCTGACTGTCGAGGGTATATGTAAGGGCCAGCCTAAAATTCCTGGTCTTTGGGAGATTCCGATGTATGCATTCTTTGACAACCTCGGGGTTGACGGGCCGCACCTGATGGACCCCTGGCTGGATACTGCCAACGGGGCCAGTTCCGTTAATGACACTGCCACATTTGAGTATATGCAAAATACATTCACAGCTCATTACACTGGTAATAGGCAACCGATTGGTCTCTACACTCATCCCATTCATCTTTCGGCAAGTTATTTCCGTTCAATAGTATCTCAATATTGACTAATGTCGTACTTATATGTAGACCACGTATCCCGGTGTTGACCCCCCAAACAGCACGATCCAGATGATAAATGAATATCTGGATTGGGCTCAGATGCAGCAGGATGTCTGGATTGTTTCGAACGAGCAGCTTCTTGCTTGGGTCCGGAACCCTGTACCCGTCTCAGAACTCGATTCCTTTGAACCTTTGAAGTGCCCGACTCCCCAAGTTGACCCGTCCCTGCAAATCTGCAATGGTATTCCTCAGAACGAAGCTGGTCTCCTGGAGGAGTGTGACTTCCCCGACTTCCCTTTCTTCACTTGCGTAAGTTGTCTGTGCCTAGCATGGTGCTTATTTAGACTTAATCGGCGAATTAGTATGGTTGCCCGCAAGTAGAGGTGTCACCTTCAACCCGAACCCGCCGCAGCAAGTCCCAGCGGGCCAACAGATGAGATACAGATGTAACTAATTTTACTGTTCTCTACTACCCTCCGCTGAAGATGTTCCGTAGTGCCTGCCAACTGCTCAACACCTTTCTGGGATCCCATTGCTGGGTCGTGCCTGTGTCAGTCCTCGGCATGCGCATTCACGGATAACTCGAGACCTATTGGAGTAAGTCACAGCCTCAAGCTATGCAGTTCGCCTTGACTATCTTTTTTTTAGCCCAACGGCGCCAACTTAACTGGTGGTGGAACTGGGGGAGATGGATTTGAGGGTTCTGGCGGTACGCCGACGCCCACGTATATCAACTTTAATAGCGCCAACCCCGTTAAGCTGTGGAGTGGCAGTCTCGTTGGCATGATGTGCGCTTTAGCTGTGGGCGCGTTTGGCGCTGCCACGGGATGGGTTCTGGTTAATGTCTGAGATACTTGAGAACGTTGAACTTTCAAACGCTGACACTGTATGATACTCATTGGACATAGGCTTACGATCATTACTTTTGACAATGCTTTATTGACTCTCTCATCTCCTTACTCCCAGCAATTGGCTGCAGGTTATCCTCGATTAATGATTGAACCATGTTGATAGCTAGGACCATGTGGTACTATACTTACTCGTCGGGCTTATCATTTGCCATACCACTAAATTACGAATTAACCTCTAGGTGCGAATGTTAATTGAACTCCTAACTTGACACCTTGGGGATACGCTGGGTTCTGGACGATGTCTCACCGAACTCGAAGCCTCAAGGTATGGTGGACGATAGGTTACGGTTCGATTTGCCGATTTGCCGTGACTTATTTGAAAGTCCGATCAATGTTTGTTCTAGTCCTTTGAATTATTTGTTAGTACAGTGATCCCACGGTCCTTTGTACACCACCACTCCACTGTACAATTTAATTTCCTCGACGAGTTCTTCATCGACTCCTTTCAAATCCTATATCATAATGTTCAGAATATGTCCTGCTATGTAATGGTACCAAAAATATAGTTCTTAAATTTAGAAAATCATCGGAATCTGCAAAACATCACTCCAGAGCAATATGTTGGAATTTCACGAGCATCAAAAAGCACCCAGTTTCACCCCTTCCACTTCATCTGCAAGCATTACAAATGTATGGAAGTAGTGGAGATGATTTTAGTCAAAGTTTCATTAGTGCTACTACATGTTGTGATCCACGAGTGATGGTATGAGTTTGTTACCCAGACTAAGCTTGGACACGAGGTGCCGGTTTGACTCAGTCTTGCTCAACATCCCTCATTCACTGCCAGTATTCAACATATACCTTCTAACTACCCATATAGTCTTTCAACATGGTTGGGAGGCCAAAATTGTTGACGAAGAAGGCACAGGTCTCACGTAAGGAGAAAGAGAAAGTCATGGCTCGTGCTGTGGCTAAGTACCAAGCTGAACTTGCAAAACCGAGCTCGGAGAAGAAACAAGGCCTTCGTAAAGTGTGTATGGATGTTCAGAAGGCATACCTCAAATAAATGGGACCAATTAATCAGTTTAAATCATAATACTCTGGCAAATCTCGCCAAGGGAGGAGTTTGGCTTAGTGAATTCAATAGCTCCACGAAAAGCTGGCTCACACCCACAGGAAACAGACAAAGTTCTTGAATACATGTTGAAATGGCTAGACGTGGCTTTCCGCTTAGCCACAAGCGTCTCAAGGAACATGTTGATGAAATCTGTCGAGCTCGACTTAAAGATGCCTTCCCGGAGTCTGGAGTGGGAAAAACTGGACTCAGCGTTTTGTTGAGAAGCACTCCGAGCATCTACGAGCTTACCAAGCACATTCACTTGATGGTGCTCGTGGCCGTGCTGTGAACCCAACAACTAACAATGCATGGTTCGAAATGTTGAAGGATGTCCTGGAGAGTGGTGACAATGGTGAACCCATGGCACCGGAGTGTATTTGGGGTGTTGATGAGACTGGAATTCAACCAGGAGGGAGGAAACTCACAAGAACGAGCTCTCGGTTGAAGCTGGAAAACAAGTCCAGTATCAGCAGCGAAATGGCAGTCGTGAAAATATTACCGTTTTGGTCACAATCTGCGCAGATGGGAGTACAATCGCACCCGCAGTGATCTTCAAGGGAAAGGCATACAGTGGCTCAAAAAACCGTCCGTATGTTTTGGCATTTTTCACTATCTATAATATTGTGTGAGAACAAACAAATGCCTCAAAAACATGCTTATACCACATTGTAGTATGGCTTCAGGGCTTTCATTTGAGCCCTACACCGTGGGAATCGGTGGAGATATGGTGGAGATACAAGGCTCACAAAATGGTGACTCATGCGGACAGTTTTTTGACTCAAGTATTTTACAGTAATAACCAGGTATTCTAGTATTTTGTATGACCTCCCTTGGCTTTAATTACTGCCTCTATCCTTCTAGGCATACTCTCAATTAATTTCTGGCAATCCTCAGCTGTGATCTTCCCCCATTCCACTGCTACTCTCTCCCAAAGCTCCCATACTCCTTTAGGGGGGTTTTCATAGGCTTGAAGCTTTTTCTTGAGTGTTCCCCAGAGATGTTCAATGACATTGACATCAGGAGACTGTGCTGGCCAGTCAAGAACATTGATGTTATGTTCTTCAAACCCATTCCCTAGCTCTTCTGGATGTGTGCTTGGGATCATTATCCTGTTGGAAAATGATATCTTCTTCATCAATCCCTGATTCTGCCAAGCTAGGCAGCAAGTGGTCATTTAAAATGTCCACATACTGCTCAGCATTCATCTTCCCCTCAACCTCAGCAAGCATTCCCACACCATTCCATCCCATACAGCCCCATACCATTAAAGAACCTCCTCCAAACTTGACAGTCCCATTAACCTCTCTGTCTGTTAGGCCATCTCCCTTCTTTTTCCATACATACACCTTCCCATCTGACCCAATCCTATTGATTTTGGTCTCATCTGACCATATAACATGCTTCCAGTCCTCTACAGTCCAGTGTTGATGAGCTAAGGCAAAGGCTAGTCTTCTCTGCCTATGTTTGATGGAGAGAAGAGGCTTTTTCTTCTTTGTTACTGCCTTGAGATGAGCTGCCTTGAGAACATTCCTCACAGTTTGTGAAGAGACAGGGGTAGTGATGGTGGAATTGATATAATGGGTGGCTTGGACAGCATTATCAGCCTTTCCTGTAGTGATATGTTGGATAATAGCCCTTTTGTCAGTAGAGGTAAGCTTGGATGGACGTCCTCCACAAGAGTTTTCCTTGTCTGGGTGGCTTTCTTTGATGAACTTGGCCACAGTGGACTTGCATATTCCAGTTCTAGAGGAAATTTGGCGAGCAGAGAGGCCAGCATAAGACAGAGAGAGGATATTATCTCTTTGAGCAGAGGAGATGGCTTTCATGGTGATTATGACTATGATACATGAGATATTCTGGTTTATATAGTTAGATATAGTCATAAAATAACATAATGACACCACTTTATAATTTATATAATAGTGGCATGATTTTTATGGTGTCATAAATAATTATTTATATAGTTTTAATATACACTCAAAAAACTGTCCACATGAGTCATCATTTTATAAGCCTTATATCTCCACCATATCTCCGCCGATTCCCACGGTGTAGGGCTCAAATAAAAGCCCTGAAGCCATACTACAATGTGGTATAAGTATGTCCTTGAGGAATTTGTTCATTCTCACACAATATCATAGATAGTGAAAAATGTCAAAACATGCGGACAGTTTTTTGAGCCACTGTAGTCTTTAAACCATTGAGGCATCGAGTCTTCCTTTGGCACTTCAGTAGCCTTCACTTGCGCTTTTGGAGCGCCCTTGCAGTTTCTTGCCATATGGCCTTCTTCACCACAACGGTAGCAGTTGAAAGAACCAGTCTTTCCTTGAGGTTTGGGAGCTCCTCTCTGCTTATTGGCGTCGACGTCCATGGCGTTACTGTCTCTGGGACCAGCCCTTGGTTCGAAGTTTCTCGCGGCCCTGTTAGGGGTCCAGAAAGAAGTCTTCTTCTTCTCCACATCTAACTCTTCGAAGTTTCGTCCTATTTGGATCGCATGCTCTATCAATTTCTGCATGTTGTCCTTGTCCTTGTAGGCGATGTGAGCGAGTTGCAATTTGACACGGTCTTGCAATCCTGCCCTATACTTCTGGCGTAAGTCGTAGTTGGAGAACCTGGTGTGTGCAGCTTTTTGTTTAAAAGTAGCTGTATACTCTGGGACGGTAGAGGATCCTTGTCTTAAGGAATCCAATTCCCGAACTGCCTTGCCTTCAAGGTCTTCTTGTGCCCACATGGCGGTGAAGTCTTCATCTAACTTCTTCATGGTGAGAGTTCCAGTCGCATGTTCTTCAATGTAGGACTGCGCCCATTTAGCAGCAGATCCTTTCATGAACGAAAGCATGATCGAAATTCTTTGCCTTTCTGTGATGCTGGGCCATTGCGTCATATAGAGCGCTATCTGAGTTGCCCACATCTTGGCATCGATGGAATCCTTATCACCTGTGAATTCCGTGGGTTTAGCCATTTTGATTGAGGCTGTGGTAGAAGCGGCGGATGATCCGAGGGATGGGGAAGCGGTGAGTTTGTCAATCTCGGCTTGCTGCATTTGAATCCGTAGAGCTAGATCTTCGTTCTTGGTTTGTAGCTCGTCATTCTTGTTCTGCAAGGCCGTGACTTGGTTTTGCCACAGTGCATTGTTTGCGGCGATCTGCTCTTGTACATATTGTACAAACTCTTCGCTGCTACTCGGCATTCTTGGTGCGGTTGGTTCAGACATAGTACCAGTTGTTTTCTGGAACCCGATTACTGATGTCTGTGAAGAGCTAGTCGTAACGGCTCTTCCGGAAGGGAAAGATGGTGAAAAGGGAAGATGGAAAAGAGATACGTAATCTGGAAAACTGAAGCGGTCCCCGATATCTGATCGGATCTACCTCGTACTTCAGGGTCAAAGGGTCCTGGTAAAACCCAACTGACTCTTCCCTAGATACTGACTAAAAGAGATGTGTACGTAACAACTATACTCGCCAAGTGGGAAAACTAGAACGCCAAGGTGCTCTTCCAGCCGAAGCTTACAAGCGACCGAGTCTGGACTAGGAAATTCCTCTAAATACTCGGGTAGAGTAGCCTACGTATCGTACGAAGAAAGGTGATAGGTAAAAAGGAAATTATAGTAACGTTGAGCAGGCAGGGTCTTGGGCCAGCACTCAAAGTTGTAGTGACACGCCTAATGTCGTGAACACCTCCGTATACTGGCGGCTGCAATGTAAGGCAGGGCCTGGTATAGGACTACTAACTACGAAACGGATAGGTATGAATGCGCTCAAGTGAGCAAAGGGGAGAGTGATAAAATCAAAGATCGCAGCTGTTAAGCCGGGCAAGGTAAACGTGTAACAGTTCTGTTTGATTGAGGATCGCGGATAATCGCAAGATGCTCAGATCAAAGAGAAAAGGTATGCAAGCGGTAATGCGTGGAGTCGGAGTCCCCTATAGTTCAAACCTAATGTCACAACCCTTATAACGAATTAACGTAGGGGCAGAGACTAGGACTCAAACAAGGTTTATCACGACAAGAGAGAAGAGGATAGCAGGGACGTCTTAGGATTGCTAGCAGTAAGCTAATACAAAAGAGGTTTGAACTGGAGAACTACTGACTACAATGAGCTACCTATATACATATATTGAAACGGAGATTGAATCTGAATCTGAACTAACTAGCCAATCATTAAATAGGAAAAGGAATTGTACGATGTTCTAAATATAACTACACTATGATGTCATGGAACGTGTGATGGCTGTGCAAGGGTTCTCGAAGGTTCTGGAGTCACGTGATTTGATTGCTTGAGTAAGGAAGTCGAAATCAGGGATATCGGAAATAGAAGTAGTAGGCGCTAATGGAATAGAGAAGTTCGGGTTAGGGTTTGGAAAGGTTATAGGTACAGACGCTGGCTGAGCGCTAACAACAGGCGCTTGTGACGGGCGCTTAACGGGTGTCTTGCGAGTATTTAGGAAAGAATAATGATTTGTATTTGGAACTCGTGACAATTCGGTGTTCACCGTGTGCAGATTCCGCATAATGGTAGCACTAAAGCCGCCCATTTGGGAGCTGTACCATAGGTTTTTGGCAGTTTGCAGTGTGTAGCGAGCTGTTATCATTCGGATCTTTCTCAAACGACTTCAAATTTTCAAACCCTGAGCAAAAAAAGTCCGGACGGCAGACACCTCATGTCATTCACAATGAAAAGACCCCAGACTCTGTTCAACATCTTCGCTTCAGCTTAATTGACGGTTTCAACATAGTATCCTCGTTCCCCCGCATTCCTTCTCCATTTTAACTCCAGTTTTGTCAGTTCAATCTTCTCCTCGTCACCTTTTCGCCACGTTAAGTTAACGTCTTGCATTTTTAGTGTATTAGCCCTCCTTTATTAACACTTTGTAACAAATGCAGACTTGTTAATATACACACACATAACATTCAACTCTCCAAGCAGACTGGGATGTGGGCCTGCAATGTACTCGCTGTAAACATCCATCGACAGCTTCCGCATGACTCCAGCACCCCAATAACATCATACTGGGTGATGCCTCTGCCCTTTGCGAGTAAGTGCAGCGTCTCCTACTCTGTCAGAGACAGACTTGCTAGTTTGTCAGCAAGGATGCTAGTAGAACCACTGGTGACGCACACATCAGCAGATGTGCGGCGGAGTTGTCGTACATGCGCATTGCGCAGCTATGGTAGCATTTGTGTTAACAGAGTTCAAATACTGACATGGATAGGGAGAAACGACATTCATATTCACGCGTCACTTGGGGCATTGGCACTCCTGATTGTGATTCCACTCACACCTACCGTGCATTGAGAAGTACCACTCGTCAAGGTATGCATCTTCACTCACGCCATTCAATTTTTAACAGTGATTCATGTCACGCAAAATTCAGCGGCACGGCCTGCAGGCAACGGACACCAGGCTCAGCACTGCAGTTCCCAACATTACACCACACATCCTGATGCACTGCAGCAACCAGCGCCTCGAATGACTGTACCATTCACGCTAACGCCATCCTACACGCTTGTAAATCTGGAGGAGTACCGTGTCTGCGGCCGCGGCATGCTATACACAATCATATCACTGCACTCGACTTGTTCCACCCACTTCGCCGATGTTCCCGTCTCACAGTTCAGTACTCTCGATGGTGCACTGTGTGCCAGATGATGATAGCCTGGGCACCACCCAAACCTCAGCCTACTCAACCTACAACCAGATACTCCGACCCATTTTACAGCCATGAGCAGGCTTCGCGGCTGTGAGCTCTTCATTACCCATGTTTTTTTGCTTGTCCAAAGTACCCCCCTTCTAACTCACAAGTAAAGCTCCCTCGTTTTATCGCATATGCATTTCATCATACTAAATTCCATTCTTCCGTGACTTCTGCTGCTCTCGTCCTGCTCCAGAACTCGAGGCGCGCTTTATTTTACAGTAGCTGGATATGCGCCCTTGTATAAGACTAATCCATCATATATTTGTATTCATTGATCATGATTGATGTGCTAGATGCTAGGATACAAATAACACAATGTCTTAACGAAGTGCAACTGTCACGTCATCACAGGAGTAACGACTCAGAAGGAGAGGCAAAAAGACGGTAGCGGTGGGTTGGGGAGCGTGGGAGCCGGCGTGTGGGGAGTGGGGAGTTGAGGATCATATAATATATACTGCTCAGTGATGCGGCTGCTGGGGTCTTTTCATTGTGAATGATGTGAGGGTGTCTGGACTTTGTTTCCTCAGGGTTTGAAGTCGCTCGAAGGAACCGAGAAAGATCCGAATGATAACAGGTTACCAGGAACTGGTGTGTAGTGGGCTTAGTACGTCAGTACCTCGTCAGTCGCCGAATCGTTGTTTGTTGCCTGCCCTGCAAAGTTCCAATCACCTAGACATTGTATTCACCATACTGGTACTGCAATCCATTGAGGTGAGCGAAGCCTGAAGCTTCCCAGTCCACAGTCGGTTAATCTTGGTCTAGGTTAACGCATATGAGGAACACGTTATCACCTAACTCTTCTCAGCGTCAAGTTCCTTCAACCCCCTTTGTTGGCGCTACATGGGCTCCTTCTGCACAGTAGAGACTTTCATAAACTGGTTGTTTGGTGGCGAGGACGATGAAAGCAATAGATTACAGCTAGAGAAAGCAGACCAGAAGCTTCAAGAAATGCAAGAAAGTCTGAATGAGGCGACGAAGAAAGCAGACGCAGCAGAAACAGACAGGCATGCTGCTGAGGAAAGGGCGGAACAATTAAGGTGTGCTGCAGAGGACGCAGAGGGAAGAGCCAGGCATGAAGCAGCAGAAGCAGCAGAACACCAAAGAGCCAGACGTGCTGCAGAGGAAGAAGCAAAAAGGGTAAGCCGCGCTGCAGCGGAAGCAGCAGAAATTGCATGAAAGCGTCAGGAAGAATACGAACGGGCAGCAGCTGAAGTTGCAGAAGCGAGGCGCGAGGTTGAACGTCGATGGTTTGAAGGTGTTCGCCCCGAGTGCCGCCCTTCGGAGAAGGATGTTGTTCGGATGAAGGCCCAGCATTTGTACAGCCCGGGCTTCTTCCACCTTGCGGTTGTTGGCACTTCAGGATGTGGGAAGTCGTCCTTTATCAATGCCGTCCATGGCCTGTCTAACAATCATGACTCGGATGACTCCATCGTTGCTCGTACGGAGATTGTTGAATGTACCAATAAGGCCACAAGATACCCTGATCCGCGCCCAAACTCCCGGATCATTTGGTACGATATTCCCAGTGCAGGTACTCCAAATATGCCTGACTGGCAGTACTTCAATAACTTGGGCCTCTATATCTTCGACTGCATCATTGTGCTATTCGACAATCGTTTCTCGGAGTCCAACCTCACCATCCTCCGCACCTGCGAGCAGTTCAAGAATGTCGAGGCATTCATCGTTCGCTCCAAGTCGGACCAGCACATCAACAACATGGCGTTTGTCCTGCATGATTTGGGAATCATGCATGGACATGACTACTAGGTATCCCCCTAAAAGACAAAGTCTGTTAGCTTAGTCCTCAGACTAGTCAACCCATACCTTGGTATCAAACCTTGGTCCAATAGTTTCAGTTTTCCCTCAGTGATTCATGAATCCACCATGTTTTGAAGAAAAGTCATATGTGAGATGGGAATCACATAATGACCTAGTTGATATGAGAAGCAAAATGAAGGTTAAGGTATTGCCTTTCCTTTGGCTTATTCACTTTGGCTAGAGAAACCCATAGAGAAAAGTTCAAAGCCTAACAAAAACCTATCTAAAAAGCCCGCGTATTGTGTACTATTATTTGTTCCATTATTTCTGAGTTGTTTTCTCTAGTGTTTCTTTACTTTACTTTTCTATTAGGATGCTCTGACTAATCAGATGCTTCATAAAATTGTACCTACAGGGTATGATGTCATAATGATGTCATAGGACTTCACCTACACTCCTGCAGGTATTTTGGTTGAAAGATATGATATCATAGTGATGTCATAATGATGTCATGTTCCATGGAATTTGCTTAGAACATTCCAATGACTCATAATGACTCATAGTGACTCAGAATGATGTCATTATCCCACCATGAATATTCTGGAATGTTCTTTTGCACCTGCTAGAACATTCTGCTCCAGTTTTTGGAATATTCTTCTCACATTCTGAAGTCATTACATCACCTTTTTACTTACATAATATTCCCACACAAAATGTATATAAGGAGAGCCCATTCTCCCCCCAAAAAATAGATCTCCCACTTGTTGCATTCAAGAACTCCCACTTGAGCAAATTGAACTCTCACCTAAGAAGCTTCAGTCTGAACAAATTGCTGCTTACAAAGCCCATTTCCTTTGTAAGAACTGTCCAGGCAAGTGCAGGGAAAGTGTTTCCCTTGAGATTACATAAGTTTCTCGCGATAGAAACCCAGTTTTGTGAGACCAGTGTTCTCACCACGTAGTGTTTACTGACCAACACGAGCTTTGGTCACCGTTGTTATTTGTGAGACCAGCGTTCTCACCAGGTATTGTATACTGACCAAACACGAGCTTTGGTCATTGTTGTTATTTGTCATTGTTTTTTTTATTTGTCATTGTTGTTATTTGTGAGACCAGCGTTCTCACCAGGTATTTGTATATTGACCAACACGAGCTTTGGTCCACATAGTCACATTTGAGACCAGCTTCTCAACAGTTAACCGTATATTCAGGAAACCAGTTCAAGTGTCTAGACGGTATATCCTAGACAATCCCATAGTTTCAATCAGAGATAATAAAGCTCCGGCTAAGTTAATCTGACTGATTGGTTTAGCGAGCCTCCCAAGAACTCACACGTTATCTACCACGAAAGAAGAAAAGTCGTAGACCGTGTTAATTGAGGACTGGCAAGAAGTCTTATCCAGTGTAATTGTGGTGTCATTACATTCTTACACGTATTTATATAAGACCCTCGGTTATTAAGACAGCGTGCGATAAAATGCCACAAGGGTTCGACCCTTCAGACATTGACGACAAGCTTACACATGATCGTTTTCGGCAAATCAAATCTGAAGAACAGAGGAGATTCATTGACAAAACGCGCCAGAATGTGCAAACCAACCTTGAGAGCAACAACCTCTCACCTCAGAAGGTCTATATTGTTTGCAAGGATGCTATGCTTACGATGTGGAGTAACTCGCTCTCCTCAAAGGCAATTGATGAGGCAGAAACTTTGGAATGATGTTAAAGAGTGTGCGCGTAAGCGTCTGCAGTCGGGATGTTAAACGTAGCCTACGTAGGTCAGGTCGTCTCGCCTCAAATGTTGATTGGATCGTTGACTCGGAGTGCGTTTTCTACCAGGCTATAGCTAGGCATGAACTGGCAACCCCATTGCTCACACTGTGTACAACACTTAGATTACATAGGGCGTAATCTGGATTTCTTTTCGGACTTCTGTTGGCTGGCTCTCCACTTGTTTTCCCCTCAGATGTGATATCACATCGAGATCGCACCCCTCCCCCCCACATCTGTGGTTTGCATATGGTATCATGTTTTTTTTGGAAAATGTCAGTTCATTTCGTTGTGTTCATTTCACAACTTCCTCCTGCAACGTCTCGACATTGAACGCATGTCAGAATTGTAGAACATCGGGAAGTAGTGAATGTACGAATCAGCGATCAGTCTTTCGAACTCGAAGTATAGAAGTGCTGCTTTCGCTGTTGACTGACCTTGACATTGACAACTTCTTTAGCACATGCTCTCCTGCTAATACCGGTGACCTTGTAGCCTCTCAGCGCTTAGTGCAATCACACAAGCATCTATCGTGCCGAATACCCTTTGACAACATGGAAATACACGTGCAGCATGACCTGCCCTGATCACCTTATCTTACATATGTTCACGTTTCGTTCTCCATTTCAACGATCCTTTGATATTCAGCACCCATAATATCCCTTTCATTCAGTCTTTCAAACTGAGACCGAGGTGAGCTACTTACTACGACTCCCCTACATACTTAGTGCTGATGATACATAGTTTTCTCTTCCTCGTTTCTAGTCCAAGTCTCTTCACTTCATCAGACGCCACATCCATGTCGTCACGGCCATCGTCGAGTCATCTTGCTTTTCTAGCAGAGTGGTGTTCAAAGAGAGATGACCCCCGTGGCTTAGATGATGTGATATCCCTTCATCGTGATGCACTGTGAGACCACAACATCCCACCAACATCCCGAAGGCTATTACTATCTAGTCTGAGTTTAATGCTGCAAACTCGCTTCGAACGTCGAGGTCATGAGGAAGACTTGGACCAGGCTATCGCACATCAGAGGGAAACGCTGGCATTGTTCCCGGTTGATCACCCAGATCGATCCACGTCATTAAATAACCTTGCAACTCAACTTTCCTTACGCTTTCAGCACCAAGGCAACGACAAAGACTTGGATCAGGCTATCACACTTCACAGGGAAGCGCTTGCTTTACGCCCGGTCGATCACCCAGATCAGTCGTCGTCATTAAGTAACCTTGCGGCTGAACTCTCCTCCCGCTTTGAGTACCGAGGCAACGATGAAGACTTGGATCAGGCTATTGCACTTCACAGTCAAGCGCTGGCTTTGTTCCCGGACGGTCACCCAGATTGGCCCAAGTCATTAAATAACCTTGCAGTTGAACTCTCCTCCCGCTTTTACCACCAAGGCAACGACGAAGACTTGGATCAGGGTATTGCACTTCACATGCAAGCCCTGGCTTTGCGCCCAGACAGTCACGTAGATCGGCCCAAGTCATTAAATAACCTCACGAATCAACTCTCCTCCCGCTTTTACCACTGAGGCAACGACGAAGACTTGGATCAGGGTATTGCACTTCACATGCAAGCCCTGGCTTTGTGCCCAGACGGCCACGTAGATTGGCCTAAGTCATTATATGACCTCGCGAATCAACTCTCCTCCTGCTTTCAGCACCGAGGCAATATAGAAGACTTCGACCAGTCAGCAGAGAATCTATGCTGTGCATGGACTCTGTTGACGCAACATGATCCTCGTCAATTAGCAGTCCATGAGTCGCTAGCTAAGGTCTATCTATCATTCCATCATTCAGGGCTTGATGACACCGGCACGGGAGAAGATACTGACAGTCTGAATGTGGCCATGCATCAGCTCAATGCAGCAGCAAATGTTGTCTCTGCAGGTTTGCTGCCTCGCCTGCGAGCCAGTCTGCGCTGTGTTCGCCATGCTCGTCAACATTCACATGATACTGAACTGGAGGCTTATGCAACTTCCATGCAACTTCTGGACACCTACATGTCCACGACAGCTTCAGTATCGTCTCGTCACAATATCATGAAGAACTTTCCAAGTAGCCTTGCCGTGGATGCCGCATCGTGTGCTCTTCGTAGTGGTGACGTGTGTCACGCTGTTGAGCTGCTGGAACAAGGCAGGACTATCATCTGGACCCAGATGACACGACTCCACACCCCTCTTGACAGCCTCCAGATACGCTGGTGATCATGCAGCAGCCTTGATGAAGAAATTCAGAGGCCTCAGCTCCCTCCTCGCTAAACCTGCTGCGAACTATCCAGAAGCAATCCCAAGAGTTGATGTAGAGGCAGAAGAAACGAAGTACAGATGTCTAGTGAAGGACTGGAATGAAGCCGTAGAAGATATCCGGGAGATCGAGGGCTTCTCTCGCTTCCTCCTCCCCCCCTTATTCTCTGATCTTCAAGATGCGGCTCGTGATGGGCCTATCATTGTGCTCATTGCAAGCGAGTCGTCTTGCGATGCCATTATTATCCCACACAGGCAACCTCCGACAAACATTCAACTTCCTACCAATTTTGAGAAACTCCAGAGATTGGTGCTCGCAGTCCAAAAGGCAATTGATAAAGGGGCCGGTCCTACAGGGAAGCAACCAGTGCTGACAAAAGCTTTGAGGGAGTTGTGGAACGATGTCGTCTGCCCAGTGGTCGAGATTCTGGGTGGATTGGCACAATGAGGTTCCCGAATATGGTGGTGCCTGACGTCTCTCTTTAATTTCTTGCCATTGCACGCTGCTGGCGAATACAGGGCAAATGGAGAGTCCCTTTCGCAGCAATATATCTCTTCATACACGCCATCGCTTACTGCGCTGATAAAGGCTCGCAGTAGTCATGACAGGCCCCTGTCAGTCACGGTGCCCTTTGCTGCCATTGGTCAGGATCGCCCAGCCGGTGCTTCACACGCTTTGGAATGTGTCGAGCCTGAACTGGAATTAGTGCGGAGCCTTTTACCCCTCCCCCAACTGTTTCCTTCACCAAGCTAACGAGCATTGAAGCAACAAGATCGAGGGCACTGTGCGCGATGCAAGATAATACTTAGCTCCATTTTTCGTGTCACGGGATACAGCAATACGAGGACCCCTTCAATTCGGCCTTTCTCATGCGCGACCAACCGCTTTCACTCCTCGATATTACCCAAATGGATCTTTCTCAACATCAATTTGCATTTACTTCTGCCTGTGAAACCGCAGCCGGTGTCCCTACAACGCCCGACGAAGTGATACACCTAGCGGCTGGTCTGCAATTCACTGGGGTTAAGAGTGTCGTTGGGACATTATGGGTGGTCAATAATAATACTGTGCAGCACTCAGTCGAGGTATTCTACAAAAACTTCTGCGGGGATGGCACAATGAATTCCAAGTGAGCTGCCCGAGCGCTGCACCGAGCGGTCCACTCGTTGGCTCATGACAATGACATGCCCTTGGACCAGCGCATAGTGTCCATCCATATTGGCATATGATTAACTTCGTGCGTACTCCTAGCTTGTTGATTAACGCGTTAATCTGACGACTTCACGTGTAGCATCCAGCCGTGGTTATGTGCAGCCTGTTGCCAAGGACTTCGATATTCCAAAATTTTGAGACTGTATACCTCCATAATATGTACACCCAATTTCGATTTTTTCTTCTTTTGAATCCTTGTTTATTGTCCGTTAATTGGGGCCTTGCCTTGCCCTTTGATGGACACCTACCTACTGTATCGTACTTGTTTCGCATGTATCTGATCTATAGTATGTGTTTGTCAATGCTTGACTCGATCATGTGCTATTCGCGGAAGCACATGTACAACTTGCAAGTGATGGTCTGCTTACAATCGCAGTAGGGTCCCGGGAATTTGCACCAGGCAAATTTGCCCAGCTAATTTACCCTGCAAATTTACTGTGAATGACAGTGTCAATTTCACACCCTCGAGAACATAGTGTCAATTTGGGTGAATTTGTTTCTACTGGACCCAGAACACCTGAAAAGCTTATATATGATATACTGGACAATCCCTGACAGCTCAGACGCTTGAAAGATTTGCATAGCTTATTGTGGACTCTAGTATCTACATAGTTGAAATAAGGTTTATATTTGGTCGAACACCATTATGCCGATGACGACCGAAATATTGTGAAAATTAGGAACTTGAAATCAGTCCGTAATAATTCCAACAGCATTACAGCTTACATGGAGCCAAATCTCAAGGATCGACTGGCTGAACTGCGACAGTATCTCAAGGCGCTACCATCCAACATTCCCATCCCAAAGGAATCAAAGTATAATTTTTCCGACTTCAGCTTGGACGCCGATTGGACTGCAGAAATCGGAGAAGCTGCAGCTGTCAACCGAGAACTAGAGGTCAGGTTTGGAAGTCGTGCTGGTGGCCTGAAAATCGTGGAGCGAGGGCCAGAGACAGAAGCTGTTGTGGATGTTCTCGAAACTTGGATCAAAAAATATCCAGGCGACATTCTCTTAGAGAAGTGGGTCTATGACACTCTCGAAGCTGCGCGAGGTCTCATTCTTGCAGCCGGCAACACTGTGAGTCAGTTTTATCTTATTTCTGATAAAATATTGACGTACTAGTATATAGTTGCCAGTCTTCGACGTGGAAGTAGATTCTACGAAGCACAAGCCAGTCAATGTCAATAATCATCGACCCGAGAAAAGAAAGAAGGTTCGGTGAAATTCACCTGCAAATTAACGCTAATTAGCGTCAAAAAGCTGGAGCTTTTGGGGGCTCTGCCCCCGAACCCCCGTCAGTAAATTCGTGTGAATTTCGTGTCATTCACACCTGTAAATTTGGCCCTCTGCGAGGGCCATGCTAATTAGCCTGTCAACCAGACCACCTGTGACTCCCACGTATTGCCTCTAATTAGACGTGATTATAGATAGGGCTAGCACGTCTAAAACGACAGAGTTCCAGCGTTTCCAAGCCTCCTTCAATAACTCTTGGATAAAGAGTGACTTATAATAACAGTAGTTCTAGGTAACTAAGCGGGACGTCGGCATTAATGTTCCTGGCTTCGGCTATCATGCTCCCGCCATGTGAACCTTCGTGCCCACCGTCGTACACGACGAGCTCCTTAAACCATGCATATTGACAGCGCGTTTTTACACATTGGTGGCGCGTTTTTTACAGTGACAGCTACTAATCATTCAGATATGTACAGATCCTCAGAATATACATAAAAGAGTAGCAGGGTGTACTACTCGCCCTCGTCCTCTTCCTCATCAGACGACTCAATGAACTCCGCACTTTTAGGGGCCTCACGATGCTGGGCACTAGTATTCTTTTTCACCTTCTTTGACGGCCTTCTGTTCTCTTTGTGTGCCTGTCCTGTGGTAGGTGGAGCCTTGCGCTTGCGAGTGATTCCAGCATCGGAGCGCTTCTTGCGTGGCTGCCGAACAACTTGCCCCGCCAAACGGCGCGCATCAAGTTCAGCACTGTGAACCTTGACTTCAGCTGGAGTGAGAGCAGCCCAGTAACATGTTTGGTCCTTGAGCGCATCGCGGAGCTTGCGAATTTCACCGACTGTCCCGATGTTTGAGGGACTGGTAAATTTGATACCCTGGGGCCATCCTACTAGCTTGACCGCATACGTTTCGATAATCGCTGTCTCGTAGTTGTTGTAGTTCATCGTGATGTCTCTTTTGCCAGTCATTGCAACTGTAAAGATGTCAGACAGCACTCATGCACACTACTGTCACATACCCAGTCCTCGGACAATCAATTTTCGAGCTTGCTTGCGGACTGTTTCCAAAGAGTCTCGTTCATTGAGATCTGAAAAAGACTGAATAAGAATAAGATATCACTGTGAGGAGCCAGATGACTTACTTTGATTCTGTGTGCAGGCCCATTGTTCGTATTGTCGGAGAAAATCAGCCATTGGAGAGTCGTAAACGTCCTCCCAGAAGTCTTCAGAATTGTCAGTACCGTGCATTGTGCTTTGAATAGTGTCATTAATGTGACCCCGAACGACAAATAGAGTCCTGTAGGTGCCTGTGCGAATACGCAAATCATCGAGCTTCGAAGTGAAAATAAGTTCAGTAGAATACATGTGACAGGCGGAGAGCTCACCTCCTTGACCACCCTTTCCGTCGTGACTAAAACATCTCGCGCAGTAGCCATGTTATTTGCTCGCACGCTACTTACCTTTTGTTCACGGTGTTGACTGAGAGCAGCTATATAAGTGGCCTTTTCACCCTTCGTCAAATCTTGCATCTGGGGGTCCTGAGCAACCATCTCGCGCAGCTCGACCAATGTGTACCGAAGGCCATTAGGCTGGCCTTGTTGCAACAGAATATGAGTATGAGAACAAGAGCAAGCAAAGGAATTTTGCGTACCGCTGTTCATTTCCTTAGCTTTGGCATGAATTAAGGCGTTATTGAGGTGAACCTTGCGCGCCGTGCAATACTTGGTCTGATGACTGATTATGTCGTTGATCTGTTTGGGAGTAACATTGTGAGCGAGTGAGAGCAATTCAACTCCGTTTTTCTGTTCTTGCAGATGTTTGGCAACAGCATCGTGTAGATGCTTCGTAATTTCTGTCCTCTGGTCTTTCTTGATTTTCCGAGAGGCCTTCTGGGCATCTGATAGCCGAGGCGGTGGGGTCCGGCGATGGATCATGGGACGTGTTGGGTTTCGCGCTGCCCAGGTGGATGAATTTGCATCACGGAGGGGCTCTGACAATGACTCTTCACCACCAGGCGACGATGCGCGAGAGGAAGGTGTGAGTTCACATGCGTCAGGTGAAAAATGAGAGATGACGGGAGTAGGAGGCTGTGGAAGGGCCGGGCCATCATTGAGGAATGCTAACTCATCACTTGTCAGTGGCATCGAGTATAATGATGGGTCTTCCCAATCGATACCGTGCCAAAGTTGGGGTGTATGGCTCGATCCTGTTTTTTTCAAAGGTCAATACAAAGAGTGGGAGATGCACATAAATAACACTGCACCTTCATTTTCATTGAGCAACCCTGCGAGATATTCAGGTCCTCCGCCGTTGATGAAATTTCCATTGGTATTAAAGTCATCTTCAGAGAAAATGTAGCTCATAGTTGTCTGTGTGGGTAGGAGGGAGTGTCGTTGTGGGGATGCGATTAAAAAAACAATGTGCTTGCTTCAGGAACCTGAAAAGCATACCTATGGGATCGATGACGCCATGGCAGTCGGATCATTGAAACCCTACAAAAAAGCATATCAGAGTCAATAATAGAACAACTCGAATAGAAAAAAGATGCTTGCCTTGAGAACCTAAGAATCACGCCAATGGAGTAGGACGAGGTCTGGAACATTCAGATGGGGTTGTTGTCAGCTTCCTCGGTTGCACAGCGGCAACTTTGTAATTTCGGGAGGAAGTTTTCTGATGGGGGACATCTCTGCTGGGATGACCTTGTCGCAATCCCTTGATCCAACTTGAATGCCGATGGTGTATAACATTGATTGGGAGCGATAACACACATCTCTGCTGGGATGACCTTGTCACAATCCCTTGATCCAACTTGAATACCAATGGTGTATAATGTTGATTGGGAGCGATAACACACATCTCTGCTGGGATGACCTTGTCGCAATCCCTTGGTCCAACTTGTATACCAGTAGTGTATAACGTTGATCGAGGGCGATAATGCACATCTCTGCTGGGATGACCTTGTCGCGATCCTGACTTGAATCCTGATGGTGTTCGGTCCCGGATAGTTCCGCATATGACATTGATTCAATGGGGGTGATCGCTGTCTCATTAACATTCTACATAATGTACGAGGGGGAATCCCAAGGTAAGGGCATTAATATCAGATCAAGGAAAATCTCACGAACCGTTTTTTTCCCCTCAAATCTATGGTAAGTCTCAATTTTGGGACTCACAGTCTGCTCACAGTTGTATAATATTCACATACATTCTAAGGCTAATCCTGCTGTTACTCTGAGCAGGCAGCGCATGGCTACCAAGCGTTGGCTTGAGAAGCCAGGGTAAGCTTTCGCCTTTGACTGACACTGAGATTGTACTTCCCTGCTATTTCAGAGTTCGAGACACGCAAAATGCAAAGGCACGCGTTCGGATGGCGAGGTCAGTCCGGCTCTCATTCTCAAATCAAAATTTCGTGCTTAAATACATTTTTTCAGCAAGCGGGCCAGGTCAAATCACTTTTGTTTATTCCGTCTCTTACTCTTGCTGACTGCACTCATAGCCTTAAAAAAATACATGCCCCTGCAGAGCCAACTATACACATCCCTTTGGTCAGTTCGCCCGTGCTCGACGGTCTCAATTCTCGCGATATCACTCCTGAGGTCGATGATGGATCTCTACTGACTATGGAGAATGACTTTCCCTGTTCCTGCGACACGCCAACCCTGCAAGACATTGAGAACATGGCCAACCAGTGGCAAAAGGGATGGGCCCGGAAGTCTGAACACGCATGGGATGAGCGTATGAAACCTACTCAAAGGTGCGCAAAAGAAGGGAGGACTAGAGACTATCATTTTTCTTGACGAATGTGGTGCGCATGCTTGTGAGGGGAGGGGACTTCTCGAATGTGTTGCAAAAACATTGTACATACCAGGCTGCCCGTATTGCAGGGAGCGCCTCAAACATGATATTATTTCTACTGCATGATTTGCTCATTGTATTGTTGTGGAGGTCAACTTCTTCGAAGTTAAGGTAGCTAACAGTTAAAAATAAGTAGTTTGACTATATGATATGTCGAGCGATTATAGTGAATCCATAGCGAATTGATGGTGAACACATACCAGAATCCTTACATTATAGCGAACACATAGTGCATTGATATCAAACGCATGGCGAATTGATGGCGAACACATAGCGAATGTCATTGTATCTCTAGCATGTTGCACTACCATAGAATTCTAAACCACCAACTGCGTCCAAGGTTAGGTCATCTGTTATACTGAATGTGTGGTGAGTGCAGTGGACCTCGATTTAGGACTATGACTCTTGTATATCACTGGCTAATCGCTAATTACACTTGCGGGATACATGCAGACTATTAAGGTAATGCAACTATGCAGTCCAATGTCGTTCAATCACAGTTGCACATCTGCATCAATTTTGTAATCACGCATAGTAGCTAGCACATTTTGTGATCCGAGCATAAAGATTCCATTGCTAAGGAATTACAAGCAAGTCATGTATATGTACACGGCTGAGATAGTGAACTACTACGAAGGTATCTAAAGTTCATAGTGTGTCATTGTCTCCGATAAGTCGTCTACCTGCGACCACAAGTCATCCGAGTCAGCGGACCAAGAGGGGGAAGGTGGGGATGCAGGCAGCCAGAAAGGGCCACCCGGGGTTGGTACTGCTCGTACTCTACCTTCATTATATTGTACTGTATATACCTCGAGTGCCTTCTGGAACGAGGGGTACCGCTTCTGAACGTTACCGCTCACAAAGTTGGTGCGTTCAGCCACGTCAGCCCTTATATGAGTGTCAATATTATTATAAGTGAGAGGTCGCAATGCTTACCAGTGATAGAAGATGCCTACTTCTTGGCCGACGGTAATTAACCAGAACCCTTCAGGTTCTAAACCAGCATGTGGGGGTGCGATATCGCTAGGTTTTGGTACCTGCATTGGAAGAAGTGCGACATTCGTAGAATGTTGCGCATGTGATGATGAACTCGAAGGCGGCAGATGGTCTGTGCGCGGGAGCTAGTAGATAGATCGGAGTTTGGGATGGTTTGATTGACATGCGAGGAGTTGGTGTGTGATGCTTTGGAAAGGGTGATACTCTCTCAACAGTCTTGCGCTTCCAGCTAGAGCAACGATGAACCTGTTTGAGAGCGGAGCATGGGTGATGTCAGATGATATAGACCTGCGACCCCTGATACGTTAAGCTTTCAAACCAACTGACATCAGTCCCGGACGTGATCATCGTGGCAAGAAATGAGATGGTGAGGGAGTGCGTGACATGGTGGATATAAGACACTTAAGGAAATGGTTAATTGAATGAGGGGGAATTGATGGAAATGTGCACTAATAACGTTTATGATTAGTCACACACAGCTCAATGTGCAAAAAATGTACCCATAGCTGGCTTGTATGAAAGAAAAAAAATGCGGAATCCAGGAGGACGTCAGACACAACGAGTTTGCAGAGACCCACCGACTAACCCACCTAACATTGCTGAGGACTCCGATGATTTCAATCTCGGCGACATCTGGGATGGTACTGACGCACTCCCATTAGCACACCTGGCGGAGAGTTCAGAGACCTGGCGAGAGGTGTTCTGGGTGAGGTCTGGAAATTGTGAGTGCATGTTAGCAGATAGTCAGCACTGACACGCACATCAGAAAGGATCAAGATGGTGCTCACAGGGTTCAACGTGTCGACAATCGCACAGGCGTGATCGTGTTCTGCGAAGAAATCTTGCTTTCAACGAGCAAATACAAATAATGAGCGAATCATACCTTATATGGAGCCTGGAGAAATCGCAAAAGGGCTTCAAGAGTTTTTATGATCGCCTACGCAGCGAAGAGACTGAGGTGACCGATTTGAATGGTGGCCAATGGCCAGTGACAGTAGTAGACGCGTTCTGTGAGTTACTTGCTAGTTTCGGTGTTTGTGTTTATCACATCATTTGTAAAGTTGCTGAGAAATTTGTACTGAAAATATCATCGACGGACCGTACAATTGCTTCTGCACTTGTTCGTCAAGGCGTCATGCCCTGCTCCCCGATATCACCGGTGGCGGGCATAACATTAGAAGCCCTTGAGTTATATCGGGTGGCGCACCTCAGGAACCCTCACTTGTCAATCCAAGCCTTTGTCAAAACGATATGCGATTTACACGGGGTACGATTTTAAGTTCTATTGTGCTCCATGCTAAACACATACACATACTACAGGTGGAATTCCATCGGCACATCTCACGTCAATTTTCAATTGCACTTGACATATATCTTCAAATCAGACGGGTTGTGGCCTCGCTCATCAACAAATCCCTCCGACGCGACTCGCCTGACTGGCGCCTCAAACATGCATGCCCTGCATGCACTTACACGCTAACTGACGAAGAGAAGCTACACTTCAAGATTCTCTATGCTATGGACGGGAACGACTCATTGAAACGAATTCTGCGACGCTCGCTTGATGACGACGATGACTCTCTTGGTCTATCGTCCGAACTTCCCACTGGCCAGGTACTCGTTAGTGACCGTTACCTATCTCGTAACTTTGTAGAGCAGTTTGCACAGGATACGCCATGTGATACGGGAGCCAATGTGAGTAATTGATGCGTACCTTTTGTAGAGACAACTAACACAGTCAGAGTCTGGCAGAGAACTCATGCGAAGGCCGGTGGAAAAATATGGACGATGCGAAGACAAAAAAAGCTTGGGGTATTTATGACGAAACTGGTGTCTTCGTCGCCGTATGCCGCCACGGCTTTTGTTTACTTATCGCAGACATGGTGCAGAGCGGGGAGCGGTGAGTAGTACTTAGTCTTTTTGTTTTATATTTCTAACAGGTATTCTAACAGTGCAAAATACCCCTTGGCTATTGTTGCCAAGCTGCTAGATGCATTTGGCGACGATTTGGGCGGTGGCTATGACATCGGCTGTCAGTTTCAGACTACTCTTGACAACAGCTCTCTTGGTCCCCTGGCGCGCTCATTACGTCATAGTTGCCTGGTTGGCGCGTTTCACGGACATGCGCACAGGCGGTTATGTCAGCTTTTTTTCATTACATCAAAGGCATTGGTATCGAAGATCTGGAGACTTGTGAGCGGACGTTCTCCAAGTCAAACTCCCTTGCATCGGCTCTACGGTATACTAGCGTTTTCCATCGTCAACAGGCTATCGATTCATATTTCGAGCATAACGACGAGCTCGAGGTATATGGCAATCTTTTGTATGTTGTTCTGTTTATCATAAGCGCTCGCTGACATAACTATTGGTTGGCTAGCAAATTTCTTGCATGGTAACTACAAACAAGCTCTCGAGATCATCGCCAATGGCGAAGCTGTCCTACCGAAGGTTATGCAAGAGCTCAAAGTCGAAGACGAGAGCGTCTTTGAATGTTGGCTCGAAGACGAGAAAATCTACCTTAAGGGTCTAACACGAGAGCCTGAAGAGAGACACTTCAAATGGAGTACTGGCAGAGATTAGTCAATCTTAGTGCAAGCAAGTAAGTTTTACTTTTGGTGTATGTATCTCGTAGTTACTGAAGCCCCCAAAAAACAGAGTTGCTCTTGACGCAGGAATGAACATGTTCGGAACGCACAATACTCCATCATACGGCGCAGACATTGGAAACACACGCAAGGTTGAAAGCACGCGGCGCCACGCTCTCGAGGACTATGAGAGAAACCTGAAGTTGGTTCAGTTATTAGAATGCAAACTCGGTATCATCGCTCGCTGGGTTCCAGAAGATGAAGAATGGCAGAAGGCAGGGAGACTCGTAGCTAATAGAAAGTATCAACGTGCCTTGGACCGTTTGGAAGGTTTGGTCGTGGCTCGCATTTTCGAACTTGCGAAGATGAATAGGGCGGGGACAGGTGAGTTTGAGTCTAGTTTGGCTTGTTTCAGCTAACTCTATCTATGTTTCAAGGTTACAAACTGCGAAAACATATTGCGAGGGCCTTGCAGACGCGCTCTGCCGCCATCAGGTCCGCCCTCAACACATACAACAACCTTGCCAGTGCGGTGTACCCTCCCCGGCAAATACTCAAGTGGGAGGATGTTGTCGAGTACGCCTTTCTCGCTGACTTCGAGCTGCTACGAAAGACGCGCTCCGATGTCTCTCAATTACCTTGGTCATCACCAGCAGCTCGGAGTGGGATGGATCTTTATTTTAAAATGTGTCGAGCACGCGAGGAGATTTGTCGTCTGAATATCGAGGTTCGCCGTCTAGTGACATATATACGAGATGAAGATAAGTATTTGCGGGTGTGCGAAGATCGACTCACAGTTGCTAACCCTGCCCTTGCCCATCAAATCGCTATACATCGGAACATTCGTGGCCGGTTCAACTCCCGCCATATCAAGCGGCTCAATGATATCTCAAAGCTTCCCGGCTTCAATGGTACACTCGTCCCTGGTCTAAGTGCTTGCACCGGTATCGGGGAGAGTGCCAGCATGCCAGATCCTCTGATTCCCGCCAACGTGTTTGCTGCCCATATACCTGCACACAACCCTTCATCCCCTATAGGTGCGGATACTCAAGAGGATTTAGATGAGGAGGAGATCGCAGAGGAGGTCGCAGAAGAAGCCTCGAGGAGTTTGCAGGACATTATCACCATCACCGCTGACTTCTCACAGCTCCAGGTTGTTGACAATGGTGAAGTAGAGGAGTAGTCTAGTTTATCCGTCATACTGTTGCAACGCACTTCTTTTATTATGCTTACTGTTAAGTATCAAAACGCGCCTCCGATATGTTTGATTTATCGAGCTCGTCGTGTATGACAGCGAGCACGAAGGTTCACACGGCAGGCGCAAGATAGCCGATGCCAGGAACATTACCTACGTTAACGCCGACGTCCCACGCTGGCTTACCTAGCTAGGCCACAGTTCAAGTTGCTTGCTGTTATTATAAGTCACTCTTTATCCAAGAGTTATTGAAGGAGGCTTGGAAACGCTGGAACTCTGTCGTTTTAGACGTGCTAGCCCTATCTATAATCACGTCTAATTAGAGGCAATACGTGGGAGTAACAGTTGA